TAAATGGTTTAGCAGAACTAGAGTGTAGTTTTAGTGTTTTGCCACTGGAGAACATACAATCACCTCTCCATTAATAAATAACTGTCAATGGAATGGAAAACCTCTGAGTTTGTAGAAGCACCTGGGTTTAGACATGGGTGCCCAATCCTGGTCCCGGAGGGCCGGTATCCAGCAGGTTTGGGTTTTAACCCTGCATCAACACACCTGATTTCAATCAGCAGGTGATTAGTAGACGTCTGCAGAGCCTGATGAACTGCTGCACAGGTGATTCAACCACTGAGCCAAATGTGTTAGAGCAGAGAAACCACAAAACCTGCTGGATACCGGCGGTCCTCTGGGGCCGGGAGTGGACACCCCTGTTCCTGACCAGTAACTTAAAAAATGACTTTTCCACTAGCATTTGCCATGTTGCTTTGTCTTCCTTGCAATATTTTCATATTTGCAGAAAATTCAGCTGATATAAAATGTTTAAAGGTTTGCTCTTCAACACGGCTGCAACCACAGCCACCGTGATGCTTTTTGAGTTGGCTCGTAAAACTTTTCATGTATTGTAAACGACTCCAGGGTCTGAAGCAGCCGGAGCCAGACTCAGACGGTGCAGAAGCCACGGCCTTGTGTTTCCAGTGGAAGAGGAACTTGGAGATGCACCGAGCGCTGCAGAGCTCGAACCCAGAAACCGACGATCTCGGTTTGAGGAAGACGTCGTTGCACCCCTTAGCTCCCAGTCTCGCCCCCCAGGTTAATGTTTGAGACCGCTTCAACTTGATATCATTAAAACTTTACAGTGTGCTTCTAAAAAACAGTAACAGGTGTTTTTTCAGCTCTTTATTCCAGAAATGTATGATAAAAATGACCTAAATGACACATGTTGTTGAGATGCCTTTTAGTATTGTACAAATATGGCCAACATCTGGACCACCACTGGAATGAGAGAGAGAGAGCATCACTAAAACACACTACACATAATATATAAAACACACATTAATAATGTGAAATATGAAAAGATTAAAAAACCAAAAAGAAGCTTATAAAAACTGAAGTTGCACACGGTAAAACTGTTAGTCTTCATGAACGTGTGGCTAGATCCAGCCAACAATGACAACGAAAGCAAGCATAAAAGGTTCACATCTGTTCCATATTTACCTCTAAAGCCTTCAAGATCATCAATCTCTGTACAATACACTCAAAAACATATTAGTGTTCTGAACCACAAAGTAATAAAAGTGTTTACCTGCTACTTTGTTTTTGTTTTTGTTTAAACCAGCTGATAAAAAGATCCTGTGTTGCATATCTGACCTGATCTCGTCAAACATTAAACTGTAAACTTGGATTCATGTCAGTCATCAAAAAATCCCTCAAGAAAACATTTAACTCTTATTATACAAAAACAGAATAGATGAAACACCATCTGCATGTAGCGTGAATGAATATCTGCTTATAAAAGATGTAAAAAAAACATGAAAAATGACACAATAATAGGTTTCCTTAGCGTAAACACACACGGAACCGTCCTGCTTTAGTGTCAGGTGTGTTTTTCTGATCAGCCTGATCTCCAGACTGACAAATGAGTGCTGTGATAACCTGAATATTTACAGAAATAAATAGATTTATGAATAAAAATGAATGAACGTTATTAACAAGCCACTTCAGCCTTTATGACTGGTTACTGACAGAAAGGCGAAGCAGTGGGATCAAAAGTCTTGAACACGTCTTTAAGCGTCCTGTCGTCTTCCTCTTCTTCTTTTGGTCCTTCCTGCATCACCTCCTCCTCCATCACCTCCTCCTCCATCTCCTCTTCCGGCTCCCTGTTTTCCTCTGCCTCTTCCTGTGCTCCGGTAGAACCCTGAGCTCCTTGTTTAGCCGGCCGGGGGTCTGTGTACTGAGGTCGGATTAGCCCGGCCAGCACCGGGATAGGAAGGTTGTGAACTGCGGGGGGGTTGACAGGTGAGACGGGGGGGATTGTAGGAGAAATGGGAGTCTGATGAGAGCTAACGTCTGTGCTTTTGACTTCTTCGAAGGAAGCGCTTTGCTTGGGTGGTGAGAGAGAAGGTGGAGGGGTGTTCTCTGTTTTGGGGGGTGGTTTGAGGATTCCAAACGTTTTGGGAGGTTCCGCCGGCTCGCTCTGGAAGCGAGGATCATACAGACTGATGCCCCCGAGGATTGCAGTGGGGCTTTCCAGCCCCCCGTCAGAGGAGGCCAGCCTGGGTGCGTAGGGAGGCAGTTTCTCGGGTTCTGGATTGCCTTGGGAAGCTTGAGGAGAGGAGGTGGCTCTGGATTTCTGCAGTCTGGGATCCACCGGTCCTCCCCCTGGTGAAGGCTCTTTCTGACCCAGCAGCTTGGAGTCCAGACTTCCTGTACGCTTCAGTCTCGGGTCAAGAGACTTTTGCTGGCGTGGATCTACAGGTCTGTCCTTGGAAGGTCGAGACTCCTGGGATCCGGAGGGAAGACGACTGAGACGTTCTTTTAAACGTACAGCAGTCAGTCTGGGGTCAGACGGAGGCGGACTGGAAACCGGCAGGTGGTCGGGCTGGTTGCTTCGGTTCATCTGAGCATCGGCGATTAAAGGAGGGAGAGGCAGGTTGATGGAGTGCTCCTGTTTGGGAACAAGGGAAGGAATGAGATCCTCGGGCGCCCACACCACAGTCTGAGCAAAGGCGGGCCGCTGGAGCAGGATGTCCACCCGAATGTGACTGAACTGCTTCAGCTGACAACGAGGATCCCGCAGCGCCGTCCCGGGAATGGCATCCATCGGGATAAGTATAGCTCTGTCCCTCAGTTTCCTCTCTCCCTCCTCCTCCTCCTCCTCTCCCGCTGGAGTCTTTAGTGGACCAGGGTGGCTCTGCTGGTGACAGGCACCAGATTCTGCAAGTCTCCCTTTCCTGGGGTCTTTGAAGAGCCGCGGATCTGCATCCGAGTCTGGAAGTCTCTGTCTAGGCTCGGTCTTTACTCGTGGGTCACTCGGCGGAGCTCGTTCCTTCCCGAGCCGAGGGTCGCTCAGCGCCGGAGCTCCGGGCGTCGCCTGAGGAGGCTTTGACTGACTCTGATGCAGCTCACTATGCTGCTTCAGAGACTTGAGGATCGAGGAGACGCCAGAACTCCCATCCTCCTCATCGCTGGAGTACCAGTTTGTAGTTTCATCTGGAAAAAAGGATAGAGGATTCTTTTTGTATTTCGATAAATTCTACCAACCAGTTCCCTGGAGACGAACCCTTACCTCTGTTTTTATTGTCCTCCTGACCATCTGCTCCATGAGGATCGTTCCCCTGTGATTCTTGTTGCTGCTGCTGCGTCAGATGTAGAAAGATGGCTTTCTGCACCTCTGCAGGCAAAGACTGTAACTGTGACTCTGCACCCATCTTCTGCTGGAGGTTCTGCATGAAGGCCGTACTCGGTTCTGCTGCAAAGGAAAGAAACACAACTGACAACAAGATGCTGAGAGTAATAAATCTCATTCCTGGTCGTAGGACAACACCCACCTCCTTGCTGATTTTGTACAAAGTTGCTAAAAACCTCAGCTGGGTTCTGTCCAGGTGACTGGATGGGAAACAGGTTTTGCAGCATCTGAAGCTCCGGAGGGAACGGGGGTCTCTGCATGTTCATCTGCTGGTTGACACTAGGTCCATGGAAGGTCGGGGGTTGACCAGGAGGAGCCAGTGGCTGCATTGGGAATCCGTGGGGAGCGTGCTGTCCCGGGGGACTCTGTGACATTGTTGGTCCAGTGGGGTGACCCGTGAGGACGGGGGAATCAGGAGGAGGAATCTGAGGAGCTCCACTCTGCATCTCCTCTGTGCTTCCACTAAACTGATTGGTGTCATCACCTGGATTCTGGGAGAAGTTGGAGCCACTGAAAAAGAAAGATTATCGTGAGATTTTCCTTCAAACAGCTCGCCTGCACACGTCATTCATGCCTTCATTACTTCTAGAATACATTATGCTAATTCTATCCTGTTTGATGCTAACAAATCCTCCCTTCAGACGTAGTTATGTCACGCCAGTCCAACCCAACCGACACTGGCTGCCCGTAACCAATCAGGTGCAATTCAAGGTTCTAGGGCTGATTTCAATGGCCTTCATGATTTAGCCCCTTCTTTAGTTTCAGATCTGCTCTTCCTCCCGTGTGTGTCCGCTCGATCACTGAGGTCTGCTGTTCTTGTGCGCCCCCAACGTGCACTACAAATCCAGAAGGGGGCGGGCTTTCTCGTTTACCGCCTCAAAACTTAAAAAGAAGATTCCCCTCCTCGAAGGGCTGGCATCTTCTCCAGCCCGGTTCAGAACTGCTGTGAAATCTCTATTTCCATCGAGCTTTGGGCCGTTGACTCTAATCTTTAGTTTTCGCTATGCTTTTATTCTGAAATGCATTCCACTGTTTTATTGCATTGTGTTCTCATGTTTTACCCGTACAGCGCTTTGGTCAGCTGCCATTCAAATGTGCTTTAGAAATACAACTGGATTGGACAGCTTTGATTAGAGATGACTCTGATTACCTCAGAGCAATTTTTTGTTGCAGATCTACAGTTGGTGTGACTTTGATTTCAAACAGAGAGGGGATCTTCTTGCCGGACTGGCCTGATGCTCCATCGGTGGGACTGCTCTGTCCAGGCGTGGGCAGCAACCCCACCCCAGGAGGAGGCTTCGGGAGCGGGGCGATGCCCTGCTTTCTCAGATCTTCCAGCTCCAACTCATCCTCACGGGCGTTCTCCTCTTCAGTGCTGATGATCTGTCAACAGAAGAAGCAAAAAACCGGTATCGGTAAGTGCTAAAAGATAAAAAAACCCGGCGTCGTTTTGGCGTACCTTTTCAAGCAGCTCTTTGGTCACGTCATTCAGAGCATCATGGGAGAATTTGCAGTTGTCTCCTTGGTAACAGTTGGCTCCGGTGTGAAAAAACTTGCAGGGGTACTCATGTGCAAAGGCAGGTTAAGGAAGCAGGCCGACTAAAAGCCAAGCTGTCTGTGCTATGAGCCGAAGAACACCCGGGGAAGGATATTGTGCATGTAGATGCAGTGATCCCCTTTGCTGCAGTATCCTTGAAGGTAAAATTTACAAAGTTCCTTTTTCTTATCAGGCACCACGAGCTCATGCTCAAATTTACACTGTTCCCCCTGCAAAAATAAAATAAATAAGGTCACTGTACTGCTGCTTGGAAAAGGAGAAGCTCCAGAACATTTTTGGGGCCCTACCTTGATGCAGCGGCCCTCCAGGAAATACTTGCAGATGTATCGACCGTTGTGTTCGACCGTGTGCTGATTGATGAACTCCTTGCTCATGATGGGCCGTTTCTTCTGAAAGCCAGAGGACAGTTTTCCATCCTGAGGTAAATAAAAACAATCTGGATCAATCGCTCTGTGTGTGATGGGTTGGGTAAAACTGGAAAACCTGGAAGATGAACAAATAAATAAATAAAAGAACTTTTCAGGGTCATACTCACCATGTCTTCCCCTCCCTGGTCTCCTCCTCGGCCCCTCCCACGCCCCCCCCAGGGTTTGCCCTTAAACTTCTTGTTCTTGTTGAGCATCCCACCACGTCCTCTCCCCGGTCCGCCGCCTCGACCCCGTCCTCTTGGTCCAACTGTAAAATAAAATCATCAGCGCCACTCAGAGAAGCCCGCACAACAATCTGGGATTCTACGGAGAACAATCATACACTGTTGGTGCTTCATCCCCCTCATGCTTCCTCGACTCATCTGCTCTTTAGCATGCCGTCCCCTTCCCTGACTCGCTGAATCTTTTGACGGCTGATAGTCCATGTCATCTTCATAATCGTCCTCCTCTTCGTCATAGTCGTACTTGTCGCTGTAGTCATCGCTGTATTTGTCAAAATCGATGCTCTTTTGCGGAGACGCCTTCTTCAAGCTGCCGTGGATTTTCTTTGAGTGCTGTTATTCAAAGCAGAGACACAAAATGTACCAGAACACAACAATACTAATAATAACACTAATAATAATCAGGAGGAGAAGAAAAAATGAAGAAGACAAAGAAGTCAAGGCTGAAGAATTTGATGAAACAAAGACGAAGAAGGATAAGACAAATAAACCGAAGACGAAGGTAAACACACCTGAGGGTGTGGGACATCGCAGTCACGACTGTAACCCTGACTCTTCCTGCTTTTGGGCCGTTCTGGTTGGTCGTAATCAGAGTCGTAGCTGTCAGAGCTGGAGCTGCTGCTGGAGGGGGAATGATGCTGCAAGGGAACAAAACCAAACACAACCCCTCAGGATTCCTTTGTATGATCTCTTTTCCCAACCTTTAACCTCCGTCTGTAAATTGCTCTGGTAGAAAGCAAACCTACTCTCGGTCTGTCCCGTCTCCGTCGCTTCGACCTTTTCTTCTCTTTGGTCTTTTTGTATCTCTTCCTTGAGTGTCTGCGCACCTTTTCTTCTTTCTCTTTACCTTTTTCCTTTTCTTTTTCGGTGTCTTCTTTTACTTCAGTAGCCTCTTTGTTCTCCTCTTCAACTTGAATCCCCTCGTCATCGATTTCTCCATCTTCCAGTTCACCGTCCTCCCTACAAGTTGGGGAAAAAAAGGACATTCAGCCACAGAGGAAACTCATCCTCGCTGTCATCAGACCTCATTGCAAGAAACAAACAGCGCAAACTCCGAGTTCATCTTATTTTAATGATCAGAGAACATCTAAAGTTGCTCCAGGCGTACAAAAGGGGTTTCCCCTTTATTTTAACTATCGTATTGTCAGATGAATTAATCCTCAGGTTGATGAAAACGTCAGATGTTCTTGTCAAGCTTTAAAATCTGAGGTTTTCCCCTCTCAAGAATTACGTACGAGTTCTTAGAAATCCGTACGAGTGATACTCTGACTCTGGACTGTGGTATCATGTAGGCAATATTTCGTCATTTTTGCTAAGCCCACCCCCCATGCAATGTGAATTGAGCACCGCTCAGCATTAGCCATAAGAGTTAGAGATCCGCTTATGCACAGATGTCAATCACAGAGCGTGCACGAGCGTTTGAGACTAATGCAGAGTTGGCGACCTTTCTTATGGACAAATCATTGTTAAACGTGTTTAAACTCTGTTGGCTAGCTAGAGGTGCACGTTCACGAATCAGAAGCGTTGCTTCCAGCCGTAATCATGGAAGCAGGGAAAAGGGGCTTAAGGTGCAACACATTTTTCCACCTTTAGATGGTGCCCTCTGAGAAAAAAACTGAATTTCTGCTTTAGTATATATATTAAAAATATTGTTTCTACTGGGTGTGTTGATTAAAACTTTACATTCTCTTTAGTGATGCACTGCTATGAAGATTTTGGGCCGGCACCGATATTAATATCACTGTTATGGCCGATAGCCGATACCAATAAATTGACATTAATGCTTCTAAAATCAGCAGATTTTGTATAAAATGAAAATTGTTAAAGCTGAATTTACATTATTATGTACACACACCACATTTATGCTTCTGAGATGATTAAAATCACTGTCACATGACTAAACAAACACACATCAACCCCCCACACGCACACCCTCTGAAACCGATAAACAAATGGAAACAAGATGGAAAAAATATCAGTTGTTAATATCGGCCCAGTTTTATTTATCGGACCGATACCAATATTATAAACAATGACTAACACCTGCCAATACCGATATTAATGCCGATATTTTTGCATCCCTAACTCTCTATTTTTTTTCTAACAGAAGTTTTAATTTAACAGGTTTGGCTGGAATCTGAATATTTTAAAGAAAAATATTCCGTGCAGAAAAATTATTTTAGGTGAAATTCGGTCAAACATTTTCAGACAGGGAATCGATTTTAAATAGTTTCAAGTATTTCAGAGAAAATATTTTTAGAGCATGTAGGCTGCTTAATAAAAAGGTGACAACACTAAATGGGAAGGTTTTTCTAACCCCGGTTAATTAGAGTGATCCCTGCATGTTCAAAACTACTACCGTACGGGATGTGACCTTTTTCAGCAGATGCACCCAAAACATTAGATTTGCCAATTTAAGCCATGGTTCCAAGACTAGAATAAAGTTACAACTTCTAAAAAACAATTTTTATAACTCCTAAAGCAACAGAATCTACTTGACTCTTTGGTAGAAATTTTTTAAAAGCAAAACCTTAATTCTTGCTTCCTCTCTCGTTTGTACATGTTTATGTTTGTTTATGTTTATGTATTTAGCAGACGCTTTCGCCCAAAGCGACTTACAAGTGATAATCGGCACATTGCCCTTGAGGCTAACAACAACAACAACTATACATGTGTAGAGAGAGGGGGCGAATCTTCCAAAGAGGATTATTTTTTTTATTTCCAAATCAATCCTATTCAATTTAATCTAATTTGTTAATTGTAGTTAATTTAGACAAATCAAAATCAAACTAAATTAATATCAGCAGGTCAGCACCGAACAAAAGCTGGAAATCAGCATCGGTCATCAAAATCTAAAATCTGTGCATCTGTGTACTTTAAATGCATTTTAGTAACACCTCATGTTATTTTAAAAACAAATTCTGATAATGAATAGGAAGAAAATTCAAATGTATAACAATTATGAGATTAATAAATAAATTAGCTCACACTGGAAGCCCAAATTATTTGTATTTTCAGTCATTCTGCTGCAAAAATTAAAGTTCAGAGTTGATCGTAGCTGCAAGTATTTGACCCCATGTTCTAAAGAGTTATGGGTATAGCTTTATCTCGTAATTACTAACTGAACTCAGCAGTTTAGTTAGAAATCAAAAACACATTTTGTGTAAAAGATGAGTCATTTTTTCCAGAGGCGGAATAAATATGCAATCTAGACTTTTTCACCAATTATCTTGGTCAAATCTGCAGAAATAATCTGCCAGGTTATTTTAACAGACAATATAAATAAATAAATCCCAATGACACAGGCCTAGACCTTGAATAAATGAATCGCAACCTTGTATGAACAGCGTGAGCAGAACCGCCAAACACCCGGTAGGGGGCGCCCGTCAACAGGATGGGCGTGACGGTGACATCACGGTCGTTTGCATGGTCTCCGCCAGAAAACGCATTCCAGTTCTACAACAAAACGATGGGGGTCTGCTGCTGCTTTGCCTGGAGAAAATGACTGGATCTCATCGGCACGGTGATGTCAAATCTCGTTCGCTCTGAACACAAAACTACACCAGCACAAAGAAAAAGCATGCCAAAAAAAGGGGGAACGAGCTTTGGAAATGTCTGCAAATTCATAGCTAAAAAAGAAATAAAAAACACATCACACAAGCATGTAGACCCACGGCACTGAAACGCACAAATGAGCGTATTAAGAATTGCACAAGAACGGTACTCGACCTTTCGTCCCCCGCAAGCTCAGAGTCTGTCATGTTTTTGTCAAAAACAGGGGCTGGGGGACTGGAAACTAGGCTCACAGAAGCCATTGGAAGACGGATCTGCCTCTTTTCTCCTCCCGGAAAAACCAGGAGTGAATTCACACGAGTCACTCAAGGAGACGTTGTTTTTTATGAGAGATGCTGGAAGATTTCAGACTGGAAAAGACTCACGGTTGTTACATGTCTCGACAGAGACAGTAAACACTCTCCTCTTTCATATCAGTGGCGTTTTAACCACCCCGTGAGCACAGCTCGACACCCCGCTTTGCTATTGTCCCGTCGGTTGACAGCTGCCATGGTGAAAACAGAGGAGACGGAGGGAGGAACAGACAGAAATGTAACCATGTTCGTTGGTTTCAGCATCTTCATGCGATTTCTCAACGGGGACATCGTCACAAAATGGCTTCTGAGTTATGCTGCTGCACATTCCTCGACTCTGTTCGGCCCTCTTATTTATAGTGTACGCTAGATCTATCTAACCTGGGAAAGACAAACCCACTCAGCTATTGGTCGAACGTCTCACGTGCAGTAAAAGCTGTTGTTTGATTGGCTCAAAGCGACGTCAGTCTGTTCTAGTAGCTGTAACGGACGAAGTGAAAAAAAATCTGCTAATTTTCAGAGTTTAATGCTTCCTGCTTGTGTGTTGTGCTACATTAACAACCATTTTTGTGTTTTTAACCCAACAGCAGCTAAATATCGTTTATTATCTTCTACGCTTTCTTAGCTGCATCATGTTGCTGGTCGAATCTACGAGCACGCGCGTCGCTGGAGCGTGCTGACCAAAACATACGGTTGTGCAGCAGATGTCGCTATGACCTCGCAAATAAAACCAGACGTGTGTGTCAAGCAAATTTGTTAAAAAAAATATGTTGAAGTTCCATACCGTGTAATGTTGCGTTAATTTATTTCTGATGTGGGATATTTAGTTAACTTCATTTATTAATAGTCTTGTTTTATCTTTATTTGAAGTAGTTTGGGTGTATTTATTTAATGGTGTAAAGATCGTATGTATGTATTTATTGTTGTTTATTTATTATTAGCTTACTTTTAAGTCTGGTTTGTGCCTTGTTTAGTGTGCTTTATTTATATATTAAAGCTTTGTCTAGTAAGTTAGTTAGTTAGTTAGTTTAACTCTAATATTGGAGTATTGTAATTGTCGTGTATATTATTTACTCGAGGTTTTTATTGTTTAGTCAAATGCACATTTTTTTAGGTTTGGTTTGACTTAATTATTATTATTATTTCGGATTAGTTTGTTTATTAATGGTTTGGTTTGCTTATTATTTAGTCTACATTTTAATTACAAATAAACCAGGACCTAGAAAAATAATATTGTAATATGTTTTATGAAAGCGTGATATGAACACCTCTATGTATTAAATGCAAGTTTCTTCTAATAATCTTCTACATTTTTCACAATATGCATTCTAGATTGAAAGAAAGCCTGTTTGGAGGTTTGGAGCTGTAAAACAGAGAATAATTATGACATACAAAAATAGCTATATCGGAATTATTTTTTTATTTATTGTGGACAGAGCACACATCATTAATTAATTTATTTATTTATTTATCTATGTATTTATTTATTTATTCACATAACAAATTATGAAACTGAATCACTTGAAGTTTTAAATAATATTTTGACATTTTAGACTTATTTTTCTCTAATTTATCAGATGTGGAGTCTTTAAACGTTTTAGTTAGTCTGTTTTTAACCGTTGACATTTTAATTTTAGATGTAGGCTATGTTCCGATTTAGTACTAAAATCTAATCTTGACTGAAATCAGTTTCAGACAAGTGTGCTTTGATTATGTGCTACAAGTGTGCTTTGATTATGTGCTACAACGGCCTGCCATACACGAAATAGATTGCGTGTCAACCAAAGATTTCATACTAGAAATTTAAGATTGCATTAATGACTTTAATAGGTTTACTTAATCGAAATAAATTAACGAATTTTTTATTCAAATGAAGGCCACAATGTGGTTCTATATTTAAAAAAAAACGAATACGAAATTCAAAGCTTAACAGCTATAGTTTACTTTAATCCGATTTTTTTTTCCCCATTATTTTTTTCTTGAAAACACAGCAGCATCGGGTGGGTAGAAATAGCTCTGAGAATGACGGTGGGAGGGATTCCTGCTGCAGGAATCTAGGTAGCCAGCAGAGCTCAGAGGTTCAACTTTCCAGAGAGAGCAGCAGAGGCTGGAGCGCATCCCTGACTCTGCTACCTGATGAACATCGAGCCTCTTTCCTGACACCTTTTATTCTGTTAAATTGTCACATCAGAGGAACCTGTTAAATATTTGAGGAGTTCATCTTTAATAGACTTTCAGACATGGATCTGTCTTTTCGACGCAGGTGTTTGATTTTGCTGTGTTTGGCAGCTATTCAAAGCGGTCATGCCACTGTTCAGGTAGGCGCATTTTAAAGTTTAAACCTCAAATGTTAAAGTCAGAATGTGGCTTCAGTAGCTACAGGTTAATATTTTAAATCCTTCAATTATTTATCGTCCTGTTTTAATGAACTCGGCTCCACCTTGCATCTGTTTATGCAAAGTATCATTTTTATGTCCACTGTATAATTACACTACTGTGTCCTACTGGAATGTAAACAAGAAAAGCAAAGAAAAAAGTTGCATCTGGATGTGAATCCTCTCATGTCATGTCACCTGGTGGCATTTCCTCTTAGCCTGGAGGCAGGTAAAAAAATAAATCCAGCCCTGCTGCAACTTCTAATGTACTGAAACTAAATGTAATCGAACAAAGCCCTCCACAGGCCAGAGGAGGAATTTAAGGTATGCAGCTGAGAGAATATGCTCCAATGAGCATGTGATTAATAAATCCTTTAACAAAGGATTAAACACTTTTTCTGCAAGGAACTCATGACAAAGGACAAACGTTTTCCCCAAAGTGACAGCCTGTGGGACCTGTGCTATTTTGAGTGTGTTCCTTCAGAATTGTCCCGCAGCCATGCAAAATATACAGAACAGCGTTTTGGACTAAGGTTTCACTGACATCTGCCACGCAGCTTTAGTCCAGCTGTGTCTGCCACTGGAGTTGTGGTGGCAAGTGTGAGAAGAGGTGAGGAGAAATCGATGTTGAGAAAGTGTCACATTGTGAACTTTTTAACGCCATAGTGGGACTTTTATTTTTGGTGAAAAGTCTTTGTAACCATAACAACGGTGTGCCCACCAATAACATGGATTTTCTTTGCGTGACATCATTCTCCACAGCTGCACAATTTATGGTTTACTTTTTTTCACCCACATTAAACCGAGGTAACTTCTAAATCCAGGACTTTTTTCTTTCTTGAAAGTGCCCGACCTTCTGCTCAGAGCGCTCATGCTTTCTTAACAGACATGCATGGATAAGCACCAGGTGGTTGGGCTGCTGCGTCAGATGGAGAAGTTCCTGAAAGGCCAAGAGATCCGCTTTACAGAGGGTCTCAGGATCATGAAGTCGAAGCTGGCATCACTTCAGAGCTCTGCCTCCAAGTTACCTCAAGCCGACCAGTCAGCTGGTGAGTTAAATACAAATTCTACCCCAATACATTCAAAGTAAATGCATAAAAACAAGGTGTTTGGACTTGCAAGAAGATAGCAAAAGCCCGGATGTATTAAGGGCTGCATTCCATTTATGCAGCTGTGCATGCAGGTTCTGTAAAAGCTACAGAACTCAGCCATGCACCCATTTTCTTTAGTAGAGTCGAGGGGTGCTGTCGTCAGATGAGAGATGGGGGACACCCTGGACATGTCACCAGTCCATCACAGGGACACACAGGGACAAACAGCCAATCAATCATGCACGTGTGAGTGCATGAGCAGAACATCCAAATGGAATGCAGCCTTTGCTTTTCTACTTTCTGCATAAAAAAAACCTTGTAATTACATTTGTTATGGATGGATGTTGCAACGTTAAAATGTCACGTTTAACCAATCTTTATAGATGTCGTTGGAAGAGTTTTGTTCAACGCATGATGCATTTGAGTATTTTGTCCATTTATTTCACAGAAAACCAAAGGCTCATTTGTGCAGCATGCTATTAAAAGTAGATCTATCTGGTGGTGCTTTTTTAGCACATTTCCAGAGCATCTGTTAAATTTCAATTTTCAGGAAAACTCCCTTTTTTCAGGCTTATTTTTCCAACAAGTTCTGACCGGTGACTACCAAGTAGCCATGCAGATGCAGCTTTTCCCGTGTTATTGTGCAGAGTCATCCAATAGTTAGTCTTTTTCTGGGTACTTGATGAGGGAAATGGAATGATGTGTTACTTGGCAGCAGACACTGAGATGAATTAGTTTGAGATGGACTCATTCACCATAAAACTCTATGGTTAATATCATTCTGGACAGAAAACAGTTAAGGTTATACCACAATACAAGCTTAGCAGAGCTGAAATTATGAATAAAAAACTGTCGAAAAGCTTCTTCAGATCTTTAAAAAAGACTAATTCAGTAATCCTTAAGCAAATTGAACAGTTTTTTAATTTATAGGTCTTTTATTTTTCCATCTTTTTTGACCAAATAAAAAAATAATTATGTACTTTTTAAACTATTTGCAATGCACACAAACATAAAAATAAACAATCTTCATATTAAAGATTTATATTTATCAGAGATTTTCTTTACATTAAATTAATTCTGACCTGCGTTGGCTGACCCATACACACGTTAACGATAAGCTCAGAAAGGCAGAAGGGGATTATTTAGCAGTTCTTGTCCTAGAAACATAAACTGTACACAACTGAGGTCAGATTAAGTTCAAATTGCCAATCAGCAGTTTAGATTTACTGAAATTTACACAAAAGACAATTTCATTGCAAGTCAGATGAATAACAAAAATCTCATCAACGGCAAAAATGTCATTTTGAACAGAATTAAACTTTTTGGAACATAACAAACAAAATAATTTAGTGTAGTTGACCCATATCAGGGACTAGTTGACTGTAAATGAGGCGTTTGAACCCCCGTTTCCCATGAAGCCTCTGTACTTCCCAGTGACACGTGTGCCTCCAGGCAGGGAATACCAAAGGACTTTGGGAGGCTTATGTGACCAGCGTTCCTCTCATGCTCTCATCTTCTCTCTCCCACAGCTCCCACCACCTGCCCCTCCCTGGAAGCTCCTGCTCATGGAACAAAGTTTGGCTCAAAGTATTTTGTTGGACACGAGGTCCACTTCACTTGCTCCCAGGGGTACCAGCTTGTCGGCTCTCCCACGCGAGTTTGCAGGGATAATGGCACCTGGACTGGTGTCGGTGCAGCTTGTAAAGGTGGGCAGAGTGTTTCATTTCATCAGTATTCCTCAGTAATGGAGTCAAGTAACGAAATACAAATACATAGTTACCTTACAGAGGTAATTGTGGGTAATCTGTACTTCGCTGGAGTAATTAAAAGTAGCTTTCAGAAATTAGTGTTTTTTCATTTGTTTTTCATCAATCAACAAAAGCAGTGAATGAATAAAAGTAAATCTAAATCAAATCAATGTTTTGTGACCACATTTGCCTTCGAAATAGCATCAGTAGGTTTTTCCAAATGCCGTGGAGAACTGACCACTGATCTTCTGAGGATGTAGGCTTCCCCAAATCCTTCTCTCTCTTCATGTAATCCCAGACACGCTCCATGATGTTCATGGCTCTGTGGGGGGTAGACCATCACCTCCAGGGCTTCTTCTGATACTGAAGATTGTTCTGAAGGACTTTGGGTGTTTGTTTGGGGTCACTCACTTTGCATTTTGTCAGTTGATTAGAAAAAATAAACAAATCATTATTTATATTGCAAAAGGCATTCCTTGATCGACAGGCGGATTGGTTCGGCGTCTGCAGTGATGCGGACGCTGAGCCGATCTGTCGTGGTAAAGAGGGAGCTGAGCCAGAAAGCCAGGCTCTCGATTTACCGGTCGATCTACGTCCCAATCCTCACCTATGGTCATGAGCTTTGGGTAATGACCGAAAGAACGAGATCGCGGATACAAGCGGCCGAAATGAGTTTCCTCCATAGGGTGGCCGGGCTCAGCCTTAGAGATAGGGTGAGGAGCTCGGACATTCAGGAGGGACTCGGAGTAGAACCGCTGCTCCTCCGGATCGAAAGCAGTTAGTTGAGGTGGTTTGGGCATCTGGTCAGGATGCCTCCTGGACGCCTCCCCGGGGAGGTGTTTCGGGCATGTCCTGCCGGCAGGAGGCCCCCGGGTCGACCCAGGACACTTTGGAGAGGTTACATCTCCAATCTGGTCCGGGACGCCTTGGGGTCCTGCCGGAGGAGCTGGTGGAGAAGGCCGGGGAGAGGACGGTCTGGAGATCCCTAGAAGGGATGTTGCCCCCGCGACCCGGACCCGGATAAGCGGAGGAAGACGACGACGACAACGACATTCCTTGTTTACAGCATTTTTTTCATACCTGCCTAAAACTTTTGCACAGCACCATACAGGGAGTGCAGAATTATTAGGCAAATGAGTATTTTGTCCACATCATCCTCTTCATGCATGTTGTCTTAATCCAAGCTGTACAGGCTCGAAAGCCTACTACCAATTAAGCATATTAGGTGATGTGCATCTCTGTAATGAGAAGGGGTGTGGTCTAATGACATCAACACCCTATATCAGGTGTGCATAATTATTAGGCAACTTCCTTTCCTTTGGTAAAATGGGTCAAAAGAAGGACTTGACAGGCTCAGAAAGGTCAAAAATAGTGAGATATCTTGCAGAGGGATGCAGCAGTCTTAAAATTGCAAAGCTTCTGAAGCGTGATCATCGAACAATCAAGCGTTTCATTCAAAATAGTCAACAGGGTCGCAAGAAGCGTGTGGACAAACCAAGGCGCAAAATAACTGCCCATGAACTGAGAAAAGTCAAGCGTGCAGCTGCCAAGATGCCACTTGCCACCAGTTTGGCCATATTTCAGAGCTGCAACATCACTGGAGTGCCCAAAAGCACAAGGTGTGCAATACTCAGAGACATGGCCAAGGTAAGAAAGGCTGAAAGACGACCACCACCGAACAAGACACACAAGCTGAAACGTCAAGACTGGGCCAAGAAATGTCTCAAGACTGATTTTTCTAAGGTTTTATGGACTGATGAAATGAGAGTGAGTCTTGATGGGCCTGTGGCTGGATTGGTAAAGGGCAGAGAGCTCCAGTCCGACTCAGACGCCAGCAAGGTGGAGGTGGAGTACTGGTTTGGGCTGGTATCATCAAAGATGAGCTTGTGGGGCCTTTTCGGGTTGAGGATGGAGTCAAGCTCAACTCCCAGTCCTACTGCCAGTTTATGGAAGACACCTTCTTCAAGCAGTGGTACAGGAAGAAGTCTGCATCCTTCAAGAAAAACATGATTTTCATGCAGGACAATGCTCCATCACGTCCAAGTACTCCACAGCGAAGGAAAACTAATGACATGGCCTCCTTGTTCACCTGATCTGAACCCCATTGAGAACCTGTGGTCCATCATCAAATGTGAGATTTACAAGGAGGGAAAACAGTACACCTCTCTGAACAGTGTCTGGGAGGCTGTGGTTGCTGCTGCACGCAATGTTGATGGTGAACAGATCAAAACACTGACAGAATCCATGGATGGCAGGCTTTTGAGTGTCCTTGCAAAGAAAGGTGGCTATATTGGTCGCTGATTTGTTTTTGTATTGTTTTTGAATGTCAGGAATGTATATTTGGGAATGTGGAGATGTTATATTGGTTTCACTGGTAAAAATAAATAATTGAAATGGGTATATATTTGTTTTTTGTTAAGTTGCCTAATAATTATGCAGAGTTAATAGCCACCTGCACACACAGAAATCCCCCTAAAATAGCTACAACTACAAACAAACTAAAAACTACTTCCAAAAACATTCAGCTTTGATATTAATGAGTTTTTGGGTTCATTGAGAACATGGTTGTTGTTCAATAATAAAATTATTCCTCATAAATACAACTTGCCTAATAATTCTGCACTCCCTGTATCTGTTAGCCAACTTTTTACTTCTGCTCCTCACATTGTCATGCTATAATCTGACCTTTCTAATCATTATGTGTTAAAAATTGCCTTGATCCATTTATTGAATTTCAACTCATTGGCTAAAAAAACCCACAAAGACAAAAAACATTTCCAGATAATTTTCGTCATTCGGGTGAAGTGAATTTGATTGCAGTTGGATGAAAATGTCTATCTATGATTCTTTAACCCTATTATTGCTTTGTACCATCTATATTTTGTCCTTTAATGCATTTTGTGCTGCACTAAAATGTGTTGAACTGCATTGTTTACTGTGTGAAGTGCCTTGAGACGACTCTTGTAGTGATATTTAAAAATAAACTTGAATTTAATTTAATTGAACAATTGAGTTTTAATTAGCATTTATCCAACTGCAGAGCTGGCCCAAGGCAAAGTGACTGCCTGGGGGTCCCCACACCACCAGAGGGTTACCAAGTGTAACAAGACAGTGTCAGGAAAAGTTTACATAACTTTAAATAATATAAAATAAATAATATTACACATGAAAAAACTATGTATAAGGTATTTTCTATAGTGTCATTTGTGTCACACAGCGTGATTTGGTTTTATTTAGTAGTGATTGCATGTTTATTCCTGGTGATGAGAGGAACAACATCATATATGACATCAAACAGCGATATAAAACGTGATTTACTTCTTTTTGGTTTAATGGCAGATTGCACAAACAAACCGTAACATTTGAAGTCTCGAGGGATCGTGTGATCTCGCAAGGAGATTAGCGGAAGTTTCACAGGATTTAGTGATCTCGCAAGTTGAGCGAGGAGCACGGCAGAGAAGCGGCTTCGCTGCTGAGATTCTCCCGGTGTGCATTTGAGTGCTTTGATTGTCGCAAGTAAACCTTTCCGCTGCCGTTCCACGCCACTTTTACTTCCAGTGTTCAGTAGGCGTTGGCCTGGTGAGTGGGATGTTACTGCAACCGAGCGAAACCAAGATGGCCATGGCTCTGTACTGTAGCGGTCCAGTCACAGCTCTCTATTGGTTTGGTGGACCAATCACAGTACTCTGCTGGTGAGTGGGATGTTACTCATACAAAGATGGCGATGGCTCATTTAAAGCGGTTTTGGAATCAACTTTGAGCTATTTTGACCTAGCCTTTTCTTTGACTCAAGAGCAGATGTAGTTTATTTAGAAAAAGGATGTATTTGCATCTTCTTTGACAGAGTATGACGGACTGCCATCCATATCGGTGACTGTTTGTCATCCAATAACATGCGGAGACAGTTTGAAAGACAACTGTAGATCCCGCTCCACAACTGAGAGCTGTAAAAGGACCGAGGCCAGATGATATATTCTCATATACAGGATGGCTTGCCAGGCAACATTTTACACATCTGTCCCAAATGTTTAGAACAATAAACTCAATCAATCAATCAAAATCAATAGCCATAATAACACAGGTATCATGACACCAAATCCCAAAATATCCCAATGATTGTTGGTATGTTAATCATGCATGTGAATCATCTGGTGTTGACTTGTAGTATTGGGGTCCCCAAAGGTAAACCTAGTTCGGGCCCCAAAAATGCCTGGGCTGCCCCTGTGTGGCCTAAACATGTAGCCTGGTGTATCCCAAATGTCAATATTAAACTTTAGTGAAAATAATTTTGGGCAGGTGTGATAGATGTGGTGTCTGCTTTTGTCCTTAACAGTATATATTTGACTTACATTACATTCACTTTTGTACTTTAAAGGGACTTTACGGAGTATTGAATTGTTATGCTCGCGATTGCCCCCTCAGGCCAAAAGCGTAACGGCAGCTTCAACAGTAGGCTCGTGCACGAGGCGTGCATGCTGTACGTGCACACTCCTTAACAAAAATAACAGCTGAGACAGTCCCGTGTGTGTGTGTGTGGGGGGGGGGGGGGGAGGACAGAGGACAGGAGAACACGCAGCTAATTAATTAAATAATTTGGTTCTGTACCTTTTTCTTCAGCACAGCTGACAAAGGTTTAAGATGGGTCAGTCCTCCTGCATGCTCAGATCATTCCCTTCCTTTGCTTGAAAAATTGTTCCAAAATGAAAGTTGAACCCACATTTTTATCCGTGACTTCAATGCCGTTCGGCGAGTCTCAAATGAAAATTTGGGCATCTTACTGTAAAAAAAAAAAAATATCATTAAAGTAAAAAATAAACTCCAAATAAATTATGTTCACATTCAGAATCGAATCCAGATCTCCTGCACGAGAGTCCGGCGTCTTACTAGGTGAGCTAAAGCTACAGTGACATCTTCTGTATCTGTAACTTTTATATCCTTGATGACAGCTGAAACAACATTCAAAGAACGGTTCGGAGCGAAAATGGCTATTTTGTTGCTAATTTGCAGGAAATATCTAGAAGAAAGTAGCTAAGGGTCCTCAGAAATGTAGCTAGGTTCATCACTAGGCGTTAGGAACAGCGACAAAGTCGCTGAGTTGGCACTGCCTCACTCTCTGCTGCTAAAGCTACTGATAGCAAATGCTACGGGCTATGCCTGAGCGTGAACGCGCATGAAGCAGCCTGCTCGACCCGAGCAGCTCTCTTTTTCTGTGAATTTACAGAAAAACAGGCAATCACAGTAAAAATGCCAGGGCTCATTCTACAGGACCAGGGCATTGCAGGAGAATGTATGAAGAAGAAATTTATTATTTCTATACATGTTTTGGCTGTCAAACTTCCATAATGTCCCTTTAAGTAGTTTTGAAACCAGTGCCATTTAATTTTTACCCTAATATCTTCAAATGATACTTTCACTTCTACAGAAGTCTTTTTAAACTCTGGTATCTTTGAATAACATTCTGAAAATGTTTTGCACCTCTGCTCAACTTTGATATTTTGTGTAATGATTTCGCACTCAAATACTTCATTATTCATGTGTGACCATCATGTAGCCTTCCTCAGTGACAACCTGAGGGACCAAATAGCTCGCCACAAATTCACAAATGAGGGGAAAAGTGGTAAAAATCCCTTTCTTCAAAATTCCTTCTTCTCTCAACTCACTGAATGAAGCTTTTGTTAAATTGGAATTAAAAGCCTCAGAACACAGAAAAACACCTGTACTGCATTCCACTGTGGAGTTCCCTCCCCTGCAGGTTTCTAGTCCTCATTAACAGCCATTCAGCTACTGTAAGATAATCACACACACACACACACACACACACACACACACACACACACACACACACACACACACACACACACACACACACACACACACACACACACACACACACACACACACCCATCTCCCACTACTCATGTTTCTCTGGTTCTTTACAAGCAGTCTCTGGACGGGGTTGGTCCAGCTATTATACCCAGAGTTTGGTCTGATAGCACAGAAATATGCTAAGCATGCTATTGATTTCCACATAAGGCTCCACTCTTCTCTCAAAAAGTCCCAGTGGCACACTCAGGACCAGCATGTGCGTACGTTTATTGATACTGCAGTTTAAAGCAACTTTAGAGGCCTTGACTTTTCTCCTTAGTATCCCTGATTTTGTGCTTCAGAACCGCATGAGAGATCTAAAGTTTGGCATGATTGAAAAGCAGTAGTGGAATAGGCTGAAAGAGTTTAGAATTAGATTAAAAATAGCCAAAAGTGTGCGTGGGTCTTTTCATGTAGCCTGGTGGGAGTGCCAAATAAAAAATTAAAGGAAAGGCTTGTCAGTTGTATGAAGATCAAAGAGCAACAGCTGCGATTTGTGCATCAGCCTAGGTCTCAGAGCAGAGGCAAATCTCTTACCTATCTACGTTTAGCTTGATGCCTTAAGCGCACAAAAGAATAAATAAGTTGCATTTCAACTGATTTTATAGTGATGGTCTTAAAATGTTTTTATTTGATGTTTTAGTTCATTTGAAACCTTAATTTAGGAAAATTGGCCCATTTTATCACAGGCAGAACTACAAAACAGATTTAACATATCTTTGAACACTACACTAAACCATATGGATGCAAAAGTTAAATAGTAAACAAAAAACTGCCAGTTCAATCAAAGTCTGAGTTTTTTGTGTGGTTTCTGTCTTTCAAGATGAAACAGCTCTTATGTGACTGATGAAACTTGCATCTGTTAAGGATTGCGGTACGAATGCAAGAAACTGAAACTTTCTTAACAGTAAAAACAATCTTCTTTTACCTTTGCAGATGTAAGTGAATGTGCAAGTAACCCCTGCCAAAACGGAGGTACCTGTGTGGAAGGCATCAACCAGTATAAATGCACTTGCCCACAAAACTGGAGCGGCTCTCACTGCCAGGACCAAACCCAAACAGGTCAGTGCCACACAAGCTGCCTGGTCTATTTCTGTTCATGCTTCTATTTGATCCAGCTTTCTTGCTTTATTCACAGCACCGCCTGAGTGGAGTGTTATGAACGACCCAGCGTTTAGCCGGAGACCTCGCTGCGCCCAAGTCAACCAAGCCCAACACTGCAGCTGCGACGCCGGCTTTCACATGAGTGGCACCTCTGACAACAGCATCTGTCAGGGTGAGCTGTGATTACGTGTTGATTTCATTGATCCCAGTGGGGAAATTCTCCCTGCTTTTAGGAAAATAAGGTCAGCTGCGGAGCAGCTCCCTGCAGCAGCGCGGTTCCCTGCTCATGACACCTCTGAAGGGGGCAAACAGCAGATGTTACTGGGACTTTACTGCAGCAAATTCAAGTCAACATTTATTTATATAGCGCATTTAATTGACAACAGCCGTTGCCCCAAAGTGCTGCACACAGAAAAAGTAAAAGCATTAAAAATAATAATAAAGAGCTGACAAAAGCATCACAAGAGACCAAAACCACAGGCAGATAGGTCAAAATACATCAAAACAAATTACAAACTAATTAAAACAACAATAAAATATTACAGAAAAAAAAATTAAAAGAACAAGAGAAGCCTGCGGCATGTTGATTATCAGGTAAATGTCTAAGCATACAAATGTGTTTTCAGACATATTTTAAAGAGGTCACAGTATCAGCTGTCTGTTAGGTTCATCACAGGGAAGGCTTTAGCACCATCACATCTTTAGTTGTCACTATCAGCCGATCTCATTGTTCTAGACGGGACATAGGGCTGAATAAGGGTGCACAGATATGAGGGAGCCACCCCGTGGATTTAAAAACCAGCAGAAATATCTTAAAATCAATCCAGAACTTAGCAGGAAGCCAGTGAAGATCATACAGATGTGGAGTAATATGGTCATATTTGCTTGTCTACATCAGAAGGTGAGCTGCTGCATTCTGGGCATTCTGTAAGCAACCTAAAGCAGATTGTGGCAAGCAATGTGTAACACATTACAGTAGACCAGCCACAAAGAGGTCATAACATGAATAAAAGTTGCAACTAGATCAAAAGAAACATAGTCCATGAACTAGTCTTCACGGCTGCACTGATCTGATCCACAAAGGTGAGACCTGAGTCAAAAACAACCTCCAAGGTCCTAACTGTGTGGTGACCGTAGGAGGAAAGATCTCCAAGGCTGCTTTGTCTGGTTAAGCAGGGCAGTAGATGACCCAAAGACAAGGATCTCAGTTTTCCTCTCGTTGCGTTCGAGTCAAACAATGCCTGCACATCTTTAAGGCAGTCTAACAAATCTTGAGAAAGAGAGCCACTATTCAATGGTATTGATACATGGATCTGCAGGTCATCTGCATAGGTGTGAAACAAGATCCCATATTTTGTGAAAACACACCCTAGTGCACATATGTCAGAGTCAAGGCCCGCGGGCCAGATGCGGCCCGCGGAGCATTTTTATGTGGCCCGCAAGATAAATATCAAAAATATATTAAAACTGGCCCGCTGGCCGATTTTACAGCAAAGACTTCAGCTCCCATGATGCTTTGCGGCGTTAGCGCGGAGCCGACGCGCCCCCTCTTTTGTGTTTTTTTCCAGCGCCTGCTGCCGGGGTCTGCAGCTCCGCTGTCTCGGACAAACTACACTCCTCTCACTCAGCGCCGAGTTCACTCAGCTATTTTCTGATGTTGAAGCCCAGAAACGGAGATTCTAGCCGCTCAGTAATGTGTTCACGACTGAAAGAGAAAGTTTTCCAACTAACGTCCAGACAGAGCTGATATAACTCCAGCGAACTGCGACACGCTCAAACCAGCATGACTCTGTGGTTGTTTCCCCCCCGACACACAACAACGTGGTCAAGCTGCTCAGACATGTTCATCAGCACAAACCTATGTGAGCACCTGTTGTCATCTAATGTTGTCATTATTATGATGAAGATGAACAAAACAACAGGAGTCTCCTCCTCAGCTCAGATCATCCCCATGATGCAGGTATCTGGCTGGAACAGGTGAGCATCACAGTAAACTAGTGGAGCAAACTGAGCTTTAAATATGTTGGTTTTATGCTTTTTCTGCTCCAAAACATGAAAGTTAGCAGGTGAGATGTTGCATTTTCATTTAAGATAAAATGATATTTTTATTTTGTTGTTGGCCCGTGAGAAAAGATTTAACCTACAGTAAACAGGAAGTGGAAAGGCTGCAGATAGATGAATAGAATAGAAATTCCCTTTATTGTTCCTCAGTGGGGAAAGCTAGACGTCACAGCAACGATGACACTTATTACAGGAGAAAAAAGGAGAATAAAAAATAAAAAAAAATGAATAAACAAGAAAACATAAATCCTGGATAGATTTAAAAAATGCTGATTATACCACAAGTAATGAACACCACTGATGCCTTTTATTTAAAACTGACTTGCTCGTGTGTAATTTGGTTATTCCACATTCAGTGTTAATGCAGAAATCTGTTTGTTTCCAAATTTAAAGGTTCAAAATTGCATATATGTTGATAAAGAAAATGTGCAATTTGTCGTCACTTTTTCAAAAAATATTAAGTTTGGCCCTCGACTCCGTCCCAGAGTTTCATTTCGGCCCCGTGTGAGTTTGAGTTTGACACCCCTGCCCTAGTGGTATCATAAATAATGAGAAAAGCAATGAACTCAGAACTGAGGTCCCCTTCATACAATTTTTATGAAAAATCTGAAGTTAATATGAAAGTTTTGCAACAACTATATGCTCTCCTGTTGTCATTTCATCATAAAAGCATTTTTTTCTTGCTTTTTAAACAGATGTAAATGAATGTGAAGTGTACCGGTTGGATCAAGGAGGGAAACTGTGTGTCCACCAGTGTGTTAACGTCCCAGGCTCGTACCACTGCTCCTGCCCCAGTGGTTACAAGTTACTTCCAGATGGGCGGAGCTGCGAAGGTGAGCATAAGGATTTCTAGAAGGACAAGAGGACTTATTCACAGGGCCTTGGCTGCAAATGTTACAGGGTATCCATTTCCAGAGTTTTGGTACGAGAAGAGAATTGGTTTTCTGCAGAGGTGTTTGCCTCAAACCTCGTTACTTTCATAGCCACCTCTAAGGTTTGCCAGTTGGAAAATATGACCTCACCTTTCCAAGCAGAAGGGATCTTTAGGACGCTCTTGGAAGAAGAAAAGAAAAAAACAAACAAAGAACACAGCGCCCTCGGTCCAGACGGTGTCAGACAGGAAGCAGGGAGTCAGTCCATCAAGTTCCTCTCCTCTCCTGCTTACATGCCTCTAATGTTTTGTCTTCCAGATGTGGATGAATGTTTGAGCCAGAAGCACAACTGTAGCCGAGGGACATCTTGTGTCAACACGGGGGGAGGCTTTCAGTGTGTCAACCCGGAGTGTCCCCATTCCCACGGCAACATCAGCTACGTAAAGACATCTCCCTTGTAAGTGGAAACGCCACAAATTTCATTAGTAAAAAAATTAGCACTACCTAGTTTTGATGCAGAGTCACGAGGCAGAAAAAACAAACCTTTAAATAAGTAGGAAACAACAGTTAAACATTTGTGTTCCAGATATAAAGTTTAGGTTCAATATTATCCTAATCATGATGTTATATCAATGAGTCGTTACTGGTACAAAAAATAAAGTGCATGCCCAGAAAAACAACCTGACTAAATTCTTCTCTTTGTCAACGCACGTAAGCATGTTTGTGGCCGTCAGCAGCCTGACTCAGAAAGAGCATGACACAACGTTCTGTCTGCTGCTACTGAACCATCACTAAAGAGAAGTCCTGCTCCAATATCAGCAATAATAACAGTTAAATGTCTGAGAAAAAGGCTAAAAGGAAAACCTGAAACTTCTGTGTTTTAGTTTCAGCCAGTGTACTCTTTTTTTTCATGTTTTATGTTCTCAAAAATGAATTAAATTAAAGCTCCACGTGGATATTGGTGTACAATGGCCGCATTTCAACTGTAGGAGTTCTGGGTAAATTCCTGGGGTGGACGCGATGGCTCAGTTCTCTCAGTCGTTGTGTCTCCTTACCAAATCGGCCGTTTCAGGTTTTTTTAAACACAGCGTATCGCAACAGTGAGTGATGTCACTGGTAAGCATCAATAGGCATCTATGAACAATAATAACAGTAAGAAAGTTTTATTCTGTTAAAGTACGCCATAATTAAATCCACACAGGGGGCCAGGAGAGCAGCTGTGTGATGCAGAAAGCAGTGCTCAATGATCAGAAGAAATTCCACTCTGTAGGAAATGACAAAGCGCCGTGATATCGGTGTTCTAGGATGATTTCTTTAGCATTTTTTTTTGTGTCTGGAGTTTAGAAACGGCAATTTTAATGCAGCATCAATGCTGTTTGTTGTCTTTACCTTCCAATTTGCTTCAGCAGCAACTCTTTCAAATTTACAAATGCCAGTTTGGCGACATCTGCCAGTATCATTTGTGTTGTGTATACCACTAGGGGCTGTATAGGAGAGAAGAAAGTAGGTAGGAGAGAAGAAGTGGTGTGTGGGAGAGTGAAGATGGATGCCTGATATTGCTACATGCGACGCAGTTTTGAATAAAGCTTGGAAAAGGAATTCTTGCCTACTCGTGGTACTTTCTGGTACAACTACCGACCATAACAATTTCCTAATAAGTTCCAACCAATCAGGATGAGTTAACCAGAAGTCCTACCCAGCGACTCTACTGCCCTAGTTCAGGGACGCGATTTATACCTGAAATGGCCCAGAAAGCGGCCCTTTCTGGTCGGCCTTGTGAAATGGAGGCAAGAGCATGCCAGGAAGGTCCGGTAAAATTACCCTGAAGTTCCAATATTGGTAATAGGCATATAATTAATAAGTTTAATTTATAAATACAGTATACTTTCTTCACATGTATTACTCATCTGTCCTGCAGTCAGTGTGAGAGGAACCCCTGTCCCAGGAACAGCCGCCCCTGTCACTTGGCTCCTAAGACGGTGTCCTTCCACTATCTGTTTCTGCCCTCCAACCTGCAGACGCCTGCCACCCTGTTCCGCATGGCCACAGCTACGGCCCCGGGTCGCACGGGGCCAGACAGCCTGCGCTTCGGCATAGCGAGCGGAAACTCCCGAGGCATGTTTGTCATGCAGCGTTCTGACAGACAGACAGGTGAGCTGATTCTGGTGCAACAGCTGAGCGGACCTCAGGAGATCAGCGTGGACGTTGACATGTCCGAGTATACCGACCGCACCTTTCAGGCCAAGCATGTGGCAAGAGTCAACATTCTGGTTTCACCCTACAACTTCTGAGAGCAAGCATAGTGGGGACGAAGAGTTGTTGGGACCTAAAACCAGGACTAATCCATCTCTCCCTTTGTTTTTGCATCAGTTCAAAAGGCTTAGTTATCCCAAAATAAATAAAGTTGCTGTCAATCAATGAAGCTTCTTTTAAAAACTCTTAATTGGATTTGAGCTTCAAACAAATAAACCCCATGAGAGCTCAGATGTAGAACACTCCTACTTAATGGAACGCTCTCATGGTTCTAATTTATTGGATACATTGTTGCTGGATTTTAGTTTGTAATTTTCAGGCAAAAAAAGCGATCTTTGATCATCTTATATTGTATATTTGCTTTTGTGTTGTTTTTTATACAAACTTGTTTCATTTAAGGCACCGGTAAGGGATTCCTTTATTTTGGCGCCACTTTACAATAAAGCTCTCTTAATGAATTACATATAAATAGTATCTATAAATATACATATACATATATACATACATACATATATATATATATATATATATATATATATATATATATATATATATATATACTATTTATATTTGCACACTTTTTGATTGTGAGTGTTTATTATGCTTTATTTAAGGAAAGTAAAGAGACAAAACTGACCAGTTACTGATCCAAATCTTTTCACATTTTTATCTAGCGTTGCCATAATAGATATTTCAGACTAAGTTGCTCTCTTGTCAGCACAATAAGCGATTATAAACATATTTTTTAGCACATATTGTTCTTTTTCACTGTATTATAAATATCCCCAACTAGCAAAGGGAGCCTTATTGTAAAGTTTGAAACGTGAAACTATTTATTAATGACTATTAAACCTTTAGCCAAAAGGGAGCCTTACTGTGATGTGGTTCAACATAGTTTTGATTAATGTCACAAAGCTTTTTATGTGTTTAGAAACAACAGTTTGTGCTTTTAACCGTTTATGGTAAACCTTTGTCTTACCTTTACCAATTCTTATTTATCATAAACAAATGGTGACATGTTTTACCCTTCATAATACGGCTCTTTTTATAGACGGGATTGATTATAATAGCGTTATAAAGTACAATATTATATGATAAAAATGTGTTTTTTAAATGCTCACTGTGCTTACAAGGTATTAATATCGTCTGAAATGTATGAGTCACTATTTGGTAAGAAGCTGGTCAATTTTGACTCTTTTTCTCCTGTAATTAATGCTTAATAAACCCTTATTGAAGACCAAGTTCACTCTTTTTGTTCAATTCATTTGCAGTTATCTCTAGTATAAATTAATGCCTTGTGAGTCAATTCTCAAGGGAAAAAAAGCTCTGGCGCACTGACTGCAAGATTTGATATTTTATTTCCTGATATTCTGATATCTCTCCTCTGATTGGCTAACAGCAATGCGACTCTACCACTGACTCAGCTTTGCAATGCTGATGCTAATGCCAGCGGTTAGCTTTTACGAGCCGAGAAGGGCTCTGCTCTCCTAGATGCCGTCACGAGCCCAGATTGTGTGTGTGTGTGGGGGGGGGGGAGGGGGGGGGGAGGGGGGTGGGGGGGTTATGAAGGCAAATTTTCAATGTGAAGTGGAATTATCTAGCTTTTTAAATCCAAGCGTTTCCCCGTCTATTTTCTATTGGCAGCTAATGTAGGAAATGGGGTTGAAGACTATTTTTACATTTAGCCTGCATGTTAAACTAAGAGACTGGTCATATTTGAAAAGTAACAAGTAAAAACAATTTCTTAGTGAACTTGGTCTTTAAGGCTTCATAAAGTGTTACAGATTGATCAAAAACATGTCTATAACTATATATTAACCATTTATAAGGGGAGTCATGTTGTAAACAGTAGCTGCAGCACTTTAACAGATCTCTTGTGTATATCTATGTTGTGCAGAAACAGTCTTGTTGTGTTCTAAATCATTAATGGTGTACCTAATAGTGAAATACTTCACATTTTACCAGGAACTTGAATTGTCTCAGTGGGATTTAAATAAAGCTTTCAGTATTTGTAAACCCAATCCCTTTTGATGCACTGGTTGGCTGTTAAGTGTCCATGTGGCGATGCTTGTTCCATTCTATCACCACTGGGAGTGAATTTTAATGACTGAAATGCAAACCCACGATAGATGAAGGCTTTCTGAATGAAAGGCTGCAGATGAAGAATGTGTGTTCAATAATGAAACCCCTGAAGCACACTCTCACTGGGGAAAGCCTTTTCCACATCTCTTTTAGGAGAGAGGGAAGTTATTTTATTTGACTTAAGGAGAAAGAACACCGACTGACACATCTTACAAACATATCTGGGTTTCAGGCTAATTCTCACCACATGTGTTCTCTTACTTTGGTCCATCCTCCTCCATCCATCCAGGGGTTTACGTTGCAGTAAAGTGGGCCAAAGAGGCTGCCCCATTCTAGACGGGAGCAGATGGAGAAAATTTAACATGATCTGATCAGAAAGTGACTAAGTGGCAGTGCTAATCACGTGGGAGAATGTGCATTGTTGTTGTTTTGATCTTGTACTGAGGTTGCTTGAAGTTTCTTTAGTTTTTATATTGCTGGAGGAATCTGAATTATTTGCATCAGTTGTATATCATTTACAGAAGATGTCATAAAACATTTGTACTATCTTTTCTTATTCGTCCTGTGACAATATATTTATTGTATTTCCCTTTCCTTTTAGTCTGAGTAAGTACTGTCAGTGATCTTTTTTTTTTGGGGGGGGGGGGGGGTTCTAGACCACATGGCAGGGGAGGGGTCAAGCTGCTCTGTTCGCTAACGAAAGAAAACACAAATATGCCTTTAAATATTTAAATTATCAGTATAATTACAGCAATTCAGTTAGCTGCTGTAGATACAACAGCTTTTCAGTTAGTATCAAAATATCACTGTTTAGAAAAAAATGCATTAACTGAGTTATTTTTCTCAGTGACTGAAAATATTTGCCTAAGCATCTCTTTTTAATGCAAATAATGCAATACAACTGCATAAAATTCAGACTAGGCTGCGCAGTGGTTAGAGCTGTTGCCTTGCAGCAAGAGGGTCCTGGGTTCACTTCCCAGCCTGGGATCTTTCTTTATGGAGTTTGCATGTTCTCCCTGTGCATGCGTGGGTTCTCTCCAGGTACTCCAGCTTCCTCCCACAGTCCAAAAATATGACTGTTAGGTTAATTGGTCTGTCTAAATTGTCTTTAGGTGTGTGTGTGTGTGTGTGTTCTGTGTTGCCCTGCGACGGACTGGCACTCTGTCCAGGGTGTACCCTGCCTGATTGCCCATTGACCGCTGGAAATAGGCACCAGCCCCCCCGCGACCCTACATGGACAAGCGGGTTCAGACAATGGATGGATGAAATTCAGACTAGAATTGTGGAGGATCATGATACAGGGAGTGCAGAATTATTAGGCAAGTTGTATTTTTGAGGAATAATTTTATTATGGAACAACCATGTTCTCAATGAACCCCAAAAACTCATTAATATCAAAGCTGAATGTTTTTGGAAGTAGTTTTTAGTTTGTTTTTAGTTGTAGCTATTTTAGGGGGATTTCTGTGTGTGCAGGTGGCTATTAACTCTGCATAATTATTAGGCAACTTAACAAAAAACAAATATATACCCATTTCAATTATTTATTTTTACCAGTGAAACCAATATAACATCTCCACATTCCCAAATATACATTTCTGACATTCAAAAACAATACAAAAACAAATCAGCGACCAATATAGCCACCTTTCTTTGCAAGGACACTCAAAAGCCTGCCATCCATGGATTCTGTCAGTGTTTTGATCTGTTCACCATCAACATTGCGTGCAGCAGCAACCACAGCCTCCCAGACACTGTTCAGAGAGGTGTACTGTTTTCCCTCCTTGTAAATCTCACATTTGATGATGGACCACAGGTTCTCAATGGGGTTCAGATCAGGTGAACAAGGAAGCCATGTCATTAGTTTTCCTTCGCTGTGGAGTACTTGGACGTGATGGAGCATTGTCCTGCATGAAAATCATGTTTTTCTTGAAGGATGCAGACTTCTTCCTGTACCACTGCTTGAAGAAGGTGTCTTCCAGAAACTGGCAGTATGACTGGGAGTTGAGCTTGACTCCATCCTCAACCCGAAAAGGCCCCACAAGCTCATCTTTGATGATACCAGCCCAAACCAGTACTCCACCTCCACCTTGCTGGCGTCTGAGTCGGACTGGAGCTCTCTGTCCTTTACCAATCCAGCCACAGGCCCATCAAGACTCATTCTCATTTCATCAGTCCATAAAACCTTGGAAAAATCAGTCTTGAGACATTTCTTGGCCCAGTCTTGACGTTTCAGCTTGTGTGTCTTGTTCGGTGGTGGTCGTCTTTCAGCCTTTCTTACCTTGGCCATGTCTCTGAGTATTGCACACCTTGTGCTTTTGGGCACTCCAGTGATGTTGCAGCTCTGAAATATGGCCAAACTGGTGGCAAGTGGCATCTTGGCAGCTGCACGCTTGACTTTTCTCAGTTCATGGGCAGTTATTTTGCACCTTGGTTTGTCCACACGCTTCTTGCGACCCTGTTGACTATTTTGAATGAAACGCTTGATTGTTCGATGATCACGCTTCAGAAGCTTTGCAATTTTAAGACTGCTGCATCCTTCTGCAAGATATCTCACTATTTTTGACCTTTCTGAGCCTGTCAAGTCCTTCTTTTGACCCATTTTACCAAAGGAAAGGAAGTTGCCTAATAATTATGCACACCTGATATAGGGTGTTGATGTCATTAGACCACACCCCTTCTCATTACAGAGATGCACATCACCTAATATGCTTAATTGGTAGTAGGCTTTCGAGCCTGTACAGCTTGGAGTAAGACAACACGCATGAAGAGGATGATGTGGACAAAATACTCATTTGCCTAATAATTCTGCACTCCCTGTATGTTTGACAATATTGATGGCATCAGCTTTACAACCGTTACACGGACATTGTCCAAACACAGAGTGCGGATGAAGCAGCTCTACACCTGCTCCTTTTGAGAGGAACAGTCACAGAGTCATGGAGCTACAACAACTATATGTCCAGGTATAGTGTATATCCTTGTCTCAATCCCATAGAGAAGTTCTTTTCTGCATGGAGGTGGAAGGTTCATGACCATCAGCCATATGATCACATGTCCCTCCTGGAAGCTATGGATGCTGGCTGCAGGGACATCACGGTTGATGATTGCCAAGTGTGGATTCTGACATAGCAAGCCGTTTTATCCCAGGTGCATCGCTTTGGATGATGTCAGATGTGATGTTGATGAAAACATGTGGCCTAACCCTGAAGATCACAGGGATTAGCTACAGTAATTTAGTGCATTTTGTAGTTGCCTCCTTTCTATCGGGGCTTTGTGCTGTTTTTTACTCTTGTTTCATTGATATTTTGTTCACTACAAGCAATACGGTAGAACTTTTTCTGTTCTGTCATACTGTAAACATTATTTCTGCTGTACCTCCTGAAATAAACAGTAATGGGAAAACAACAGTTAAGGAATTAGCTTTTTACTGGAATGCTTTGAAATGTGCACTCTACTGTATATGTGGATATACAGTTCACAACCAAGAAATGTAGAGTAAAAATCGTGGATTGCATGTTTTGCATGCAAATATCTCCAAAACTGATCTGTGGTCCCTCACACTCTATTGGACACTCCTATAGAGAAACCTTACATATACAAGCGCATGTACACACACAGGGGCTCACATGGTGCTCTTATAAGTCATAAGTATGACTTGGGCATTTTCAACACATCGCTTTCTCTTTCTGCAGGTCTAGAAGCAGACTCTAGTTCGTCATTGTTTATTTTTGTGAACCCCACCCCCCCTCCTTTTGTCTCTTCCTTTCTCTTTCACCTCTCTGTGTCTGTAACAATAAAGTTTTAAGTATCAGGCGTGATATTAAAGCAATGCTTTGATGCTCCACCTGAGAGTAAATCTGTAAGGCTTGTCACCAGCATTCAGACATTAATTGTTTGCTTCACAGCCAGACAGGACATGGGAAAAAAAAAAAAAAAAAACACTTAAAATAAAACTGGTTTTAAGGGGCACAACCAAGAAAAAGCCTATTTTTGTAGTCATGGCAACACCTAATTAAATTCACATATTTATTGAATGAACTGTACACATTTTGTGAAAAACAAAGAATGGAGGAGTCTCATAGTATTAAAGTTTCAACCCAGTTCTTCAAGAGACTCATGGAGAAGAAAGATAATCATTCATAACACCTCCCACTTGAGGGATTTATAAAATAACAGGAATCAGTCAAAATGATCTGTATAAAGAATCCAATCGTGATCAGGTCTACAGTTTTATATCCATCGTAAGTAGAAATGTCTCCAGGTTTCCAACCAATACAAAAAAAAAACTGGAACATTATAAACACACTCAGGTGATCAACTTGTGCAAACCACATAACTCATAAAACCTGTTATGACATCACCAAGACAAACAACTTTAACAAGGTCTGCTGTTACATTTACCCAAGACATGTTTAATGATGAAAATCTGGGTCCAAACCAAGAAAAATGAGGCAAGACAAAAATAAATATATATATACGTGCTGAAAGAAAATGGATGTTACCAAGGAGTCAGTAAATCCAACATAAATACACCAAGCGCTTAAACAAAGAAGAAAATAAGCAGTTTGCTTGTTGCTGGGCAGAATTCAAACCCTTAGGAAGATGGACCTAAACAGAATTACAGTAAACAATCATTAACTTATAAGTACACTTGAAACGCAAATAAATAATGAAATTACAAAATGATGTATTAACATACTTACAGCCTGTCTCTCCAACGCGCGCACGCACGCACGCACACACACACACACACACACACACACACACACACACACACACACACACACACACACACACACACACACACACACACACACACACACACACACACACACACACACACACACACACACACACACACACACACACACACACACACACACACACACGACTGCAATAACCCTGTTCCAATTAAACTCAGTTTGTACAAACTCTTTACATTTTGGTTCCCCACAAACTTCATCAGGATGCTTTTAGACATAAACTATATGTTCCTTCATGCTTGTTTCAGTAAGTAAAGAAATCCACATAACAGTGACACGTAGGCACAGCGTTGATCTTCAAAGTGCATAAGAGCAGAGGATCTATTGAGAAGGAATATTGTCATCAATTTTGCAAACCTCTAAGTTAGAAGTAAAGATTCTGACTGAGGTTATGTGATCATTAACTGATGTATAACTCTAACTGCAAAAATAGGCTATTTGTTATTTTTCTTATATGTGCTTATTATATTAGATATTACAGCCCATGGGGGACATCTATTTACTGATCATGTATTTGCATGTGGCCTCAAGTAAGTTTTCCAATAATTAAAGCCATATAAACATAACAGAAATAAATAATGCAACTTCACATGAGAAGAATCAGTCTCTTTGGTGCGATCACCTCTTATTGAACATCTGCAACTGTGAGCCTGTTGCTCAGTTTTCCGATAGATTGAACAAAAAACTGAGGAGGAATTAGCAAAAGGTCCCTGTGGAGCAGCAGCCATTCATGACGATCCCCTGAAAAAAAACAAAAAAACAAAACAAAAAAAAAAAAAAAACACAACTGTACTCCACAACCTTTGGCAGGGAAATCTTGAGAGAAACCCCTGTTTCAGTGTGATGAAGGGAAAGCTGCTGTGTTCTGCATCCGGGTCGACCGGACGTCTGTCTCACTCCAGCTTTGACATCTCGTACTTTGTCGTCATGATTTCCTGGAAAACATTGACAACATATAGGTTCAACACTTTCTCCTTTTTCAAAACAAGCAAAACCCTTTATTAACTCAGACTGATGAAGCAGCCATAACTGTTTACAAATGAAAAAAACAGAAGAGATGAATTGGTTTGGCTTTGCAGGTTAAGAAAAATTGAACTAAATACAAGTTTCAGACAAAACTTTCCTCATTTGTGACATCACAAACTGGGACCTTTTAAAACAACTTGTTTTAGGCACATAATTTCTAAAACGGATTAATGCATTTTTTCATGTTTGGAGAGTTTTTAGAGGCAGCAGAGAACCACACGGCAGCACATAAGGATGTAAATTATGAGTTTTGGGTCATATGTTCCCTTTAAAGTCTATTTTATAAAAAGTTACTAAAAATAAGCTTTAATGATACATCTTCACTAGACACAGCAGAGAAGTAACACTCACCGGCCCCTTTATTAGGCATAGTTTCAATTGCTTATTAACATAAAGCTGGGTTCTTTGTAGTTATAAGTGAATGGGCATGCATCGTTCCAGTTACCGTCTCAGCCGATTCTGTTCAAAAAGCCAAACTTTCTGCCATGTTTACTTACAATTTCAAAATGGTTTCCTGCCGGAGCTCGGCAACATTTCCACACATGATCGTGACACATCCCTCTGTTGCACCAAGGCGTAACATGCATTCATAAGTCCGGCATTGCAACAGTATTACTACCAAGCGTGCCGGCACGAATGCCGCAAAATTCCTGCATCGCCTTGCTGCCACGTTGCGTCCATAAGACACCATGGTGGCTGATTTGCCGGCATAGTGTATGTTCTAAAAAGGGCTTTAGTGATGAGCCGCTCCTGTAGAAACTAATGAAGGCTGAGGAGACATTTCAGCAGATAGACTAAGGTGTTTAAAAGACAAATGCACAGCGAGGAGAAGAGTTTCACTTTCGCTCTTACTGACGTACACTAGGGGGATCTAAAAGAAAGCCCAAACGGCAAAGTCTCTCTTTAAGCAAGTGCAGTGACAATGTCGTTGTACACTTGTACAATAACAATAAAACAATCTTGAGTCATTGCGTACTGAATCGTCAACACTAGTCCTTTAGCTAACCGGTTAGCTGTGAACAGTTTTCAGCAACAATTAGCAAGAGAAAAAGTGGCCCACAGCAGCTCAATCCGTTGTTGTTTTGAACAGAAATGCGAGCGCTCCGGATCCGCTAAACATGCTCACAGAAAATCCAGTTCTAAAATCCTCAAGACCGGCCCGTCCAGCACCAATAAACATGCCACATTCAAAATCACCCATCTCCTTATTCTGATGCTGAACTTCAGCAGGTCATCTTCGCCTCATCTAGATGCCTAAATGCTGCCATGTGATTGGATGGTTAGCTGTTTGGGTTAACAAGAAACTAAACAAGAGTACCTAATAAAGTGACCAGTGGGAGTGTGATTGCTGCGACTTTTTTATTGCTCATACCTCATCTGAGTCAAGCAGGACTGGAAGAGCTCTGTAGTGACAAATAAAAGAAAGGCTTGGTTACGATCGCACATGCATTAAATAAAAACACAATGACTTCATGCACTTCCTGGGATCCTTACACATCAGTAAGAGAGCTAGGAATGTTGTCCTCCACCCATTTCAAGTCTTCATCCTGGTCAAATTAAAACAAAATATCAGAGCAAATACTGCCCCCTGCTGAAATGTGACATTCAGCAAGATATATCATCAAGATGTTGCCTCTTTGTTTAAATGTAATCATTCATTTAAAATAAAAAGTTGCACTGCTTACAGGGTTTGTTTCTGCAGACTTCGCTGAACCATTTGTCTCATTTTTAGCTGCTCTTAACTTGATCCCATCGGCTGAAATATTAAAAAAAATAAGGTGAAAATAGCAATCTGTGTCTTTTCAGTAAAACTGCCATGAGAGTAATGTACCAATGTTAGATGAGGCGATAAACTCCTCAATTTCCTCATCGTCAGAATCATCAATGAGAGGTGTGAACGCGTACCTGTAGGAATAGAAATGAAAGAATTCAGCATCTGACTAAGTTATTATCGATGTCGAGGTCCACTGGCACCACTTGCCTTTGATTGTTTGCAGATGGCCGCCATAAAAACATTATGACGAGAAGAACAATGGAGAATAAGAACCTCCAGAAAGCATCCTCCACCCAAATCTCAATCCAATCCTTAAAATAAAAAATTAGACCTTGTCACATTAAATAAACTTAGCGCAACAATGCAACTATGGAGCGTGCCAAAAAAATACTCACCGACTGGCAGTCCGCTAAATGCAACTTTTTGGCAGACCAAGCCATAAAAATGATGGAAGCTAAAAAAGGGAAGAGACTGCATGAGCATAAAAAATGCTAAATAAATCTGCTAAAGCCTGTAATGATTCCAGGTTTTATGTAAATGGAAACATGAGTTAGAAAATTAGATCTTTCTAGAACAGGGACAAACAGCCATGGCCAAAAGTTTGAGAATGACACAAATACTAATTGTCAGCCTGGAGTCAGAAGAGGCAGCAAAGAAGTCTCTTCTATCAAACACAAACATGCCTCTGATTGGCTAACAGCAACCTTGCTTTGCTTTTTTGTCTTGGTTAAAAATTGGAACTTTGATGTGGCGTTTCCACAAATCACACAACCCTGAGCGTGTTCTGCCATGCCATACCAATAAAGAAGTATCCCGAAACCATTTGTGTGCGGGGTTGCTTCTGAGCAAAATGAGTGGACTCATTCACAGTTTGGCTTCAGAACACACCCATGGGGAAAAAGCATTGTACCAAAACATCTTCCAAGAGGAACTCCTCTCAACCATCCAAGAACAGTTTGATGGTGATCACTGCCTTTTCCAGCATAATGAAGCCTCATGTAATAAAGCTGAAGTTATCACCAATAGCCTCGAGGAACAAAACATCAAGTTTTGGGTTGATGGCCAGAAACTCCCCAGACCTTCATCACATTTCAAACCTGTGGTCAACAGTCAAGGGATGGCAGATAAAATGTGGAATGCATTTAGCCGAGTTTGGCTGAACTGCAGATATATTGAAAAATACTGCAGCTATTGACCCTTTGAATAAACTCAATGTAAATATTAAAGTTTTTATAACTTATAATTCAGGAAACCATAGAAACATTTGATTAAAAGCTCTCAAAGCTGCAAACTTTGCGAAAATGTGCGTCATTCTGTAAACTTTTAGCCAAAGTTCATAACATTGTATCCAATACTACATTAAAATACAGCATTACTATTGAAGTACCTACCAATGACTGCAAATATTAATGTGTTTGTAAAGTGTCTGTAGAGAGACAACTTGACAGGGTTTCTCCTCAGCTTCAGAGTCTTGATGGTTTGGGCCAAGCTGACGAAGATGTTAACGACAGTCAAGGCAAACAAACAGGCTTCCCACTAACGCATGAGCAAGTCCTAAAGAAATCTACATGTGCATTTTTAATGCAATCAGTTCAGTCACAAATACATCAAAAGAGTCTAAACGCATAGACTTGTTTTCATTTGTTTTATCTTGAATGGTGTTTTTAAGCAGGTTCTCATTCAAACAAAAGGATCCCATGTTAAATATTGCATGTGATTAACCAAAATTTTGCATGATTGTCAGAAAAGAAAAGAGGTGAAAACAAAAGATGGCAAAAGTTATCAGAAAAAAACAAAAACAAAAAACAAGCAGTGATGAATTTCAGTACAGAATGAATGATTAGAGGGACAATTCCTTCTCAGATGCAGGACATCTTTTAGATAAATTCAACTGTTCCATCGTGAGTTTATTATGGGAGGTGATGAGCAAAAAGGGGAACCACACAAGGAGAAACTGCAGGTTCACCAAAAGGATATCCACCAGCATAAAGAAGAATCAAGCAGAGCCAGGGGAATGTTGGCCAGCAGGGCCAAGTCAGAGTCTTTTGTCTGGAGGGGACCACAGCGGCGGTACAAAGGACAAAAAGGAGAAAGATGAGGGGAGAAACAAATTTATCTCAGAGAAGGCGTGTGAAAAGGAAGGAACACTGCAAATAAAATACAGCACCATTTTACCCAAGTGCAAAAGAGAAGCAAAACATCAAACCCCAAAAAAACAAAGACAGTCAGTACACATCTACAACTTCATGTTTCACCAAGTAGAGAACCTCGGATTTACTGCACACAGGAAGGATATGAACCAGATGGCGCAGGATTCAAACACAGCCAGAACAATTGCTGTAATGAGAGCGGCGCCATTGTCTTGACCCTTGAGTCCCATTGTACATGAAGAAAATATAATCCAATTAAAACAAGATTGCTTTTAATGGTAAAATGATTGAATTCCTAAATTGAAGTATCACATTCACGTCTTTTGGTTGGATTGAACAATAAAAGCATCTCAGACGTCTAACCCCTGGAAGCATCAGCCGTGCGGAACAGTTCACTCACGACAATCACAGCACTCGAGCGCACACCAGGAGAGTCTAAGCAGTGAAGCAGCTTCTCTGCCGTGCTCCTCGCTCGACTCGTGAGATCACAAAATCCCTCGAGACTTCAAAGGTTACAGTTTGCTTACACAATCCACCATTAAACCAAAATCGAGGAAATCACGTTGTTATCGCAGTTTGATGTATATATGATGTCGTTACTCTCCGCTGCCAGGACTAAAGCCATGAAAAACACACAGCTGCACTTCTGGAACGATGCCGAGTAAATGAGCTGTTGGGTCACACGTAAGCTTCATAAATATGAAATTGCATTGCTGCAATACTTTTATTTTGAAAATTACTGGGAATTTTACACTGAAACTGTGTGTGATTTCCTGTCCAGCCCTATGTTAACTGCAAAAATTGACGCATCCCAGAAGTGGCTCACAGAAAAAATAGAACCCTACCCGATCCCATCTTTAGTGGTGCGTCGCTTCTGGGATGCGTCTGAAAATTGCCGCGCCGCGGCTGGTTTGAACGACTCCGTAGACTATAATGGATTCTACTTGAAGCAGTGCTGTTCCGCGCAGCTGATGCTTCCGCTGTGCGGAGGTAAGGATCAACTTGACGCCTGCAAACACAAATCACACTTACATTTTAATAATCAGAGAGAATAACTCACCCCTGTGATCCTCAGCACTCCTTCGATGCTGGCAAAGGCAAAGTAGAGAATCCCGAGCCCCACAACTCGGTGCATCACAGTTCCAAGTCGTGGTCTAAGAACATTATAAACGTAAATCTTAAAAAATCCTTTTCTTTTAAAATAATATATTTAGAATTTATTTTCACTTAAAGCAACAGATCATAAGATGACATACTTGATGATGCCATAACCCAGGCTGACGATGATGACGAGCAATCGGGCCAAAGTCCTCTTAAGAGCAGAGACCAGCTCAGCAAAGATCAACAAACCTGGAGCTAAATGAAAAAAAAGAAGAAATAATAATAGTTTTACCTTGTAGTACATGAAATAAGTAATACTAAAATATTCCATCACGACTATAAAGGTACTCACAAGCAGAGCCGACGAGATTAGTGTTTTCATATTCCGCGCAGAAGACCGCCTTCTCCACCATCCCCAGGAAAATGACCCCCGCTATCCAGAACTGGATCCTCAGGAGATCTTTCCAGTAGCAGGCAGCCCAGAGGAACCACAGCAGGGCGTACAGGATGTACACTATGCACATGATCATGTAGAACTACAGACAAGAGTGTGAAAATGGTTTAATAATGTTGAAACCAAAGTATTTAACAGGTCAGATGTTGGTATTGAGTTCATGTAGAATTTAAATGAGAGCTAAAACTGTAAACTACAAAGTTTTCCAAGGAAAATAAAGCAGAAGGTATATTTTTAGAGTTTTTGTTTTGTTATAAATCTATTTAAAGTTGTTCTGGAAATAGTTTTTGTAAAGCTGATGAAACTTTGTTGGGTCTCTGACCCAAGAGCCCTGATAAATGAACAAACACAACCCCATAATAAAGCCCCATAATGGGAAGACTGGTTTACCCCGCCCACTTTTCCAGGACATAAATGTTAAAGAGCTGCATGCTGATTGGTTGGTTTATCCCAATGGCTCTATGACACTAGGAAGTGAGTGTTGGACCAGCTGATAGGGGCGTGGACGAACTAGATAAGAAGAGTGTCCGGCAGTTTGCAGACGAACAAGGAAGATGACGGTGATGAAGGCTGTGGATCTGTCTGGCGTTTATTCAGTCTGAATATTCTCAGTACATTAAATTCATTTTCACTTTTATTGTCATTGCAAATTATACAACAAGATTTACAGTGCTCCGCAGATAATAAAAAATAAATACTAAGAACGCTTTAAAAGGAAATTATATACATTCCTCTTATTCCTCACTCATAAACACTCAAAAATGGATAAAAAAAAAACTGCACAACCAGTCCCACTCTAAAATCATGTAATGGATCATTAAGGGCTCACTTCATCAGATTCAGTTCCATAATAGCCCTGGGTACAAAGCTGTCTTTCAATCTCGATGTACGCACTTTGACAGCTCTGTAGCGCCGTCCAGATGGTAACAGAGAGAAGAAACAATTGCAGGGGTGGGATACATCTCCCAGGATGTACGTCGCTCTGTATAGGCAGCGAGCTCTATACAGAGTGACTATAGAGCAGTCACATTCCAGGTACATCCTGGAATGTGACTGCGTCAACGTTCTTCTTTGTTGTGTTCATCTCGTCCAACAAGGAGGTTAGTAGCTTGGGATAACGTTAGGTGCAGCCAAGGTGGTGAGGGGATCAGTTTTGATGGCCTAAGGATTGAGTCTCTGTGTCATGCAAATGATGGGGTCCTGTTTGCTTCATAAGAACATGATCTCCAGTGTTCGCTGGAGCGGTTCGTAGCCGAGTGTGAAGCAGCTTGGGTGAGAATCAGCTCTTTTAAATCCAAAACTATGATTTTTGTGTCGGAAAAGGGTAGAATGCATTCCTCAGGTCAGGAATAAGGTCCTTCCCCAAGTGGAAGAATTTAAGTATCTCAGGGAAAGATGGAGCGGGAGATTGATAGGTGGATTGGTGCTGCGTCTGCAGTGATGTGGGCGTTGTGTCTGTCACGGTGAAGCCTGAAGGCGAAGCTCTTGATTTACCTGCCGATCTATGACCTAACGCATATCTATAGACATGAGCTTTGGGTAGTGACCGAAAGATCGAGATTGCGAAAACAAGCGGCTGAAATGAGTTTTCTCTGCAGGGTGTCTGGGCTCTCCCTTAGAAATAGGATGAGGAGCTCGGTCATCTGGTGAGGGGATCGGAGTAGATCTGCTGCTCCTCCACATCGAGAGGAGCCAGTTGACATGGCTCAGGCGTCTAGTTAGGATGCCTCCTGGACACCTCTCTGGAGAGGTTTCACGGGCACGTCCAACCGGGAGGAGACCCAGAGGAAGACCCAGGACATGCTGCAGTAACTATGTTTCTCATCTTGCCTGAGAACGCCTTGGGATTCCCCCGGAGGAGCTGGCCCAAGTGACTAGGGAGAGGCACGTCTGGGCCTCTCTGCTTGGGAAGCAGTCCCCGCAACCTCACCCCTGATAACCGGAGGACAATGCATGGACGGACGGATACAAGTTGCTTTGTTATGATGATTTCTAAGTCACCTACTTACAATCATGAGAGGCCATTCTGTGATGGAGATATAACCGTGGCTGCTTTTCATCACTACGTTAACTGAAAAACAAAAAAATCCTCACATTAGGCAAAATGAAGCTTAACATAACTTCATGTTTGTCAACAACAAAAAATAAAAACAAAACTTGCATGTGGTGCAAACAAGTTCTGAGATTTAAAAAAACCATCTCAACCGTGACACCTCTCAAAAGTTCCAATACACCAGGCTTTCAGTACATTCATTGTTCATTATATAAAAACATAAATATGATGAAGTGTCACCTGTTAAATTCCAATTGGCTTTCTTTGTGGATGACTCGAGCTTAACGACCAGCAGATACGGACCGTCCCTCCATGTGGTGGCTACGACATTGTCTCTTATTTTCACGCTGCTGTTTTTCACAGAGTCGTACTCTTCAGTAATGAACAAATCATCCTGATCCTGTAAAGCAGAGTTTGTCTTTTAGAAACAATACAACACTTCCCATATCGTGTTATTCTTATTTTCTTACTTCATTTCCAGTATGTAAAGTGGCTGGACGTGGCTCTGCTTTGGCTTTCTGACAACAAAACATAAATTATTAATATTTAGAGAAAACTGTGGGAAAATGCTTACTAGGCTGTAGAAGACCTACTTTAAGCATGGGAAAAGAGCGTAGTTCACCGTTGCACGTGATTGGACCATGCTTGTGTTCGATGTACTCTCCTGGTGCAGTGGGTTTAGGATCCAGGCTGTCTCCGCGACTCTGAGATGTCTTTTCATACATTTCCTATCACATTCACAATTCAGTTCAATCTAAAAAAAAAAAAAAGCAGCACTTATAAAAAGAAATACATGAAACATGTTTACTTACTTCTATATTATTGTACTCATTGTAGCAGGGGTGATACTTTAAAAACCAGTGGACAGTGAAGTCCACTTTCTCTGGGCAAGCAAAAGACATGACTGAAAGAAAAAGACACTTTTAATTAAAGCACTTAAAAACTGCATTTTTGAGTAAGAAGAAGTCCTCGTGTCTCACCTTTCAGTTCAATATCAGTACCACTGAACATGACTTTCCTTAACAGCAGTGTTCTTGAGGCCTGCAGCACAGTTAACAAGGTTATACAGCCAATGCAATCAGAGATTGTAATTAATAATTACTTAATTACTTGGGCAAACTGATTAATCATTTAAGCTTAAAGGTCAAGCCATTTTACATTTGAATCCAACAACTTTATGGCCCGTTTGTGTTTGAAAGGCGGAAATGCGTATTAGTGAGGTGAAGGGGAAGCTACTACCGACCATGTGGTTTATTTCAGCATAAAGGTGTGTGTGTTCTGTTCTGTGACCCACCTTCGGACACGTAATACAACAAACAGAAGGACACTTGAACTTCTCAGCGCCTACATTATTAATCAAGGCTTTCCATTTATCCTTCCTAGGGAATCTAAGAAGTGTGTCTTGGTGTTACTGAGCAGAAACAGGAACTTACTACTAAGGACAGGCATTGTTTACATGTTTGAACTGTGTATACGAATTATTTAGCCTGAACAAAAACGGGTCAAAAATGAATTTAAATTTATAAATTAAAAATTGGGGGGTGCATGATGGATCATTAGGATTTACAACTTACAATAAATTGCATTTATATTCGATTTTGTTCAACTTTAGCTTGCTAGTGCTAGTTAAGCTAACCTATTATCGTAAGTGATTCAACAAAAGGCTAAACATGTTCTGCTATTCCTGTGTGTGAATTTTACTATACAGTACGAAGGGTATCAACTCGCCTTTAATGATAACCAAAACGTTATTCACAACAGATTACAACGTTATCAAAGTACCAAATTAGCTCATAGCCTATTGACGTGACATGGCTAACGCTAGCTTAAAGTGCTGTGGGTATTTGGAATTTTACCGGGTGATACTCACGTTAACGACTGTGAATTTCCACAGCCCGGTCTCGGGTGCTGCAGAAGCTTCATTTACAGAGTTAAGTAAAACCACTAGAATGACCACCCATGTAGAGAAATCTCTAGTCGGACACCTCCACGTCCGCATCCTGTCAGCAGCTGCCATGTTTGTTCGTGGGTTCAAAATCCCCACCTCTACGAGGCACATTGAACGCAACACAAGAGTCCGCGGTCCCTTTTTTATTATTTTACCAAAAAACTAAATAAAAAGAAGAAAAACGTGCATCGTTTTTTAGTTGACAAAATTTTAAGCGAGTAACCTTTCACATAAGAGGATATTTTCTTTTATATCTTTCAATAATTTATCTCATTTATCACAGCCTAAAAATAGTTTAATGCAAACAAATATAATTGTAAGATTATTCAGTTTTTCCATACTTTTCATTATTTACAAAAATGTTGTCAATAGTTTCACAGTACAACATATCTTAAGCTTATGAAAGTGTGCATTAACATTGTTGTTAACACACAAAATATTCTGTTCAATGAAATGTAAGCTGATCACGTGAAGCATAAACTGCTATAAAGATGTGCTATGGAAGTGCTTGCAGTGCAACCAGACAAAACAATTAGTACTAATGAACTTTGAAGAAATTTGATTTGCAGAGTACAAAACATTATAAAAGAAACGAAGTGTCACTTGAGCTGTGATCTGTTGTCATTTCATCTGTGACAAATTCATTTGTGTTGCTTAAAGTTTCATGTGACAAAAAAGGAGTCTCCACTGTAGCAGGTCTTAGTGAGGCATTAGCGGAGACCACCACCACATAACGATCACTGTCTTCATCATCCTCATCCTCCAGACGGTTGTGAATGTCCGCAGTAACCACCGTGTTTTCTGCTGCCTGGTGGCTGCAGGAAGGAGAGGAGCTCAACACCAGCTGCCCTGCAGGAAGTATCTCTCCATCAGGGTCCTCTTCAGGAAAGCTGGTGTTAATATAAATGATGTCTTCTTTGCTGGAAGACTCTGGAAGCTTCTCTGCCAGCTTTTCTAACATTTCTCGTAGCTGTGTGAACAAGGGTCTGTCCAGCGGATCAGCTCTCCAGCAGCTGTACATGATCTGATACCTAAATAAAAGATAGGAATTAGATAATATTTTCTAATTTAGTAAACAAAATTCACATCTATCTAACAACTGCCTGGGATAAATATTTGTAAAGACCAAGTTCACTTGTTTTTTCAATACATCTGCAGTGGTCTCTAGTATAAATGAAAAAAAAATACACCTCGCACTCCTGTTTCGGGAATTAGAAATGAGCAAGAGGAGTAGGGATTAGAAGACGGCAGGATTTTTAGTGTTATTTCCTGATATTCGGACATTTTGCATCTGATTGGCTAACAGCATCATGACTCTGTTTCTTTGCACTGTTGATGTTTTATCTCCACAAATAACTCAAGGAAGTAGTTCTGCTGTTTTGTAGAGTTGCTAACGCTAATGGATAACTTCTATTATCCGAGACACAATCTGCTCTCTTCTAGATGCTAAATCAACATAACCGTCCCAGTCACGAGCCAAGATTCCGTGTGAGTCCATGAATGCAAATTTTTCAATGTGACATGCAGTTGAAAGGCTTTTCTAGTCCAAATGTTTCCCCACCTATTTCCTATTGGCAGCTACTGCAGGAAATAGGGGTAGAAGACCATTTTCACCCTTAGCCTGCATGTTAAACTCAGTGATATTTAAAAATAACAAGTAAAAAACAAATTCTCAGTGAACTTGGTCTTGAATATATTTACCTGTAACTGTAAAATATTGCACCTTGGGTATAGGTTTTGATATCAATCTTAAATACTCTATGCACAAAATTCTGATGATGTCAAAAATCTTTATTGAAACATAATTAAACCCTGTTGATGTCTTCCTGATGGCTCAGGAATATTCATAAACACTGATATTTCAGTTGTAATACTTTTGAGCATACATGATCAAGCCATAGTCTTGGTCTTGAGTATTCTTGAAAAGGACTGATTTGTTCTAAATAATAACTTTACATTAACAGCATGACTCTAAATCTAATTATTGCATTTAAAAACAGACTCACAGTTCATCCAGACAGCCTGGTGGTTGCTTTAACCTCTGACCATCAACCAGATGATCATAAATCTCATGGTTCTGGACTCCAGGATATGGCGTCATGCCTCGGGTAGCAATTTCCCACATGGTAATACCAAATGACCACTGAAAGACAAAAGATGCCAAATTTAGATCATGTTTTTTATGTAAAGTTTAATCTATAAACAAACTGAATGTTTTCTTGCCAGTTTATCTGCTTATATTAGATTCAACATTGTTTTATTGTAATTGCACAGGTGTACAACGAAATCGACTTTGAGCTCACTTAAGACAGCACACACACACACACACACACACACACACACACACACACACCACAGTCAGTTTAAGGTGCAAAGTGTAAAAAATATAAATGTAAACATGGTTGATAAGACAAATATAAAATATAAACCTAAATATAAAGTAAAGATAATATAAATGTAAATGGTCACATGTTCAATCCCAATGAAAGAGCTCCAGATAAAATGAGTGTTTTTTGGTTTTACTGCAGGTTTCATTGTTTTGCCATCAAGAACAGCAACAAACATTGTTTCACCCATAATTTACATGAATTGCATATAATCATTTACTACATTTGTTTCATTTCATTTATTTATAAAGCCCAAGCAGACGCCCAAGGAACACAACACAATAAAAACATAAAACCATCAAAATAAGATATAGCAATCGTAAAACCAACATAAAAAAAATTAAGAGAGGAGAGTAAAAACAAAAAATAAAATCCTGAAAAAGATTAAGAGGCCGGGGCAATGAAACCAGGTAAAATTAGCTAATCCTGGAATGCCCTGACAAAAAAATGGGTCTTAAGGCGAGTCTTAAAACCCCCACAATGAGGGTAACTGACGCACCATCAAAGGCAACTGGTTCCAAAGTGCAGGTTCCAACACTGAGAACGCACGTTCTCCCCGTGACCTGCACTTGGTGCGTGGAACCATCAACAGCTCCCTGCCGGCTGAGCGAATGGCCCGCGAGGGGGCACGTCTATGCAAAAGGTTGCCAAGTTATATCCAGTACACTACAAAAAACGGATGAAGAAAACTTCCAGCCTGAACAGCAACTCATTGCTGAGTCTACAGATATAAATGGGTGAAACAGAAAGTTTACAAGGAGTTAATTCTTCTTACCATGACCCTCATTTTTGCTAGGAAAGACGCAGCTTGTACTTACGACATCACTCTTTACTGTAAAAACTCTGTCCGCCAGACTTTCCACTGCAATCCATTTCACTGGCATTTTGGCTATTCTGCCCTGACGGTAATAGTCTCCACTGTAGATCTTCTTTGACAAGCCGAAGTCAGCAACACACACTGTGTAGTCATCACGCAGCCTGTAACAGAAAAAGTTTAATTTTAGTTGTTATCTATTTGCAAACAAACAGCATCATCAACAACAATAACAAACAGTTCAAAGAAAAAAAAAAAACAACTACAAATTTAGCAGAAAGTACAGAGTTTATAAAAATTAAAAGATATACACATTATACACCATTGGAATTGTTTTTTTAAAAGAACAAAGTGCTGTAATAAACTGAAGAGCTGGTGGTAGTTTATTCGCAAGAAAAGGCCCTCTGTATTTAAGTGTGTTTTGCTTAACGGACAATTCTGCAAAATGGGAAGTAGAGGTGCCGCGTGCCAATAGGCAGGGCAGGCAATTGGTTGGACTCAACCAAGTCAGAACTGCAACAGTAGCGAGACTGTGGAAACACCATTGGCCGTCTACTATGGCGAGTCGAAGATGCCATGGATTGCCAGCCGAAGGAGACCCAACGTTTGACGTTAAAGTAACAACAGATAGTTTTTTAAACTTTAAGCTAGATATTTAACATTGAGCTCAGTAATTGTTGTGTTAGAAGAATGACCAGTTTCATATCTGACACCATTCTGCAGCAAGGGAGGAGCTATCGGTGGGCCTGGGTGGGCACAGGCCCACCCAGTTTGACAGAGTACCCACCCACCAGGGGCAGGACGAGGCAGTAGCTTGGTGTTGCTATGGCAACACCAAGATGTGGCCAAGCAAGTAACTGCTTAGCAACCCCAGTTATGTTGTAACAACAATTACAATAAAAAATTATAACTTTAATGAATGTGCACTTTTTTCACTGTGTAATAAAAATACTTAAACTTTTATATCTGGTATTAATTTTAATCATATTATGAATGCGTTTTTCAGTTTGCTTGTTGGAGTTGTAATTTGGTCTTTTGTATAAAAAAGCGAAGTGGCACCTGCTTACTGACACTAAGCAACTATTAACCTACTGCAGAGAAAATATTCTGATGTCATCCCTGCCACCCAGTGAGGTTCACGATTTTATTTTTCTCAGAAGCGTCCTCCTGCCTCAACTTCTCACAGCTGATCCGGGCATCTCCCGGAGTCTGCGGATGACATCATTGATATTGTCAGCGGTGTAAACTGAGAAAGGACTGGGTGTGAGGGGGAGACAGATGCGCAGCAAGCAGCGGACACGCATGGACCTTTTATCTGATGCTTTTCCTCGCACTTACGTTAATCCAGTAAAGGAAACGAATCGTTTCCTCTGGGTATCTCGTTGGGTCTGCTTTAGTCCTCTGAGTCCATTTTATTTGGTTCTGTTCATTTTATTGTTGTTGTTATCTGTACTGGGGGTTCGGGTGGAAGATCCCGGAGGTGATGAGTCGTAATGAACCGCGTCGGTGCGTCGCTGTCCGTGGTCCTGAATGAGACAGAGCCCTTGAGAGCCGGTGAGGAGAGGGGATGTGGTCGGAGGTGTTTACTGCTTAGACAAGGTGTGTGTGTGTGCGCGAGCGCGCTTGGATCGTGCTTGCTGATTATTCCCTGGTGGAGGGCGCGGTTGTTGAGAATAATCTGATCTGATCTCTGGTTTTGCACCACCTCCTGCTACACCCTGAGCTATCTGGAGCATGAAGAACAGTCAAAAATCCTGTTTTTTGAAACATGCGGTGACCTCTGGCAAGCTACGTCTTTTGGATCGTCAGCTCTTAGCTGATAGCCTGCAGCTAGGACGCTGACACGAGTACGGCAGCACGCCTGGCTGAGATTAGAACCTGTCCAAGGTCCTGAAAGTTCACACGAGACAGTGTGCAGCTCTTGGCCTGCACACTGTCCAGGGAGTCCAGCGTCGGTAGCAGTCCGTAAAATTGAAATTTAACAGAGATCCATGGAATAAGTATCTAATATATGATCTTCTATCATAGGATTATTTGTGGCTTGAGAGATTTTATTAAAACATGAAATTGTGACGTGCACGCGCGCATGGCACACATCTCATATGAGCTTTGATATTAATTAGGCCCATCCAGATTTTTCTAGGCCCACGCATTTGCTACGTTCTGGCTCCGCCACTGTTCTGCAGCTCCTGACTGACCAAAAACCGTGCTGGATAGTTTTGTGAAGCGAGTCGGTGTTCTAGGGGGGAGCGCTTAACCTGCTTTACGGATGTTAACTGTAATGTCAGTGGCTAGCATTGTGTCAATAAAAAGCACAAGAAGAAGAAAAAGAAGTTAGCGTTTTCTGTTGGAATCACGTTGGAGTCAGGAAGTAGGGATGGGCGATATGGAAATAAAAATCATATCACGATTTTGTTTTTGCGAAATCACGACTGCAATTTTATCACAATTTATTTCTATTTTGACAATTCAGACGTTTTGAAGTTATTTACCATTAAAATGCATACATTTAAAATCATACCCCTTCACAGAAAACAGGATAAAAGATTTCAGAATCCTAAAAAAAATCTTAAAATTGCTTTCCATATATCAATCTATCGTTGAGAGCTAGAGATAAATGTCTCAGATGTCCCACAGGCACTTTCATTTTAAATTCTATCTAGAGGTGGCTCATATCCTATCATCCACAATATTACCAGTAATTATTTCTTGTCCAAAGAAAAAAATCTATCATATTAATCTAAATTCACGATGCATCTTCATCTCGTGCATTCTCTGGTTAGGATTACACTCCCTATTACACTCTCTATTTGTCCCTCACTGTTCTCTGTAGCTGTTTCCTGATTACGTGGGGACGGGGTTTGGCATAAACAAAGCTCTGGTCGGCAGCCGTGGTGAAAAGACTCGTTAAAACACACACACAAACGTCTCCAAATAATAAAAGTCACAAAGCTAAATGCAAATTTTAGAGCAGAACACCGACCCAGAGGTTCCCTGATCGAGCAGATGTGTGAGAATACGCTTAATGACCGCTTTGAGACGGAGCAAGTTAGTGGCTAATGCTAGCCACTATAATTGAGTGTAGTGTGCTTCTGCAAAGATTCATAATCGTTTATGTCTGCATTTTAATGCATCGATTGTTAGATTATTTTCCTCAGCTCTACCAAGCACCCCAGCTAAACAAACCAACACACTGCCTTAAACTTGCTCTCGGTGTGTCTGTCGTGCAGACAGAAGCAAAGTAGCAAATAGCGCAACTTGGCTGAGAAAAAATGTGCCGGTAGACACGTCCAGAAATAATGGCACAGGTGATAGAAAGCAAATAAACGGTTCTACGATCTCCGAGCTTAGGTAGATCCTCATCACTTTATAATCCTTCACGATCTTATATCGTCAGATCGCACGACCCTACCTGGAAGTAAGATAATAAAGTCTTTAGAGGCGAAACACGGCATACACTAGTTTGAGTTAGCTAAAGGAGGCTACAAAATCACAGACTGATGGTGACCTGGCTTTGTTGCTACTGGACTTGTTAGTAATAATATTTTTTGTCCAACAGTTTGGATCTTTCTATAAAAAGATACTTTGTGGTTTCTTTTAGTATCAGTTGGATCATGATAGTGTTAGCATAGTTGTCAGTGCAGTTGTAATGACACTTTCAACCAGTAGGGCCGAGGAGCTGTCAACTGCTCCCTGTTACTTTAGCATCCGAGAAGCCATTGGAGAAGCACCGTTATTCAAATGTGTCATAAAAGAATTTTGAAATCAGTGAAGTGTTTTTGAAAATAATAAGCATTTTCATTTACTGTTACATAATGGACAAACTGATTGAATAAACACATAATAATAACTTTTTTTAGAGGCAGTTATCTAGTGACAAGTGTATTTAAAAAATAACAAATATACACAGGTTGGCTATACTATATATATATATATATATATATATATATATATATATATGTGTATATATATATATGTGTATATATATATATATATATATATATATATATATATATATGTATATATATATATATATATATATATATATATATATATATATATATATATATATATATATATATATGTGTATATATATATATATGTGTATATATATATATGTGTATATATATATATATATATATATATATATGTATGTATATATATATATATATATATATATATATATATATATATATATATATATATATATATATATATATATATATAGACTAACCCTAACCCTTAAAAGACAACTTTTGTCTTCAAACACAACATAACGGTCTGGACTTGATGACAAACAGGAACAAGTCAGATAACACTCTTATTGACAATGCTGGACATTTTCTGAGAAAATTCTATTTCATTCAAAAGATAATGGCCGCTAAAATGAAGCCAAAAATCCTACATGCAATTTCGCGCTGCCAGGTCACGATGCAGAAAGTTACGACCGCTCAGATACTCCATCCCCGACGCTATGTCAATCATGAACTTCAGGAGTGTCTGAGTTGGAAGGAACTGTGTCAAAACAGCAAAAATATTTAGTTTTTGTTCTATCATAACTTACATTAATGTGAATTTTAAAGTTTGAATAAAACCTTACCGTGGGACTCGCCTCCAGCCGTGAGCGCAGCAGGAAGCTGTGCAGATCTCCGTACTTCATGAATGGGAGGATGACCATGGGTTTCGGAAAATGTCCAGAAATTTCCTCCAAGCACACACCTAACAAAAGGACATGTTAGCAAAGACAAAGGGAACAGTAAAAGGAAGATTCTGGAAGACTAGACAATTCATACCAAGCAGTCTGATGACGTTAGGATGGTCGAAATCTTTCATGCAAGCTGCCTCATTCAGAAACTCCTCAATCTCCCTTTGAGAGAAGCTATCCACTGTGTGACAACAAACAAGGCTGAACACTTGGCTTCCATTATGAATTTATTGCTGATTCATTAAAAACGCAGAACTCACATTTCATCGTCTTCACTGCAACTTTTTCAGACGAGCCATCTGTTTTTTTTAAATGACCCTCGACAACTGAGCCAAACTCACCTGATGCACAAGAATGAATAAATAACAACAATTTCATTTAACGATAAAATTAAAAACAATAACGATCATGCTATGTACGTAAAAAAGTGGCTCTCTCACCCTCCCCAAGAACTTTTCCTATTGAGAGCAGGCTCCTCAAGATCATCCCGCCCTCAAGTTTGGCCTGGAGTTCATCACTGATGCCAAGGTTTCCAACTGAAAAAAGGTGCATTAGTAGATAAATCTACTAACTAAAATGCTAGTGTTGTTTTTTTTTTAATTGGTAAAATCTAAGAACTTACGTGAGACAGCGACTGCGGTGCGATTATATGATCTTTGGTTTGAGTACTGGATGACAGGTTGTGACTTCTCACCTCCATACTTCCACCTGCAGAGGGAGACAGAAAACAAGACAAGAAAAAAGACGTGTCATAAAAGTTGGGACAAAAGTGGAGACAGAACCAAAGTGGAGGTCATAAAGGAGCGAGGAAGCTCTCTAGGTTGTTTATTCCCAACTTGGAATCCAGATTTTTTTCCCTATCTGTGGAGCAGAGCAGCCTGTGACACATTCCTATCTGTATCCTGAGATGAAAGCATGAGTCAGAACTTCCATTCAAAACATGCAAAAAAAAGTAACAGCTGCATGTTTTCGCCAGTGCCGACGAACGTGACTAAAACGAATTAGTCATGATGTGTAGTCATGCTACTAAAGATATGTAAGAAGCTGCTGATAAAAACAAATGTTTTATTGACTTAAATTAATGTAAACACTGTTCAATTAGAAGTCCAGTAATGAAAGGCAACTTTGAAATTATTTAAAGGGATACTAACCTGTGTTGGCGTGCTTTTAGCAGCCCCTAGTGTCCATTCGGAAAAAACTAAAGTAAAACTCTCCTTGCTGTGTGATTATCTTTTTAACACCTTAATCCAACTGCTGAAATGTCACCTCAGCCTTCATTAGTGTCTACAGGAGCGGTTCACCTGTGTTCACGATCTAAAACATGCAGGAAACGTGCTGGAAGTAGACTGCAGCTCCAGGCATGTCAGCTCCACTTTGCAACAGGGACCAGTGTGATGGGGTCTGAGTGACATTTCATTAGCCCCATAAAGGGTCATTTTAGCACACGCTGGCTCATAAAAATTATTAAAAAATATGTAAAAGTTGCATATTATGCTTTTAAAGTCTCTTTCCGGAGTATTTCTCTTATCCGATGGCACCATCTAGGGGCTGACAAGCATATCACACAAAAAAATCTGTCGCTCTGTTTTTTTAAGATGGCGACTTCACGTTTTTTGTTTATAAATGTGCTTCTGTAGCCGGCAAACAGAGCTAAAACACGTTGTTTTACAAGTATTATTCCCATGTTATGCTGTGTTTTCATTTATTTATATTTTAAAGACTTTCTTGTCCGTGAAAAGTTCACCAACTCTGCATCAGCCGAGGTACTCCTTAAACTTGAAGCATCTAAGCGGTAGTCTAACACTATTGGTTAGTTCTGGTCGGCGCTCAGTTTCCTATTGCACGGAGCTCTGCAGGGCAGGGGGCGTGTGTAGCAAAAAAAATAAATAATTAAATAGACGTATTGCTTACATTATATCACAGTACATGATAAGATAATCACTTTTATGGATTTCTGAAAAACCATACATCATTTCTGAAAGTAGAAAACTCCAGAAAGCTACTTTAAGTACAACTGGATAGTAGTAGTCAACATACCCAAAACAGGAATTGGACTTCCTGTTGCGTAAACACAAAGCCCCCCAGATGAGCAGCAGCAGAAGACAGATGACAGTGAACACAGAAACCACAATCTTTACAGAATACGGGACCCCCATGTCAGGGCTGGACGTGGGAGAGATCAACACGGATTCTGGGGGGAGAGCATATAAAGCAATTATATGCATTAAATACATAACTGTTGTCTTGCAGCAATTGAACCTCAAATTTAGAGTTTTTTTAAATACATACACAGCATGTTGACCCTTTAAAACCTGAAATATGAAATAATATTTTTACTTATTCATAGCTAATGGCAGAAGACTTGTATAGGAGAGAACATGGCAGGTTTCTGATGAACGTAAGATTACATGTGCACCTTAGGACCCAGAGTGGTGTGACGTGGATATGTGTCAATGGTCTAAAATGGGTTAATGTGAATAATTTTACTGATGACATTGTGCGCTTTTCTGTATGCAAAATAAAATAAAGTATTGAAATATTTCATGGCAGACTATTAAATGTAGCTGGCTGAACAGCTGCTAGGTGATGAGGAGATAACACAAGAGAGGAGCTTACTGTCTTCTGACACAAAGAGCCAGACCGGTGGGCTGACCATACCGCTCCCTGCCTGCGTGCACGCAGCTACCTCCACACTGTAGGTTGTGTTAAATGCTTTCACAGGTACAACAGCCATGGTGGTGTCAGTGTGAACCTGAAATAAAACAAAACAGGTATCACATAGATTCTGATTTCATATTCCCCCTAAAATGATCTCCTTTGGGAGAAGAAAATGCAACTTACTGAAATAATATACAGGTTGAAAAGAAAATATATCATCGGCTTTTTTTAAGTATGTTTTTTAGGAACACTGAAAGAAGATTTCATAAAACAACATTTGTGCTAAATGAATAAATAAATAAACAAATTAATTAATAATACATTAAAAAGTAGCCTAAGGCGAGAGGCCCAGACTTCCCTCTCCCCAGCCACTTGGGCCAGCTCCTCCGGGGGAATCCCAAAGCGTTCCCTGGCCAGGTGAGAGACATAGTCCTTCCACCGTGTCCTGGGTCTACCTTTAGGTCTCCTCTCGGTTGGACGTGCCCGGAAAACCTCACCAGGGAGGCGTCCAGGAGGCATCCTGACCAGATGCCTGAGCCACCTCAACTGGCTCCTTAAAATGTGGAGGAGCAGCGGGTCTACTCCGAGCCCCTCCCGAATGACCGAGCTTCTCACCCTATGTCTAAAGGAGAGCCCAGCCACTCTTTGGAGAAAACTCATTTCTGCCTCTTGTATCTGCAATCTCGTTCTTTCGGTCACTACCCGAAGCTCATGACCACAGGTGAGAGTAGGAACGTAGATCGACCGGTAAATCGAGAGCTTCACCTTCTGACTCAGCTCTCTCTTCACCACGACAGACCGGTACAATGCCCGCATCACTGCAGATGCAGCACCAATCTGCCTATCGATCTCACGCTCCAGTTTTCCCTTGCTCGTGAACAACACCCCGAGATACTTAAACTCCTCCACTTGGGGCAGGACCTCATCCCTGACCCGGAGAACGCATTCTACCCTTTTCCGAATCAAGACCATGGTCTCAGATTTAGAGGAGCTGATTCTCATCCCAGCTACTTCACACTCAGCTGTGAAGTGCTCCATCGAAAGCCGAAGATCACGTTCTGATGAAGCCAACAGGACCATATCATCTGCAAAAAGCAGAGACCTGATCCTCAGGCCACCAAAACGGATGCCCTCCACACCTTGGCTGCGCCTAGAAATCCTGTCCATAAAGGTTATGAACAGAATCAGTGACAAAGGGCAGCCTTGGTGGAGTCCAACTCTCACTGGGAACGAGCCCAAATTATTGCTTGCAATGCAGACCAAGCTCTGACACCGGTCATACAGGGACCTAACAGCCCGTATCAGAGGGCCTGGTACCCCCATACTCCCAGAGTACCCCCACAGGGCCCCCAGAGGGACACGGTCAAACGCCTTCTCCAAATCCACGAAACACATGTAGAGTGGTTGGGCAAATTCCCACGCACCCTCCAGGATCCCACTGAGGGTATAGAGCTGGTCCAGTGTTCCACGGCCAGGACAAAAACCACATTTCTCCTCCTGAATCTGAGGTTCAACAGTCCGATGGACCCTCCTCTCCAGAACCCCTGGAGGCTCAGGAGTGTGAGTCCCCTGTAGTTGGAACACACCCTGCGGTCCCCCTTTTTAAATAAGGGGACCACCACCCCGGCCTGCCAGTCCAGTGGGACTGCCCCCGATGTCCACGCGATATTGCAGAGCCGCGTCAGCCAACACAGCCCCACAACATCCAGAGCCTTAAGGAACTCCGGGCAGGTCTCATCCACCCCTGGAGCCTTGCCACAGAGGAGCTTTTTAACCACTTCAGTGACCTCAGCACCAGAGATTTGAGAGGCCAGCCCAAATTCCCCAGACTCTGCTTCCTCACTGGAAGACGAGTCGGTGGGATTGAGGAGGTCTTCGAAGTATTCTGCCCGCCGATCCACAACATCCTGAGTAGAGGTCAGCAGCACACCGTCCCCACTATAAATAGTGTTGGTAGCGCACTGCTCCCCCCCCCCCACCGAGGCGCCGGATGGTGGACCAGAATCTCCTCGAAGCCGTACGGAAGTCTTGCTCAATGGTCTCACCAAACTCCTCCCATGCCCGGGTTTTTGCATTGGCGACCACCCGAGCTGCGTTTCGCTTGGACTACCAGTACCTGTTAGCTGCCTCTGGAGTCCCACAGGTCAAGAAGACCTGATAGGACTCTTTCTTCAGCTTGACAGCATCCCTAACCGCCGGTGTCCACTAGCGGGTTCGGGGGTTGCCACCACGACAGGCACAGACAATCCTACGACCACAGCTCCGGTCGGCCGCCTCAACAATGGAGGAACGGAACAGGGTCCATTCAGACTCAATGTGCCCCGCCTCCCCCGGAACATTTTGGAAGTTCTGTTGGAGGTGGGAATTGAAGCTCCTTCTGACAGGAGACTCTGCCAGACGTTCCCAGCAGGCCCTCGCGATACGTTCGGGCCTGCCTGGTCTGACCGGCATCCTCCCCCACCATCTGAGCCAACTCACCACCAGGTAGTGGTCAGTTGACAGCTCCGCCCCTCTCTTCACCCGAGTGTCCAAGATATGCGGCCGCAGGTCAGACGAAACAACAACAAAGTCGATCATCGAGCTGCAGCCTAAGGTATCCTGGTGCCAAGAGCACATATGGACACCTTTATGTCTGAACATGGTGTTCATTATGGACAATCCATGACTGGCACAGAAGTCCAACAACAAAACATATATATATACACACACACACACACACATATATACTAGTTATGATCATATAAATGATCATAACTAATAACAATTTGGATGTCTCCTGCACTGAACAGTTTAAGGAAATTCAAAGAACTCCACATCAGGGATTTTTATACACAATGAAACTTTCAACAGGAACCAAAAAAAAGGGGAAGGAGACCATGGTTTTGGACAAACTCATGCGTTGAATGCGAAGGAACATGTGACAGATGTAGTCCTGAATTTCACAACACCATCTGGTTACCAAAATGCTGACGAGGGATGCTGAACCCATGATTCATGTCTCTGGTCTTTGTGACATCTGATGAAGAAGAAACAGTTCCCACAGAACTAAACTAGCTGAGCAAAGTTCGTCAAAAGGCAACGAGGAGTCAAAAAGAGGTGAAGCTTCTCTTAGAACACTAAATCAGAAACTGTATTCTAATTTAAATGTATACGTTTGCTGCCTATTCCACTTTAGTGATTCTCATTAAACCAGACGTGTTGTCATTGTGCAAATTTCCTATCGTGTCCGTGGTGATGACATCACCAGCTAACAGTGTAGTAAGGGCATTTACCTCTCAGGTCGCCTTTGTTTTCATACTTCATTCACTTTAATGACTCACACACGCCGAACAGTGAAAAATACATCACATCATTAGCTTCCTTTCACCGGAACACACAAAGACTGAACAGGAAACACACTAGAGAGCACTATTACCGTAACACAAACATGACTGTGCACAAACGGCGGTAAAGACTGATTTTGAAGAATGACTCAATTTAAACTTTTATTTTTTATACTTGATCAAAAACAAAAAACATAAACAAGGGGAGTTGTTTTACTAAAAGGGAGGGTCACATCTGCAACACCCTTTTACATAGCAGTCATACCAATCTTTAAAAATCTATTATGCCTCTTTCTACATGGATAGTACGAGTGGAGAAGAGTTGGGTTTTTATTTTGTATCGCATCAGCTGGAGGTATTTGTAGCTAAAGATTTATTAGAAGATGTCATGAGAACAATAAGATCGCATGAGCTGCAGGCTTCAATCAACGTGTTCACACAAATATGAAACATTCATTCAGAAATGTATTTTAATATAAAAAAAAAACATGTAGCATCTGCTAATGTATCAGCTAATGCAGCTAACTAGCAGTGCAGAACCTTATAGCCAAGCCCGTGTTGATTTCTGGGTAAGTTACATGTGGGAAGTTTTTGCTACTTCATAAGAATGAGGAAATCTTTAAGATTCAATTTGAATCCAGATGTGTGTTCTGCATTATACATCTCTCACCTTGCTGTGATCTGCACCATGCCTCACTATGACATCATAACCACGTAGGATGCCGTTTATCTTGTCTTCTGGTGGAGGTTTCCACTTGATCACCAGTCGCGACTCGTTCAGCTGCACGTCGACGTTTTGGGGATACACCGATGGCACTGGGCATACGACAAGTTGTGGGATGCGGTGGTTAGGATGAGAGGGAGATTCATAAAGAAGAATTTATAATCGCTGGAATATCTGATAACGGTCTTTGGCGTTTGGTCACTTCCTGGAATGCCATATCAAAACTGCAGACTAACACCTTCCCTGCGGTGGCCTTAGGAAGGAAATTAGAAGCAGCTCCACCCAGTATAAACATTCAGTTTTCTCAGTGGAGTCCCTCCTATTTCCTGAGTGACCATCAAGAAAACAACGTTACAAGAAAATAGAATTCTCCTGGAGGGGAACAGCATGGCAGAGGAGTTATGCAGTTATGAAACTTCCAGTTAATGACTCCTGCTACAGGAAAGAGGCTTACGGCGAGCGGTGTTGCAATCGGAGAAACCTAAAGGAAAACGATGAGGTGAATGCTTGTGAGTGAAACACACACCTCCTTCTGTGGTGTTGCTCTGAACCCACGTGGAGAGCGGAGAGGCCCCCACCTCGTTGCTGCAGGAAACGCTCATGTTGTACCGCGTCATCGCCTTCAACCCGGGAACCTCACAATGGAAAGGCGGAGCGGTGGCGTTGATGAGCCTGGTCGTCGTCACCTCCCCCCTTCTCTGACTCACCTCTCTCACCTAGATTGGAAGAAAGAGCAGGTGATCGATCTGAGGACGTAGAGGGTTGAGTGTTTGTTCAGATTCAGGACTTACTCTGATGTGACATTTGGTGAGCGGGGAGAAGCCATCGTGTCCAGGACTCCAGCTCAACAACAGCTTGTTGGACTGCCTCTCTGTCACAGCAACATCAGACACGGGACTGGGAAGAACTACAAAACAATTCAACTGTTTCACTTCCAAACCAGAGCAGGAAAATATTTTTATTTTTATTATTTTAGTTTTACCTTTAATGTTAATATTGGCTTCTCTTGATGTAGAAACACCCTTTGCATTGTGAGCTTCACAGCTGAACTGGGTGAACTCGTCAACACCTGCAAGTAGGTATTTGTGAGAAACCCTGAAGTTCAGATTTTCAGATTTGTATCCAATAAAACTGATTTTTCTCCGTGCCAAAGGTGATTCTGACACAAACACATGATATGACGAGTAAAACCTGGCTGAGTGTTGGGTAAAAAGCTGATTTTCACCTTCACTTTTTAATAGTATTGTTTTTTCAAACGGAGTTCATTAGCCTTATTCACATTTAACGTGGTAAATACAGTATTGGATGCATGGAAGATGATTTTGTCTGGGAACCATCTGGTGTTATTAACCGGCTCCTGCTGCAGGGAAAAGTCGACCTTGTAAGTCGGCAGTTCTGTTATCACAACAAGCTCCCTAGTGAAGTCCAGACGGAGTGTTTCTCTGAACCTGGGAACGTTTGCTGTCTGTGAAGGGGTGGGTGTGGTCATCTTTAATGTGCTATGTCATATGTCATCTGTGAATAAAACCTTTTGAGGAGCTCCATCTCTTCGAGAGACTAAACAGACCTCCCGAAACGGGTGTGTTTCTTTTCTCTCTCCGGTTTTGCAAAATCTGATTATTGATTATTTTGTGTTTATTGGTAAATGGTATTAATAACAATAATATCTCTAACCCCCTTGTGTGTTTTGGACTTTCTTTGAGGTTGACTGGATTAAATAAATAAAAATACCTAACACTGAGTATAAAAGAAAACAAACATTTTAGGATGAATTACACGTTTATTACCTTATAAACTCTATTCAGTAAGCTGAAACTTACTGATTGTAAAATAATGTGCTATAATAATTATTTCACTGGGATTTTTCCATCTTCAGCTGCCAGTTCTGCACAGTCCGAGCGGGACTGGGACATCTGTGACATAATGCCCCCTTTGTGCTCCGTTTTTTTCCCCCCTCTTTTTTTCTCCATCTCGGAAACATTTTCACAAAGCTCATCACAGAGCAGCCTGTGAGAGATGACGGCAACAGATTCTGGTTTTTTGTTTTTGTTTTTAGTCGGATAGACCGAATATGTTTTTGTTTTTTTGCAATTGAAACCCTAACTCAAATCTGCACCTGCACAAACAGTTAAGTGCATTTGCATCATTAAAGTTCAATTCAATTCAATTCAATTCAAAAATACTTTAATCCCAGAGGGAACTTGATAAAGTCCCAATAGTTGTCACACACACTGGTGTGTGTGAAATTATTTCTCTGCATCTGATCCATCCCTTGGGGAAGCGGTGAGCTGAAGACACGGCTGCACTCAGGAACCATTTGGAGGTTTAACCCCCCAGTCCAACCCCTTAAAGCTGATTCTCATGCAGGGAGGTGTGACCCGACAGGGATTTGAACCCCGATCTTCTCAGTCCCATCGTGGACACTCTACCACTTTTATTCAGTTAATTATTTTAGGTTATTGAAGATATTTCACCTCCTACTTAAAACATTTCTTTAACACTAAAGAGAAAATTATATTTAAATTACAAAAAAAAAAGCTGAAGTTTGGAAAAATATGATTTTATCACATCACCAGCAGCGCTACAGCTTTTTTTCTTATTAGGAGACAAAAGTTCAGCTCATATTACGTAAACATAAAGTTTTGTTCATGAAAATGTAAAAATGCTAGTCTGGGAAATCATCCTATAGAAGTGAATTTAGTCTGTCCACGACCCACAGAGAGATCTCAGTCGTAGGATGGAATTTTTGGTTGTCTTTCAATCTATCATCCCGTGCTATTGGACAGCGCTCGGACCAACAAATAACATGACATATCCATTTATACGACAACCAGTCACACCCCCGTACACTGTTGAAGAAGATGATGCAAATATGTACTTTTTCTACATAAAGGACTGTGATTGGCCAAACCTAAAGTTGTTCCAGCCAATGGTAGACCAATGGAGAGTGGCTAGACCGTCCAACCTGCACAGCTAGATTTTTTTGCTCGCTGCAATGGATAGCCTAGATTTCTAGCTAAAAATGCTACAAGATGTTATGAAATCTGAACTACAAATATGAAATATTTACTAACTGTGAAATGACGCTTGTTTGCTTCACTGTTGCTTTTCTAGGTCTGTCCCGAAGTATGTGCAGAGTGGTAAATCACGGTGTGAGAAAACAGAATTTTTGCCACAGGTCATAGATCAATTTCTCTTTCAAAGATTTGTGTTTGTTGGAAAAAGGAAATGAATCGAGGTCAGAAATGGTCATTTCTGCTTTCAAAACAAAAAAGCACAACAGAATTTTTATTTTTTTCTCGTATGGAAACAAGAGCTCAGAGGAGCCAAAACAACCATCATGCAAAATGTGGACATCCTGTAGATGTGGATCCAGAACCCTCTAATTACCAGGTTGAGTTGCCTCCAGCTCCCTGAGCAGCCTCAGATGGAGTTTTTCCACTTCTATTTAGGGAGCAAATATGGCCATAAAACGACTCTGTCAGGTTTAAAATATGTCTCAAACGTTTCAGTTCTTGTGCCGCATTTGCTTCATCAAACTGGCCTTGAACAGGAGAGGATAAAATGAAAAACCTCACTGGTGAGCCTGGGAAAAGTGAGTTTTGTGCACTTTCAGGGAGTGAAGCTTATTTACTAGCAGGTGTGGGGCATTCTGGGCCACAGGATAAAAGGAATACGTTGTAACAGCCCTGGTGTGTGTGTGTGTGTGTGTGTGTGTGTGTGTGTGTGTGTGTGTGTGTGTGTGTGTGTGTGTGTGTGTGCGTGCGTGCGTGCGTGTGTGTGTGTGTGTGTGTGTGTGTGTGTGTGTGTGTGCGTGCGCGCGCTTGTTTTAACCAATATCGTCAATCAGGGAGGATATCTGAATTTGCCAGAGACCAGAACAGGATGCATTTACTCTGCACTGGTTTGAGTCTTTATTCTAAAATAACCATTTTTGAAGAATATTTTGCCCTTCATTGACAATAAAAAATTAAAAATCCCTCATCTTGGCCATTTTGGTTGACCAGATGAGCAATTGTTCTTGCAGGTGGATCAACCACAAGTTTAAGTTCCTAAATAAAAATGTTTGTGTGGCTCTTCAAACAGAGGAAACATCCTGGATGAGGCCAAATACCTTGAAAAGCCAATAACTTGTTGAGTATTCATCCACGGTAACACCTGAACCAATCTAAAATATTCTCACCTAACTTTTTGCAAATGGCCATATGAAGTCAGGGCGTGCATACGATGAGTGTGCAGCAAAGTGGGCTCAGTCTGTGTTGTTGTGCCAATATTTAAGTCTGCACAGAGCTCTGCCTGCAGCCTGCCAGCCTCTGGGCTCAGCAGTGGGCCGGCCTGTCAATGAGGCCTTTGTCCGCAGATCCAACCCCCGAACCAACTCTTTGTACAGCCCCCCCCCCACCCCTTCACAGCCAGGCCCCTTGCACATGCTGGACCAAAGCACAGCTCTGAACCTTTAACCCCCCAGCTTCTGATTGTTTTGCCTCTCACTGACATTAACAAGAGCTAGCCTGCAGCTAACAGAAAAGTGAAGGGTTAGAGCACACAGAGCGAAGGTTATGCTGCCGGTGACCAGTGTTTACTTTCAAGAAGCGGGTGGCTACAACCATAAAAGGAGAGTCCACTTTATTTTTTCCTTTTTTTGAAGTAACCTGATTAGGAACCAGAATCTGCAAGGACAGGACTTTGTTTTAAAAAACGAAAGACAAAACATGTGATCACTAGAAACGTACAGCTTGAAAACTGCTTCTCAGTGCATCAGAGCCAAGGCTATCTATTGAGTCAAAGACATAAAAACACCCAACATTCTGTTCCCTCACCTCACTGACACCAAAACAATGTCTAAAGTTTATGGGATGGGTCTTTTGTGCTAATCTGTAAATGCCCAACTAAAAAGAGGGCGGAGACCTGGAGTCAAGTGTCAACCCCCCATTATTGTGTCTAATAGGGTCTGGTCTTGTTTCCACAGAAGCAACAAAATCCCCCCATGTGTTTCTAAGGGCTAACCTGTAGACCAACAATGTCTCCAGCTGCTGCAACGTTCCAGCTGATAAAATACAAAACATGTTTTAACTTTTTGCTCAGTTCAAATTCTAAAGAAGACAAATCCAAACAAATAAAGTATTTTCCAATGATGATTCTTTATCGCAAATGCACCCTAGTGCAAATTTGACCTAAGTTAGAGGAATCTAGGGAAACCACAGTCTCCACAGTGACAACTTGAAGCCTCTGCAACAGCTGAAACAATTCCGAAAAGCACCAGCCGGGAATGACCGCTGTTAACCACCGTGCTGTGCAGCATGATGACAAATCTGTCTGCAGGATGCTGAGGCAGCGAAGACGAGGCAGAATAGAAACCACTGACAAAGTGAAGACATACAGACGTCAAATTTCAAGACATGTTTCCACTTTCAGTCACTCACAAACATCCATCCAAGACAAAATCAGAGAACTGCACTATGTTTTTCTTCTAAAGGCCTTGAATATCAGAATATTATTGATAACAATGAAGAAAAATCTTTCGTTAGCTCTTCCAGCACGGAAAACACAGGCCATATATGGTGTGATCACCACCAAAAGTCCATCTTCATTCAGAAGGATTCAGTTATGATGTCATACTTTAATCATTTATTAGATAATGAACTTCTCAACAGGAAAAGACGGGAAAAAAGGAACTTTAAAGAGCAAGTCACCCCCTACCAGAATCTTACTCCACTCCCACTTCCTGGTTGAAGAATGCAACAAATGCTGTCACCTGGCAGACCGAGTGGGTGGAGCTGCTAACAAATACACACACACTAGGGCTGTAGCGAAGCCTTGATGACGTCGACGGCTCGATTCTAAAAATTTGTCGACGTCAGATCCAGTAGTCGACGCACCACGTCCACTTGTTGCATCCCCAGCAGTTTGTCAATAGAGGAGGAATCTGCCTGTTTTCCCTCCTCTAGTTCGCCCTCTTCTCCTCCTTCACTAACATCTCCACCAAATACCGAAGAACAGGAACAATGTCCGTCCGCTACTAGATTCCTTTCCTGTTTTGCCCGTCTTCGTCTCCCGGTAACGGACAACAACTTCCGGGGTCAAATGCGCTGCTTCGTCTCTACCACAGGTGAGATCATTCGATCACATGGCTTCTCCTGCCACTGCTATGCAGACGACACCCAGCTCTATCTGTCATTTCCACCGGACGACCACACTGTCTCTGCACGAATATCAAACTGTCTCTCTGACATATCAAAATGGATGAAATCCCACCATTTCCAACTCAACCTCTCTAAAACTGAACTACTTGTCATCCCAGCAAAACCATCCATACAGCACACTATCTCAATCCAAAACGACTTCCTGTCTCTGGCTCCTTCAAAGGCAGTTCGAAATCTGGGTGTTGTGATTGATGAACACCTGACCTTTAAAGATCAGGTTGCCTCTGTTGATCGTTCATGTCGCTTTGCATTGTATAACATATGAAAGATCAGACCATACCTATCAATCAAATCAATCAAAGCTTTATTTATAAAGCGCCTTCCGCAACCCTGTCAGGAAGCCCAAGGCGCTGGGCTTACCTAACACAACATGCCACCCAGCTCTTGGTGCAATCATCTACTGTCATCTCCCGCCTCGATTACTGCAATGCCCTTCTAACTGGTCTTCCAGGCTGTACTGTGAGACCTCTTCAAATGGTCCAGAATGCAGCAGCGCGTCTGGTCTTCAATCAGCCAAAAAGAGCACACGTTACCCCTCTGTTCATTGAGCTCCACTGGCTACCGCTAGCAGCATGTATCAAATTCAAATTGCTAACACTAGCATACAAAGTCCGAGATGGTACGGCTCCCATCTACCTGAATCCTCTTGCAAAGGCTTACGTCTCGGCCCGGCCGCTCTGGTCATCACAGGATCGTCGGTTAGCAGTGCCTACACCACGCTCAGGACAATCCAGACTTTTCTCATGCATCGTTCCACAAATGTGGAATGACCTACCAAGCACTACCAGAACAGGGGCTTCATTTTCGATTTTCAAGAAACTCCTGAAGACCCTGCTCTTCAGAGAGCATCTTCTAAACTAGCACCCCACCCCCCCACCCCCACCCCCCACCGTCCACTCCTTTGTTCCCTCCTCTCCATGATTGATGTCAAGTTGTTCTTATTGTTAGCCTCAAGGGCAACATGCCGATTATCACTTGTAAGTCGCTTTGGACAAAAGCGTCTGCTAAACACATAAACATAAACATCAGCAAAAATAAAGTTGATTTGGGGTGACTTGCTCTTTAAAAAAAGGCTAAATTTCATTCAACTTGGCATGAGACAGAAACAGGACTACGTGGTGCTTCAGGTTTTACCTGAAACATAGAGGCTGCTGAGAGAGTTGTTATGATCTCTAACTAGGATTCCATTTCGAAGCCAGCGGATTTCAACTGGATCAGGAGGTCCAACTGCTTTGCACGACAAATTGAAAGGAGTATCTCTTGTAACATTCATGTCCTCTGGTTGCTGTGTGAACGTTGGCAGACCTTAAAGACAAAAAAAAAAGATAAATTCTCAAAGACCAACAAAGAAACTTCAGATGCTGTTGTCTTCATACAACTCACCTTCAATCTCAACCGTGATTGGCTGAGAAGATTTCATCTCACTGTTGATGCTTATTGTGCAGTGGTATACTCCTGCATCCACACTCTGCACCTGATTAATGCTGTAATGCAGCACATGGACACACATCACTCTGCATTCACCTTGTTTCACTTAACATAAAGGTGGAGTAGGAGATGCTCTTCCAGGTGTTCCAGCAAGCTATTTTGTGAAAATATGCAATTCAAATGTCCAACCCCCTACACCCACCCACATGAGTGTTGTCAAGGCAACAAACTGAAAGACAGCTCTGTCAGCGGACAGTGGACAGGCTGCGTTCAAAGACAACAGGTCCGTCACCTAAACATTTCCCACCAAGAACAGAACCAGACTCTAAACAGAACATGGAAAACAACTGCTTGGATGAAATTTGCAAACGACAAACAGAACAGAACTTTCCTTCTGTTACACCCGCTAGCCCAGCTCTTGCTTTGCTTTCTATTAAACTGATCCAAGCCAAGAACACACAATTCGTAGAGGGACCGTCAGAAGGTAGTTTGATCGATGGGTCATTGTACAATCTATGGGAAGTTCACAATGATTGGATGAGGTTTGTCTAGAATTGTGGATTTCAGATTAAAAAATGATTAATTTTTTATGAAACATTTTTATTTACTAGTTGCCATCTGTATGTGAACAGGATTTCAAGCACAATAGCAATAAATTCTCCAGGAAAATCTCCTACTGCACACCAAACTTCCGAATACATACATGACCGTAGAGACGTGAGTCGTGACTCCGTCCGTGATGGTTCGGAGCTCATTGATCACCACATGATCGTTTGCCAGAAGTTCTTCGTTGTTTTTCTTCCAGACAATGGTGGGGTCCAGCCTTGCATCGGGGATGTCGATGGAGCAGTTGAACTTAGCTTTGTGTCCCTCAGACAGCTGCATAGAGCCAATGGTGGGCTTGAAGTTAAGTCGCCTCAAATCATCTCTGCTTAAATACACTCTAGAGACGTGACGTGGAATCACAACAGGCTCGGAGTTCCTGGCTGGTCGGCCAAAGTTGCTCCTTGAGTGTTGAGCTGTTAAAGTGAATGATAAACCATCAGCAGTGAACATTTTGTACATGTTCACTGTGCAAAATGTACAGTTAATTTATTTTATTGTTCAAATGAATCAATCGAGCCTTTACATAGGGCTGGATCCTGTTGGAAAAACATGTTATTTCTAAATTGTGGTTTCACAGCAAAATGCGCCCAGGCTGGTGACTCGCATGAGGAGGAAGTTATTGTGGCTGCAAATGAATGTTCCCCATGCTATTGCAGCCCCTGACAGGGTAAAATGAGAAAAGTGTAAGAATGGCCAGTTTAGTTTTAGTCCAAATTACTATGAAAAAGCACAATCATTCAACCCATCAAACAAGAATGAATACCAACAGGAAAACATTACAAGGGATTTTCGCACAATTTGGAGGTACCCTACCCTCACATTGGGCTCATTCTATCGATACGCAACCCTCTCAACTTATTCCTGCTTGTAAAGGTGACTAATCAAGATTCCCACTGAAGCAATCTTACAGCAAAGAAATAAACTACCAAACAGATTCATGTATGCTATGTCTACCATTTTTGTCAAGCAGTTTGTGTTATCAATATGTTGGAATCATTTAAGATATTGAAGAAATATAAATTTGATTTGATGAACACATTTGATCTATTTTGCAACGCTAGTTTTAACCTTCTAACTGCAGGTGAACTGATTGGTAGACTATAATTTTATCTTTTTATTTATTTATGAGGCATGCACTGAATGCTAATGGGAAAACAATAAAGAATAGAAAAAATATCTAAAAATAAGAAGCTGGAACTTACCACAACACACTTATTCCCTCTGAATATTATTATTACTTGTATTATTATTATTATTATTATTATTATTATTATTATTATTATTATTATTATTATTGGACATTTAATTATTACCTATATTACAACACAATAAAACAAAATATGCAAAAACAATTTTTGTTGCATATTTCTTGGTGAAGAAGTTAGAGTTGAACAACAATTAAAATAGCAATTTAGGAGGGAGATTTTAAATCTTGTCCAAATCTTCATGAGCTGGAGTCTTTTGGGGGTCGTTTGGTTTTGACCTAAATAATGATTAGAAGAAACAGTTTTTGCATTTAAAATCTGTGTTTTTTTATTTCTGTGAAAAATCACACATAATAATTTTTTACCAAGTATTTACTTATCTATATCCACATTTCCCTGTTTCATCTGAGTTTTTGTATCATGTGCTTCAACTATCAACAAGATTTTTATCACATCATCAACTTGTGACTTCCGCTGTACCTTGAACTGCTCTCACCTGTATGAAAGACGATCACACACATACAATTCAACAATTTCAGTTACCCAAAGACGTATGAAGCTAAAAAATAAAATAAAATAAAAAGAGTAACCTGTTTAAATCTACTGGTCTAGTTGCATCTTCAGGGGCCACAAAGTTGGTCCAAACACCAAACACCCCCCAAATGTAAATAAACAAACTTACTGCTGGCTGAATCCTCCAGATGTGCGGCAATAATCAGGAGAACAACTCTAATGTAATCAGAGTTGGACATGTTTTCCTGTTTGAAGCCAGGTTTCTTTCCCGATAGCCTTTAAATCCACGCTGACTGCGTCGAGGCGGAGAACAACATTACTGTAAATTCATCACCACGACAGAAGCCCCAACAGTGTGTGTGTGAGTCGTTGACCAAAGGCTGCAGAACTGGAGAGAAAACTTTGAGTGACGTCACAGATGGAATTCCAGAGGGCGGGGCTGAACAAACAACAACAGACGACCGTAGCGGCACCACATCTTGTACTTTTCAACCCTTTTCTGTAGTTTACTCTCTTTAATGTGTCGGAAATAAAAAAAATAAAACCCCACTTCTGATTACTTATAACGAAGCACTTATGTGCTCAAGTGTGCCACCACGTGGCCAGTTTAGGAAACTGCACTATGAGCAATTCACATTAAAGGAATTTTCAGGACATTTTCAAGTGCGCTTTTATATAAAACTCATCTTTATTTTTTCATCAGTTGTGCATAGCTTCCTGAAAAGCCTCTGTTTAGAGAAATAGCTTTTACACAAAGTCTGCAACCTTTACAACTAAAAAGCCGATTTGACAATTTATCCAACTAAATATAATTTGTATAGCCTAGAGCAGCAAAATAAACTTAAACGTAAAATTATTGTTTATGTTCTTTTCATATGTTTTGCATGGCAGGCAAGGAATAAGCTAAATTGTGTGTTCTTGTTCAGAAGTATGCAGTTTCTGTTATTTCCATATTTGAGGACACTCAACAAAGTAGCCCAGTTAGAAATAAAGCCTTACTTAATAATAGACCAGTAGGTGATTAAACTGGGGCTGCATGATGTATAAAAAATTTGTGTCGATTTCAATGTAATCATTATCTTAACCCTCCCAGGCTCAAAATAAGTTTTGGTAGAAGGACGAACAACTAAGTCCTTCAGGGTACTTCTGAGTTAAAAAAATGCTCATGAAATACGTATGTGGCGTAACCAGGTAGGTAGGTTAATGTTGCAAATCTGCAACGCCTGCCTCCAGAGGGTTAAATTGATATGAGTTAGTAAAAAAGAGTATGCAAGATCCCAGGCTTTTAATTTCAGTGTATCCCATGTGAGCAGCTGTCGAGATGCCTGCTTGGCTTCACCAATCTGCTAAACCTCTGTTGAATGACATTACAGAAAACTGTGAATTACTGTTGATTACACTTCAGGTTATCATAAAATTTTATCAACTTTCTGACTGCAAACCATGGTTAATGCTCCTCTGGTATGCCAATAGATGAAAACAGTGCACCTAAGCACACTCAAACTCAGCTGAAGGTATTTTAATCCCATCAAAGGTATGACGGTGCATTTCTACGATGTTGTTGCTCCAGAGGTTCCTGGAAATATAAATTGCAACGATAAAAAGTCAAGCTTTGATAATCAGACCTTTTAAGAAACAGCTATCGCAAAGTAGGCTGATAAAGGCAACGGTGTATGTCAACACTTTGTAAAACATTCTTCAGAGGTTCCAGTAGTGTAGAAACAGACTGTTACATACAAGAGTTTTTGCCAGAATGAACTAAACTATCAAAGCTGCCACAGGGAAATTCAAAGGATTTTTATTAATCACCCTAGCATCAACAGCAGATTTACAAATTAAAGTCAAGAAGTGATGTCGGGAGATTTTTTTTTATGTGCGATTGCTTCTGCAGCGATTGGGAATCGAGAAAAGGCTGACATTTCAGAGGGATTGAGAAGGTTGTTAAATGTTAATGGATCGATGGTGTCCAGGGTTTCACTGGAAAATTTCACTGCATAGAGGAGAAACAAAAAGTCTGTTAATTCACAGACAATTCAGAATGTTGTTACCAAAAGTCACAATTCTGATCTAATTTCATGGAATGCAAAACACACTTGATTTGTGTAAAATAAAGATGGAAAAAAAGATTTTTTTATTATGAAAATATGTTTAAAATAAGTTTGCGCAGTGGCGCAGTGGTTAGAGCTGTTGCTGTGTACCAAGAAGGTCCTGGGTTTGCTTCACGGCCTGGGATCTTTCTGCATGGAGTTTGCATGTTCTCCCTGTGCATGCATGGGTTCTCTCCAGGTACTCTGGCTTCCTCCCACAGTCCAAAAACATGACTGTTGGGTTAAATGGTCTGTCCAAATTGTCCTTAGGTGTGTGTGTGTGTGTGTGTGTGTGTGTGTGTGTGTGTGTGTGTGTGTGTGTGTGTGTGTGTGTGTGTGTGTGTGTGTGTGTGTGCGTGCATGATTGTTTGTCCTGTGTGTCTCTGTGTTGCCCTGCGATGGACTGGCAACCTGTCCAGGGTGTACCCCGCCTGATTGCCCATTGACCGCTGGAGATAAGCACCAGCCACCCCCGCGACCCTACATGGACGAAGCGGGTTCAGAAGATGGATGGGTGGATGGATGTTTAAAATAAGGGGAAAAAATTGTGATTCAAAAACGTAAGGAAAGGGAGGGAGAAAATGAAGAGGGAAATCAGTGGAAAGGCAGAATAAGAGCAGAATAAGAAAAGGTTAATGACAAAGGTAATGCAAAAGCCAGCCCAAGAGTTTTCAGCTGCTTTTTGAAGAAGATCACTGAGTCCAATGATCTCAAACGCTTCTCAACATCTTGAGCAAAAATGGTCACCTCAACTGATTTATCACTTACTGCCATAACGTAAAAATATAACATTTACTTTGGTATTAAGTGTTAGACATATAGAAATAAGAATAGGTGGGAGCTCATTTAGGGATCTACACATGGAACAGTCAGAGAAATGTGCTATTAAAAATAAAAAAATATCATAACTCATTGGAATAAATTTTGTTTTCATCATTTTGGTAAATTGTTAAATGTGTATGTAAAAATAGTTAAAACACTAATTTCCTGTTTGAAATAATGCAAAACCAGTTGAAGTTATTTATTAAGTGTTGTCCACTAGATGGCGACAAATGCGCAAAAATGGAAAAACTAATGAAAGCAGTTCACGTGACAGTACATAAAAATCATGTAACTACATGTACATTTAATGTTTATTGTGTTTTCTTCTTTATTATTTGCTTGTTAGATTTTTGTCTTTTTTTCAGAACAGCAACAAGTAGAATACATAAAACACGAACAATCAGAAGTTCCACCGTAAATAAAACAAAAAACGCTCTACTTGTGACATTTGCGGAAGGTTAAAAAAAAAGTTTTCGCAAGCACTAGAAGAAGCAGTAAATGTTAGCGGAAGTGGCGTTGGAATCATCTTTAGTAGCTGATCAGCGGTCAGTAAATGGAAACCCTGCCTTGCACCATAGCCTCACTCAAGCTCTACACAGCTGATTCCAGATCAGCACTTCCATAAAGCAGTGACGTGAAAACCAGGAAGCCCACTTTTTCATTGACTAACTGCGGTCTACATCTGTAGACGTTAACGGCGGATGTACATTTTGTTGTGGACAATTTCACGTATTTTTGTTTTAAAAATTTCTGACGAGTTTGCCTTGTGAGACTTTAGCGATGGACAAACTTCGTCGTGTTTTAAGCGGTCGAGAGGAAAATGAAGAGTTGGGTCTCACTGCGCAGGTTAGTCACATTATGCTAATGCTAATTTCTCCCTGACAGAGTCAACGTATTTTCCTATAATAATAATAATAATAATAATAATAATAATAACGTTGAAGCCACGTGTTATATTTGTTTTGGCGTTTGATTGTATAATAGAGACAGCTAACTTCCTTAAACGTTTTGTTGTTAACTAACAAAAACTACTTTAGAGTAAGCTAGCATGCTTTGGGGGGTTTGGCGTTAATAACTTGTTTTGTTTACACTCTTTCACGCGTTCACGACTAGGAGGAGTTCAGGTAAGTTATTTTAAAGGTAAAGTTTGGCTTTCAGGTTGCAGTTATTAACAGGTTCTGCTTTGCAGACTGTGTTTGTCCGTTTATTTTCGTCAATTTTGTGCTTGTTGTGTTTTGAGGCAACACTGCTGTTTTGACTTGGTTGAATCACCATTCGGAAGCCTGCAGGTCTCAGAAGGTCAATAACGTGTCCTGTGGCATCCTCCCATTGTTCTCACCAGGTCATTGATGGCAGCACTCTCAGCTACAGCACCAGGGTGAAATGGTTTGTCATATGCTTTGCTGGAGGCGTTCTGTGCTCCATACTGGTGAGTGTCTGCAGCTTTTATGGTCTGTCTGGTTTTAGAGCGACCCTGCTAATGTGTGAGCCTCTTTAAATAACATCAGAAATACTTTTAAGTGTTTCATTTACATGTTTTACTTATTTTAAAACATCTTCAAAGACTGGTAATCATTGTGTTGAAACGGATATTATTTACTCAAACTCGCATACAGAAATGGCGTTCTTTATTATTTTTGTACCAAGTGAAACAAGCACACTTTGCAATAATGTAGTTTATGTGACGGTTTGTGCCATTGTACAATGTGATGGCGTATGGTAGGGAAGACTTCCTGTAACTTTCCCTTCAACAGCAGAGCTGTAGCAGCCTGTGTGAGATGGTGCTCCTCTGTCTGTCTACTGTGTGATGGAGAGGGTGCTGGTCATTGTCTATGATGGATAAAAGTTTATTCAGCATCCTCATATACACCACGGTCTCTAAGGGGTCCTATCTGAGACCAGGTCCAGAGCCAGCCTTCTTAAGCATCTCATTACGTCTGTTAGTGTTGCTGGCTCAGATGCTACTGCCCAACACACAACAGCAATGAAGATGGTGCTGGCAACAACAGATTGGTAAAAGGTCTTCAACATCTTACTGCACACGTTGAAGGATCTCAGCTTCCTCAATAAATAGTCTGTTCAATCCCTTCTTGTACACACCCTCCATGTTAGAACCCCAGTCCAGTCTGTTGTCTTGTCACAACACAGGTACCTGTAGTTCTTCACAGCCTCCCCCCGATCTGTAGTGGCTGTGAAGGCGCCCTCCTCTTCCTGAAGTCAATCGCCATCTCTGTGGTTTTACTGACATTCAGAGGAAGACGGCTATGTTTGTGTATAATTTTGTAAAACTGTCCAAAGAATCCTTTTGACTTAAGTCATAATGCAATTTTACTGCATACACCTTCATCTCCTCACATTTAAGGTTGGTTTATGCTTGACGCGTCCGCGAGGTCCGCACAGCTCCGCGCGGAAAAGTTGTGTCATTTTGCGTCATTTTAACAACCACGCCCCTCCACCGCGCCTCCGCACGGCCCAGAATTTCCGCAACACGCACCTCGGAAAATTTCTAACCACGCGGACAGACGGACACGGAAAAACATGGCGGACAGGCAAGAACTAGTAAGGCAGAGGTTCGTAAATACAGACATTTGTATGATTCAGCTCTCAAAGATCACCGTGATCAACATGTTGTTAATAATTCATGGAGAGAAATAGCTCGCACTGTCGGAAAAGACGAGAACGCTGTTAAAAATGCTGAAATGCCATGTTGTAAACAGTAATTTCTACTTCTACTATGGTGTAGTGTTGGGTGCATGCCGTAGAGCTCCATGCTGCCCCGTTCAGTTTGGGAGAATATTGGCTCACCGCAGAGATGAGCCACACGAACCATAAACGCTGTGAGTTGTGAAGCGCGTTCCATCCGCGAGCTGCATCACCGCGCGGAAAGTGAATGCATCAAGCATAAACCAAGCTTTAGGCCTAGTCCACACGTAGCCGGGTTTTTAAAAAAAAATGAATATCCGCCCCTCCAAAAACTTGCATCCACACCACCTCGTTTTTTAAAAAAACTCTGTCCACACGTACCCGGATAAATACGTTGTTAAGGACATGCCAGACCTGTAGGCGGCAGTACTTCCCCCGTTCTTAACCTCGTCCTTCGTCTGTGGTCTTCCGCAAGGAGCACTAATTCCGCTTGCAAAAACAAACAAGCAAAAAGCGCTTGGACAATTGATAAAGCGAGCACAGCTCTGAGGGCATCCATGCTGTCGGCTAGTGTAAACACAGGTCGCACACGTGATGTCTGCATTTTTTTGTCGTGGAAAGTGACGTTGCGGACCTTAAAACTCCGGTTTTGTCCGTCCACACGCAGACACCCAAAACGGAGAAAATGCAGATCTTCACTTTGGCCGGAGTTTTTAAAGAGATCCGTTTTCCTGTGAAAAAACTCCGTTTTCGTGTGGATGACAGGTCAAAACGTAGAAAAATATCTACGTTTTGGCAGATCCCCGGCTACGTGTGGACAGGGCCTCACACTACTGTAACTCTCTTTTCACGTGTCTGAGCAGAACCTCCCTGAACCGTCTACAGGTGGTTCAGAGTGCCTGTGCTCGGCTTCTGCCCAAGTCCTCCAAACACACCCACATCACCCCACTTCTCCTCCACTTCATTGGCTGCCAGTCAACTTCAGGGTTCATTTCAAGATCCTGGTTCTGGTCTTTAGGGTCTTACATGGACTAGCACCATCTTACATTGATGATCTTCCTACACCCCCAGCAGGTCCCTGAGGTCCAGTGACCAAAGCCTACTGGTTGTGCAGCGCACCAGGCTAAAGACAGGGGACAGACCATCTGCTGCTGTAGCCTGGCCTGTCAGACTCGTCCTCTGTTTAAATCTGCACACAGAGAATGAGTCTGGTAACTCACAGGCAGAGAGGCACATGAGGGGCGGGACTAGGCAGCTCAAAAATAACCAATCAGAAAAAAAGACTGACTGTACCGCACAACTTTGCAGTTTTTTAGCTGTAGTCAAAAATGGCGTCTGGCGACAGCGCAAACATCTTTCTTTAGAAGAAAGGCTTTTAGAGCTTCTTCTTGTTGTTTTAAAGACATGTCCAAGTCATTTAGAACAAAGGAACGAGCCGCAGCAAACTCCGCTTCAGTCTCCATGTTTATGACAAACTCAGCGTTGTGGTGTGTGATGTACGCTACTCAGCGCTGATTGGCTCGGTTAGAATTCTCACGGGGTGAGGTTATTAGAATAGGTGAGTTCCCAGACCCTTTCTCTGTGCAGAATTAAACAGAGGAGGAGTCTGGCTGGCCAGGCTGTGCTGCAGTGGCCCCCAGACTCTGGAACTCTCTCCCCCTGAGCCTGAGTCTCCTTCAAAAAGCAGCTGAAAACTCACCTGTTCAGGCTGGCTTTGGTGTGACCTTCTCCACCCTCCCCTTATTCTGCTCTTTCTACCTATTCCATCTTCCTCATGATCCATCAATGTCCCTCTTTCCTATTCACTCTCTCTCTCTTCCTTTACATTTTTTAATCACAATTATATATTTTTGCTTCTTTTAAACATATTTTTAACCATTTTCAAAATTCTTTTTTATGTTTAAAATGTTTTGTTTTTTGTGAAGCGCCTTGTGATTTTTGTCTTGAGAGGCGCTATAGAAACGATCGTTTCTTCTTCATCTTCATCTTGTCTTGTCTTTGACCCCTTAACAGATAAAATTCAGTTTTAATGTTGGTCTTTTTGCTTCATTTGTAGGGCTCTGCGCTGCTTTTCCTTCCTAATGGGATCAAGCTTTTTGCTGTCTTCTACACAGTAGGAAATATTTCAGCTTTGGCCAGGTAAGACTGAAAATTAAGTCCACAGAATTCCTACATATTGAGGCTGTAAACTATTAATAATATAAATTAATTTATTATTAAGAGACACCCAATTAAATTAATTCATTACATACATAATCTTTACCAACATGCTATTAGCTATGAATATGTGTTTGAAGAGTTTCATCAGGTACGTATGTATTTACTCCTACGAGACGATTGTGTTCTTTGCTGAATCGTTCATACAGCAGCAGGTTCCTGCTCGCTAGCACTGTTTATACACCCAACACACTCACATTGCTGAGAGACTACTTCCGCTCCCCACTCTGAGGCATTTCCCTTCATTTGTCTCTGCCTTTTCAATGGAACAACACGGGGGAGAAAATGCCGTGTTTACAGATCTTAAGAGAGAAACAAGCAATCAGGTCTATAACAAACAGCTCAAAAGAAGTGACCAACCCTCTTTCAGTTGCTCAAAAGATAGAAAGACTTGTTTCTACATTCAGTTGTTTTATACTAAGTTGTATGAGGGAGCACAAACTTCTTGTTGACTTATTGACCCTAAAAAAAAAACATTTGTTAAAATGGTCTCTTTTCCCCAACTTTTGTTGTAAGGTACGTCAGGACCGCTCCATTCTTTAATCAGGAATATTAAACAAGTTGGGTTGTCTTGGTCACGTTTTCAGGAAAAACAGTCATGCTGCCTTCTGAATGGGATGTGTAGCCAATCAGAAAGCGAGGTGACGGAAGGACACTGCGTGCTCCATAGGGCCGGGCGATGTGGCCTAAAATCAATGTCGAAGTATTCTCAAGAGTTCACTTCGATAACATAAATGGACGATAATTACAATGTATGCACAAAAAAGTTGTCCACTAGATGGGGCTGTCACGTGTATATAGGTGAGTCACTTGTCATGTGACTGGAGGTGGTACAGCTTCAGAAAGGGACACCAACATCGGCCTACACACATCTTTCCATTTTTTTATTGCCACTTTTTTGACATGGTAAAAATGGTATCGTTAGAGTCATAAATGGCGATAACGATACATTTTTGATTTATTGCCCAGCACTAATGCTCCTCCTCCACCATGTTTGTTTACTCCAAATTCAAGTTTGAGCTCACTGGGTTTTATGAGATTTCTGACCGGGGAATGTTCGTGTGTGTGCATAACCAAAAGCAGTAATAACAAACGTGGACAATTATGTGATACTGATGATTTTTTTTATTTTTGATATAGGCTTTTTATTTATGTATATATATATATATATATATATATATATATATATATATATATATATATATATATATATATATATATATTTTTTTTTTTTTACTGATATCTGATATACCAACTCTTAACTTCTATTAAAAGAGTTAAATCCAATTAGCCTGGCTTGCCAGACTCCTCCTCTGTTTAATTCTGCACAGAGAAAGGGTCTGGGAACTCTCCTATTCAATAACCACACCCCGTGATAATTCTAACCGAGCCAATCAGCGCTGAGTAGCGTACATCACACACCATAACGCCAAGTTTGTCATAAACATGGTGACTGAAGTGGAGTTCGCTGCGGCTCTTTCCTTTGTTCTAAATGACTTGGACATGTCTTTAAAACCACAAGTAGAAGCGCTTAAAGTCTTTCTTCTAAAGAAAGATGTTTGCGCTGTCGTCAGACTCCATTTTTACTACAGCTAAAAAACGACAGCGTCGCTGACGTCACACACAGCAACGCTGAGTTTCTCATAAAGAACGAAGACAGCAGCGGAGTTCGCTGCGACTCTTTCCTCTGTTCTAAATGACTCAAATGTCTTTATAACCACAAGTAGAAGTGCTAAAAGCATTTCTTCTAAAAAAATAAAAGATGTTTGCACCATTGCCCGACGCTTTTTTTTTTTTTTACTACAACAAGAAAACTACTGCGTCATGCGGTACAGTCAGGATTTCCATCTTTTTTCTGATTGGTCATTTTTGAGCTGCCTAGTCCCGCCCCTCAAGTGCCTCTCTGCCTGTGAGTCACCAGACTCTTCTCTGTGCAGAATTAAACAGAGGACGAGTCTGGCAGGCCAGGCTAAAACCCAATACCAATCATTTTCAATATTACATTTTGGTGGCCATGTCATGCCGATAATGCCCAAGTTTTTCTTCTTCTTTTTTGTGCAGCGTTTTTATGCAACATCAAAAGTTTCCAACTGTCCTTGGTCTCAGAAGAACTCAGCTCTCATTAGTTAAATGACAGCCTGTGCTACATTCAGAAGCTGACAGATTTTCTCTCCCTCAGTTAGCAGGAGCAGCATGTGCGTGGACATCAGTAGTGTCGTTGTAATACTGAGCAGTGGGAGTCATAGTAGTAAAGACATGCATCAGATCAGTAGAAAGTCTATGTCAACTTACACTGATCTGGTGCTTCATCTAACAGGTGTGACCCCCCACTGATTCCCTCTACGCACTCAGCTGTGCTGATCATAGAGCCAACTGCTTTGGCTGCCGGGAAAGCCTTTCTCTCTTAAACGTCTCTGACGTAGAACGTGCATCAGATACAACACTCTACAGTGTCACTGTGCTGCCGGACAGGAAACGTTTAACCTCTAATTATTCCAGACTCAGCTGGTTCTGATGTTACTGCCACTCTGTGTGTGTGGGTGTAAGTACTGATGTCATGGAGTCCTAAATCTGATCAGACTGTTCCAGTGTGGACAATGGCCTTTGTTATGTGAGAGTAAAGATGTGAAACCAAGACATTCAGTTGTTTTAGTCACATGATTTTATTGATATTACGTGTTGAGTTATAGGGCTGAGGAAGTAGACCCGTGGACAGTGAGGACAGTACTGTCGCCTTAGAGATGTGAAAATCTTTTACCTCTTGTTCCAGTTTTAGACCTGGAAGCAAAAGTTTGCTTTAAGCAAATCCGTCACATTGATCTAACTTAAAAGTTTCCCAAAAGTAATTTCTGTTGTTTAAGAAAATGTTATTTTGCGAAAATGATTTCTGGATCTTCGCTTTAGTGAACCCTATTTAGGGCTGAACATTGGCTCATTGCTGGTGTTGACTGGGATTAACTCAGTTAAACAACTGATAATTGTATGTGTCAGTAAACATAGGTAAACCCATGTTGTGGCTAATACTGAATGATAATCACACAAGGTTTTACAAAGCACTGAGATGATGTATTGTTAGCTTTAGCACTTAGCAAAGCTGAACATTTCAAATAGAAATTGGAGAAAGGAGTAACAAATAACGTCCTTTTTTATTTTGTGTGAACTGCATGGATCTGTGTAAAGATGATCCTTTCTTGTCTCTGTTTATTAAAGCACCTGTTTTCTGATGGGACCATTAAAACAGCTGAAGCGCATGTTTGAAAAAACAAGAGTGATAGCCACCATTGTTATGCTGGTAAATAAAGAGCTTTTGTTGTTCTTTATGTACGTCAAGCTAGATTTGTAGTTATTTATTTGTGTGGTAATGCTTTTAAATGTTCAAGAATCAGTTACTGAGAACTCTCAACTTAAAGAGCAAGTCACCCCCAAATCAACTTTTTTTTTTGCTGATCAGCTATACAAACGAGTGTCTAATCGTTCTGTAGACACGTGTATTCAATTATTTGGCACGTCAGTGAATCTTAGTTAAAATGTAAATATTCTGCCTAAAACTGTCAGTGTTGCGCCGACGTCAGGTAAAAACTATGCACTGCATTTTCCTTTAAATCTCCCACCGCTATTGGCCAAGAGGTATGCTATGATTTTAACTGGTACATTATGATGTCACAATGCCGTTGTGAGCCTGTGTGTGTGTATTTGTTAGCTGCTCTGCCCTCTCGGTCTGCCAGGCAACAGCATTTGGTTTTTTTTTCAAACATGAATTGGGAGTGGAATAAGACACTGGTAGGGGGTGACTTGCTCTTTAACTCTTCATGGTTTTATGCCTGATTCACTCCAACTACGGAACGAATGTGGTCCATTTTCTGGATGGAATGCCATTCACACTGACTTTGGTTCGTGTTTTGAACTCTCTGGAAATTTGCTCTCGCGAGAGGACAATATTTCAGGGGTTCACGCGAGTTTGCAAAGCACTGACAGCAATTATTAGAAATTTGACATAATACTTTTAGGGGTATACTTGTAAAAATAAAATTAACCTTCTGATATATCTGTCATTAATAATGATGTAAAAAGTCAGGAAAAATACAACACGGGTTTTACAAACCGGATTCCAAAAAAGTTGGGACACTATACAAATCGTGAATAAAAACTGAATGCAATGATGTGGAGGTGCCAACGTCTAATGTTTTATTCAGAATAGAACATAAATCACGGAACAAGAGTTTAAACTGAGAAAATTTATCATTTTAAGAGAAAAATGTGTTGATCTGAAATTTCATGGTGTCAACAAATCCCAAAAAAGTTGGGACAAGTATCAATAAGAGGCTGGATTAAGTACATTTGAGCATAACGAGGAGCTGGAAGGCCAGTTAACACTAACTAGGTCAATTGGCAACATGATTGGGTATAAAAAGAGCTTCTCAGAGTGGCAGTGTCTCTCAGAGGCCAAGATGGGTAGAGGATCACCAATTCCCACAGTGTTGCACTGAAAGATAGTGGAGCAATATCAGAAAGGTGTTACTCAGCGAAAAATAGTAAAGACTTTGCAGTTATCATCATCAACTATGCATAACATCATCCGAAGATTCAGAGAATCTAGAAAAATCTCTGTGCGTAAGGGTCAAGGGCTTCCGGTTGAGTGAACGCTGGCGTGTCTGGCTGCCGCTGCTCGCCGGCAAACTTTTTGTGTTTTTTACTTCTTTTCACCCGAGTCATCTGTGCAGCTTTCTCATTTTGATTGTATTACTGTTTTCCTCCCACTTGCGGTCCTCAACCTGACTGCCATATCCCTGTGTCGGCGAAAACTCATTTTCACCTATCTGTTCAGCTTGCGTTCTGGTTCCACGTCATCACCTCCCTGCTCCACTCCATAATGTGGTCCAGCAGGAATTTTATGTGCCTCTCACTGGCCTGGATCATCCTGTCGCTCATTCTTCTGTCCGTGGATGGACTTCTCCAGTACTCGGCGGCGTAGCTCTTCAACCTCCGCTTTCATCACTCCGGATCCCCACCACCAGCTCTGTGCCTCTTCCCCGGCATCGCTTTCCAGCCTCGCCGGCGGTATATCCATCGGGGGTCCTGGCGGAACCTCCGTCTCGACTCCTCCAAAGGAATACCCTCCTTCTGGTCCATGGTTCGCTGGCCGCTACCCAGGAATAGCTGTCGAGCTGTCAACTCCAGCGTGTTAGCCCGGCTGGCTAGTCGGGCTAATGCTCCTGTCGCCAGGGACTACCGCACTGCTAATATTGGTCTTCTCAACATTCGCTCCCTCTCTGGTAAAGGACATCTCCTCCAAGATACAATCAAGGAGTGTAAGCTAGACTTTCTTTGTTTAAAAGAAACTTTGCAACAACCCGGTGATTTCTCACAACTCAATGACTGTACTCCTCCCGGATTTGTTTACATCTCCAAACCACGTGGGTCGTGCCGCGGCGGCGAGACTTGGAAGGTCCTTCCCTTAAGCCTGCCTCCTCTCACCACTCTGGAATGCCTCGCCTGTCAACTCTCCGGCCCAACCCCCACAATCATTGCCACTGTGTATCGTCCCCCCAAGTTTAGCTCTGAGTTTTTAAGTGAATTCTCTGCTCTTTTAAGCCATCTGTCCACCCTTTCCCCAAATGTAGTTTTACTTGGTGATTTTAATATTCATATGGACAATATGGCTCTCCCCCTCACCAAAGACTTCCTTTGGACAGCCTCAGTTTTCATCAATATGCCAATTTTCCCACTCACATTAAAGGTCACACCCTGGATTTAATCTGCTGCTCCGGCCTGACCCCCTCCAACTGTACAGCTGGCCCGCTCCCTTTCACGGACCACTTCCTCATCTCATTTTCTGTTCCCCTCCGTCTCTCCATCATCAAGTCACCCTGTATTATTTCATTTCGTAATATTAAGGACATTGATCTAACCTCCCTTTCCTCCAGCTTTGCCACCCTGACCCCAGATTTATCCTCTAGTCCCGCTGATCTTGCCATTCAGTACAATAACGGTCTGGTTTCTATCCTTAATTCATTTGCTCCCATCAAATCCCGCTCTGCATATTTCATTCGGTCTGCTCCTTGGTTCACCCCTGCCCTACGCTCCTTGAAAGCCACTAACCGGAGGCTTGAAAGACTCTACAAGAAAACCGGTCTCACCATCCATAAAGACTTATATTCTGCTCAAATATCTCTCTACAAGGACTCCCATCTCCCACGCCAATTCACAGTATTACTCCGGTCTCATCTCCTCAACTCCAGCAACACTAAGACATTATTTTCCATCATGAACAGCATTTTTCAGCCTCCCGACTCCTTACCCATCCATCTTTACTCTTCAGAAACCTGTAACTCTCTCCTTCAGTTTTTTAATAAGGACAATAGAATCCATCTCTCCACCTCATTCCTCCCCTCCCTCCCCTGATTTATTTGAACGCTCCATTCAGTTCTCCTCCTTTGAACTTCCCCATCCCTCAGAACTATTAGATTCCATCACCAAGTCCAAACCTTCCATCTGTCAGCTAGATCCCGTTCCAACAGTTTTAGTTAAATCCTGCCTTTCCTCCCTGCTCCCCTTTATAACAGCCATTATTCATTCCTCACTATCCTCTGGTACGGTCCCCTCCCTCTTCAAATCCGCTTCAGTCAGCCCTATTCTAAAAAAACCTGGTTTAGATCCCAATGATTTCAATAATCTCTGTCCCATTTCCCATCTTCCCTTCATTTCCAAAATTCTAGAGAAAACCGTTGCATCTCAGCCGCACTCCCATCTCACCCACAATAACCTTTATGAACAGTTTCAGTCTGGCTTCCGTCCCCACCACAGCACAGAAACAGCCCTCATCAAGATCACCAACGACCTATTCATTGCTGCTAATTCTGGTTTGATCTCCATTCTCATTCTCCTCGGTCTGAGTGCAGCCTTTGACACCATTTCTCATCCCATCCTCCTCAATAGACTCTTTCTTAAGCCTGATTTATGCTTCTCCGTCTGCGTCAGTGCGGAGACACGCAATGCCATTATCCGTCCTTGCGTAGGGCTCCGGCAGGCACGCAATTACGTACGGAATCGAGCCCACTTTTTAAAACATCCATCCAACGAGATGGATTACGCATGCCTGTGATTGGTCAGGACACCGCTGTTGTTTACAGCGCCGCCATTGCAAAGAGAGCCGAGGACAACTAGCGGCAGACACGGAGAAGCTTGAAGAATACCTTGCGAAAAAACTCTACAAATATGAACGTTTAATTCTCCTGTGACTGGAGGAGTGAAAAGATGCGCAGCAAGCGTTTTATTTGTGGACGGAAATGACAGGAAACGTGGGTTTAGAGGTGGGGAGCGCATGAAGAGGTGGGAGAATGAGAGACAAATATGTCCGTGTTAAAAGTCTCTTATACACACAAAAAACACAATATAAACACACTATCTTGGACCGATACATGACAGGATACCACAGAACAGCGCTACGCCCTCTGTTGTCCTGCCGGGCAATTGCTTTGCAACGCTCCCCAGGAGACGGAGAAGTGACGGAGAAGTATGAGAGCAAAACACTTCCGTCAATCCGTGCGTGTCTGTCCCTTGCGGAGCTGACGGAGAAGCATAAACCAGGCTTTAGGAATCACTCACACACCCCCTCCGCTGGTTTCAATCTTACCTTACTGGCCGCACTCAGTTTATCCAGTTTAAATCCTTTTCCTCAAAACCCTCCCCAGTCAAGTCAGGCGTGCCCCAGGACTCTGTCCTGGGCCCCTCCTCTTCATAGTCTATCTCCTCCCTATCGGCAATATCTTCCGCGAATTGAATATCCAGTTTCACTGCTTCACGGATGACACCCAGCTCTACATGTCTAGTAAACCCAATTCAACTCTCCCACCATCCTCCCTTACCTTCTGCCTCTCAGAAATCAATTCCTGGTTCACCTCTAATTTCCTCAAACTCAACGGCAATAAAAATGAACTTCTTGTTGGTACCAAATCCACCATCTCCATATCTGACAGCTTTTCCTTAACTATTGACAGCGCCACAGTCTCCCCCTCCCCTCAGGTCAAGAGTCTAGGTGTCAACCTCGACAGCTCACTTTCTTTTCAAGCTCACATTAATAACATAATTCGGTCAGCATATTTCCATCTTCGTTCCATAAACCGTCTCTGCCCCTCCCTTACCCCTCACACTGCCGCCATTCTCGTCCACAGCCTCGTCACCTCCCGTCTCGATTATTGCAATTCACTTCTTCATGGTCTCCCCAACAAACTCCTTCATAAACTGCAACTGGTCCAGAATTCAGCAGCCCATATTATCACCAGAACCCCTTCCTTTCATCCGCCGTTGCCAGCTGAAACTCTACAGTGCAAAGAAGAAACCATTTCTAAGCAAGACCTACAAGTTCAGGCGTTTTCACTGGGTCAGGGATCATTTAAAATGGAGTGTGGCAAAATGGAAGACTGTTCTGTGGTCAGACGAGTTCACGATTCAAAGTTATTTTTGGAAATGTGGGACGCCATGTCATCCGGACCAAAGAGGACAAGGACAACCCAAGTTGTTATCAACGCTCAGTTCAGAAGCCTGCATCTCTGATGGTATGGGGTTGCATGAGTGCGTTTGGCATGGGCAGCTTGCATGTCTGGAAAGGCATCATCAATACAGAAAAATATATTCAGGTTCTAGAACAACATATGCTCCCATCCAGATGTCATCTCAGGGAAGACCCTGTATTTTTCAACAGACCACATTCTGCATCAATCACAACATCATGGCTGTGTAGGAGAAGGATCCGGATACTGAAATGGCCAGTCTGCAGTCTAGATCTATCACCTATAGAGAACATTTGGCGCATCATAAAGAGAAAGGTGCGACAAAGAAGACCCAAGTTAGAGGCCTGTATTAGACAAAAATGGGAGAGCATTCCTATTTCTAAACTTGAGAAACTGGTCTCCTCGGTCCCCACACGTCTGAGTGTTGTAAGAAGAAGGAGAGATTCCACACAGTGGTGAAAATGGCCTTGTCTCAACTTTTTTGGGGATTTTGTTGACACCATGAAATTTTGAATCAAACATTTTTCCCTTGAAATGCTACATTTTCTCAGTTTAAGCTCTTGTTCCGTGATTTATGTTCTATTCTGAATAAAATATTAGAAGTTGGCACCTCCACATCATTGCATTCAGTTTTTATTCACGATTTGTATAGTGTCCCAACTTTTTTCGAATCCGGTTTGTATTTTGACTGGATGCACCTCGCTGACCCATGTCTCACTTCCTGACTGGCTCTTGTAATTTATTTACTGGACTCAAAATGTGCCGCAGCCGGCAACATTTTTTTGAACAGACTAAATGTTTTTTGTCTTTTGAGCAGCCGTATGTCGTCTCGACTGCATCTGCTCTGTACTCGGTGTGAATCAGGTGTTGCGCTACTCAGCTTTAAACAGACTCTGTTAGTAGAGACTTATTTGGATCATCGTTTACCTTTTAGGTTAGAAAATAAAGTTGTCACTTAGTAGCATCTGCCTTGTAAGCATGCACAAACAAAAACATGCTTTTGTTCTTCGCCCACCAGCTCTGCCTCGTCTTAACTCTTTGTGCAGTGTTTTGGGTAAGTTTGCAAAAGATTAGCAGCCAAAGGCTAATTTCATATTGTGGTAATATTTCTATTTAAACAATGACTGTATTTTATTTTTGCTATTTTTCTTTTACAGTGGCATAGAAAAGGCTTGGCTATCATCTTCTGTGTTTTGCAGTTTTTGGCAATGACTTGGTGAGTATGGCCTTTTAGTCTCACCTGCTTCTCAGCAGTAGTAAACGTAGGGCTGGCTGGTAATCAGTTTTCAAAATAAAAGATTATTGGCTTGTCAGGACCTTCAGATTCACGCGGAACTAAACGTGTGACCAAGTTTTGAAACATCACGAGGACGAAGGTACAGGACCGTATCCTCGGATCACTAATCAGGACGGCTTCAGCCTCCAAGCTGTGCTGTTTTGCAACTTGTTACATTCATTTCCGCTCTGCCTGTATTCTTAAAGGCATTGCCATGGCAACCACATGTCACACATTTCAATCTCAGGCTCACATGAGTACGGGCCGTGGCTGCGCTCCCAGACAGCCACTCAGACGTCTGTGTGAGGGCGGTTCTGCCATAACGTCATCGATGACCCTCACAAAAGTGAGCAAAGTCCGGTCCTCGGCCGAAGTTACTGAATGACCGAGTCGGACTCTCAGGAGGTTTAAATCTTCGGCTCGTCACTTGCGATGGGTGTTAAATATTTACTAATAATTTTTTTCTGTCATGCTGCAGCTCAGGCTTTAGTTAATCATTCAGCCGTTGTACCAGATTCTTCTCATATTTGGAATAAATTAGATGTTTAATCAGCAGCTTAAGATAACCATTAATGGTTTTGTTTTTGCTGTCTTGGTCTCATCAAGTCGTCCCTCAACTCCACAGTGTGTCCTATTTATTCACAAACACATTTTCACTATTATCTATTTTAAAAGACCATCAGAATGCATATGTTTTATTTAACCTGTAAAAAATTTCTAGGTGTTTTCTCTGATTCTGTTTTTTTACATTTTATTTAATATCTACTTTCCTCAAAACAGGAAGTTTAATTTTGAAACTCCTTGAGACTAATCCAAGGACAAATCCACATTTATACACAAGTTAAAACTAGTGCTACTTTATGATGAATGAGTCCACCTTAAGCTGGATTTGAACTAATCTGTGATTTTGCTCCTCTGTTTTCTTTCAGGTATAGCATCTCTTACATTCCATTTGCCAGGTAAGACGACGGGTCTTTTCAGCGCTGATTTTTTGTTGATGAGTTTTGAGTTACAAGTATTCCTTCTGCTTGGGTCCTTTCTTGGAAAATCAGGCACAGAAAGAGACACCTTTAACAAAGCTTTAGCTCTCGTCTAGTATAAAAAAACAGGCTTGGTGGCCCGTCAATGAAAACATGTTTTTATTTACCTCTTATCGCTGTTTGCTTCCACCATATGGCTCTAATCCCAGTGTCAAACAAATGACAGCTGGTTGTTTTGATCTCCGCTGAGCATTAGCCCCCCCGATATCAAAATGAAATGATTTGTCAAGGAATAATGCTCTTTCAGCCAGATTTGCTAAGTATTTCTTCTTCAATCAAGCTTTTATATCTGACGTAATGAGCTCACGGTAAGCTCAGGGTTACGGCTATGATTGGATGTTGACAGGATCGACTGATGTCCGTCTCGTTTAGCTTGTTTTGAAGCAGCACAGATCATTTTTAACGATCTTCCTGTATTTTGTGCCATCCAAGTGCTTTCGTGGAATGAAACATTAGGTGTGAAGTGGTTTTGTCAGTCCAGCTGTAAAGTGGGGTTAGATCTCATTTGGCGGGAGGTCCGGATCTCCTCCCCCCACTGCTTGCGGCTCCTCCATAAAGTGTCTTGTGTGTTTGGGCGACCCTATAATCCGTCCTGACAGCTGAGGCGTCACCCCCCACCCCCCAGAGCAAACGCTAACAACAGAACAGACATGTTTTCCCATTACACCCTGACTTAAAAAAATACAATTTTTATTAAATAAATGCAACTTTTAACAGCTTTTTTTCCCTCAGAATGTTTAAAAATGAATTTCTTTCTATTCTAGGCATATTCTATACATTATCTGTGAAGACACAGTTTGTCTTTTCTCACTAAGCCTCTTACTTTAATCCATTTTTCATTCAGTTTAGTTTTGATCACTTGGCTTTCTATTGTTTTCTGCTGTTTCAGAGCAGAGGCAGGTGTTGATCTGAGAGGACTGAGCTTAAATCCTTCACATCCCAGAGTTACTTTTACCTGCCCAGCCAGGACGCCACATGGCTGGTGGACTTGATCCGTTAATGTGTTTTACCTGGTTGCCTCCTATAAGCCCTAACGTGTGCTGTGCAGTTCCCACAGGATTCAGGAACGGGGCGGAAGCCTCAGAACGGACATTCGCTTGCGCAATTTTTAGAAAAGCAAAAATTGCATCCAGCCATATTTACAGAAAAAAAGATGAGGTAGAAATTATGAGTCTGTGTGTAGACCTCAGGGTGGGTAGAAGCAGAGTCTCCCCCCTGTCCACCTACCTCCCCTCCCCCCTTCCCGGATGTGTTTCCTTTTAACCTTGGTGATTTTCACACCTCCTGCACTGAATTTCTTCTGTGGCTGCTGGCAAAGTCTGCATAGCAACACACTGACAGCAAGAGCAGCGTGTGTTGTCATGGCGATCGCTGGCGTTGCGTCACCCATCGACACAGTGCACCTGGAGAAAGGGAGCCCCCATCGCTGAGAGCATGTGGCGCTTCCCCCCCGTCAAAACATATTCACTTATTCATGACGAGCCCCACCTAGATCATCACAACAAAAGAGCCACATGCAGCTAGAATTTCTCCATTTGCTCTGCTGTTCTGCTGTATTGTTTCTGTATCGCTGATGTTTTCTTGTCTTGTGTGTTTTTATTTTCCAGGGATGCAGTGATCAAGTGCTTCACAACCTGCCTGAGTTGAAGCTCCAGAGTTCTTTTGAAGATACTTCCCAATTTACAAGCCACACAAAGTCTTTATAATGGTTTTCAAAAAAAAAAAAAAAGGGTTTACACACTTCTTCAAATGTTGGCTAGTCTGCACTGCACACTGTAAATTCTTGCTTGATAACTAATCAGATAGTAACACCTACCAGTCTGTGGAGTTAGGAGCACCTTTTACTTGTAATATATTTAAACTAAACCTAAGCTGTTCCTGTGTTTTCTGAGGATTTTATACCGTTTTTGTGCAGGGAAGTGGTTTAGACTCGGTTTTGGAAAAGCAGCTTAACAAAAGTGCCTTGGTGGTTAAATAAAATGAAGAAAATGGTTTATTATTGCCAAACTTGTGTATTTTCATTTTAAATGTGCTGGATTTTTTATTTGAGTTGAGGTGAAGCATTGTAATCTTATGTCTTATCTGTAAGTGACACATATCTAAGCTCTCATATATAATTGCTTGCTTATGTGACCATTTAATTTGGTCCTCAGCTGTTGAGCTTCACTGGTGATGCTCTGGGACCCACTTCCCCTTTGAGGATTTCCTTTCTTTTCCAGCTAATGAGATTAAAATCGCTGCTTTTGTGTCTGCTTTGATCATCTTAAGTGTGCATTGAGACACATGCACCCCCACACACAATAAATTACATCAGAAATGCCTCTTTTTTTATGAATAGAAAAAAGTTTTCCTACCAAATATATCAATATAGCAGTGACCCAGTTAATTTTGCTTTTCTGAGCATTGTGATTTTGATGTGACCTAATAACCCAGCTTGCATCACATTCCCTACATTGCTTTGGCATGTAGCCTTTGAGGATGTGGTTGCCATGACGACCTCCTCAGGAGGATGCATTGCCTCTGCCTACCCCCATTTGTGGAGCAGATGTTCACAGTATGCCTAGGTGTGTTCCATTTAATGGAATCCTTTTGCACCAACAGTTTTGAATAAATAATTTCTACTTCTATCTTGAAAATCTGAAACAATTTACCACAGAGCTTCTTGGGATGTAAATAAAATACTGCATTTCTTGTGGAACCTCCACGTAGATAATGTGGTGGATTATCAAGGACGCAGTCTCAGTTGTGATTTAGCAGAGAGCCAGAAAATCCTTCCATCTTGAAGATCAAGAATTCTTAAATGAGCAGAGGGAGGTTTTTTCCCCCTGGTTATTCCGAAGTTTGACCCCATCCATCTGTTAAGAGTTCCAACTGTTTCCTCCAGTTGATCTAATCTGCTGTTATGTCAGAGAGACGAGGGATTCTGCACGACAGCAGCTGTTGAAATTACACATTTGCTTCCTTTCCAACCCAGTGTTCTGCATCTTCCTGCAGACTTAAATAACTGCACCAGTGCAATTTTGTTTTTCTTCCAGTGTTGACATCAGTGATCAGCTGAGATACGTGTTTCAAAGAGAGAATTAGGGAGAACCAACATAAACTGCTGAAATCAGAGACTAAATTAAATATTTTCTGTTTGGTCCACAGACCCAGTTGGAAATCAATCTAAACATTTTTTTTTGACAAAGCATAAATCTGCATGATAAAGACAACTTAATTCTCCTACACCTATCTCCCGCATTAGCGTCTGATGGCAGTAAAACGAAAAATTTTCGTTATTAAAATTTCTGACTCATTGAAATAATTTTTCCCATGTTGATAAATTTGATTAAAATGAAAAAATGTGTGTAGGTTGACAACATTCGTGCCCCTTTAAGAAGCTGTACCACCTTGAGTCACGTAAAAATGTGACTCAGTGTGCTACATGTAACGCCCCCATCTAGTGGACAAATTTTGTTTCTGCGCATACCTGTAGTTATCCTCCATTTATCGTTATCGAAGTGAAATCCTCAATATATCGTGATATTGTTTTTAGGCCGTATCGCCCAGCCCTACTTCTGATAGAAAATAGACGAAACTCTAGGATTTTAAAAACGACTGACAGATCTACGTCACTCTGTCCCCTAACGTTCCATCTTGACTCACGACGGGGAAGGCTGTTGTTAGAATAGACTTTATTGATCCCACAGTGGAGAAATTCACTTGTTACAGCAGCACAAACACTTAACTCATTCACTGCCATTGACAACTAAAGCCGTAATTTTAAATCCAACCGTGCGTTTGCATTTTTTTTACTGTGGGCATCAGAACAAGCCCCCGCACTGTGGGAACAAACGTCTTAGCTCTAAAGCCGATCTTCGTCCGCATACGTCACACGTCACGTAATCAGGAAGCAGAAAATCCATGTGTTAGGAGATCGTTTTGGGCCGCTGCTGTAAAAAAAAAAGTGCGGCGCGAACAGGAAAAGCTTCTGCCGATCACAGTTCAACAACGGATTATGAAAGAATGGATAAAGCTCAAAACGCACTGATTCTTCCTGATGTAAGAGGTGAGTCTCCGCTTTGAGTTGTTGTTAGCCAATAAGAGGCAAGATGTCCAAATATCAGGAAGTCTGAAGCTCAGCTCTGATGCGGCTCACATCTAGTTCCTGAAACAGGTGCACTGGAGCTTTATTTCCCCAGATTACCGCTTACAAGTCATCCATAGTAGACTCTACTGCAAACGTGTTGAGGAAACGAGTGAACTACACCTTTAATATATTTTTACTCTGAAAAAGAAAGTTTGTTTATATAGCACCTTTTAAGATTAAAACCACAAGGTGATTTGCAAGCACAAAAATAATGGAAATTTTCAAAAAATAAACTAAATAATATTGAATAAAAATGAAAAAGATAACTACTTTTAATTTGAAATACTCTATAGGAAAACAGGGTTAAAGCAAGAGTCCAGCTTTTGAAAAAAAGATTAGTTCCTTCCAGTTATTCATTAAACTATGACAGGGTTCTGTTCCTGCAGGTTGGCTCATTTCTGCTGAAAATACCGAAATGACATCACTCGATTTTGCCATGTCTTTGTTTGGTGCGTCTCATGGCCACGCCCTCCTGTCAGCGCCACCATAAAACACCAGGATTTGCGCGTCAGTTAACGTCCAGTCCGTGTGGATAACAGGTGCACTTCAGCTCCTCTCCGTCTCACTGGAGGATGCCACTGAGCGCCGCGCGTCGCTTTGCGCACGGCTTTCTCTTGTTTCTTGAGCTTTTCCAACCATAAAAGATGCCTTTTCCTCCCATCAGCCTCCAGCAGCGGATAACCTCCCCTGGCAGGGAACTGTTTGGAAAAAAGGGAACCAATGGACAGCCTCCTAAGACGGAACACACCGGAAAAGCGGCGGGAGAGAAACCGGGGTCCGACAGACAGTCCACTTCTTGGGCATCGGCGAATTTAAGAAATCTGGGTAGAAAAACGCGGCAGGAGAAGAGCAAAAGCCAAGTTCAAAAGCCCGGTTCCGGGCAGGAGACTCAGGAAAAATCCTCCTGGCTGTCGGTACCCAAACCTCAGGATTCCCACCAAGGAGTCAGGCGCTCCAGCTCAATGGACTCGGCCAGACACCTGCAGCCCAAAGACGAGGGGAAGAAGGAGATTCAGTTTACCCTCAGCCTCACACCAGAAGCTATTCTTGTCATCCAGAAACGGAATCTAGAAAAACAGATGATGGCAAAGCAGCAGAAGTGCTGCGCCTCAGCCGACTTTCGGCACCGGCGAGTTTTCCCGTCCAAAAAGGCGCACGGAGGCTCCAAGAGCTGCGCGCCTGGTTCCAAGGCGGACAGCGCCGAGCAGGACATCACAGCTATTGTTAAGATTTCTCTGCTGAACGACCAGCACAAGTACGACGATGTGGAGTACGAAGAGGAGGACGGAGACGTGGATGAAACTGTTGTGAGGAAGTGTAAGGAGTGGCTGAAAGGCGTCGAGAATGCTGCTGCTTTGGGAAAAGCAGACAAACTTCCTGCACTTCCGCACATTAAAGGCTGCTGACAGCAATTATTTTTTAATTTTTTTTTGGATGAGTGACTTGTCTGGGCCTGTTGCATCAAAATGTTTGAATTATCATTCCAAAAGATTGTTTATTAGACGTTATTTGTTATTTATTGTTATTTTAACTTGCATCAACAAAAGCAGGGCTGACTTGGATGCACTTGATCCTTGTTGTTCGACTGGACTTTGCATTGCAAAAGAAAGGCCAATTCAATGCTGCTGTTCTTCCGAGTTTCCGTCTCTTCCTTTGCACATGGATTTGTTTTCAGTGGCGTGCCTGAGGATTGGCTGAGGAGGGGCCGTGTAAAGGCACGCTGAACCCTCCCTTTGTGTTGGAGAACAATAAACTGAAAACAAAACTGGGTTGTTTATTCTCCCCTCTAATAAATAAGAGATCCATCTCAGATGTACTGACATTTACTGAACATTTGCTCTGGAAAGTATTTTGAAGCCATTTGATTTAATTATTTTTGTGCTCGCTGAACATTTGACATAATTGAAAGCTGGTTCTGCAGCTTATATTTGGTCATTGAGATTGTTTCCTTTGTGTCTCGTGGCTGTCTTCCCAGACGGTGTTTTAAAGGCTCTTTGCTCCCACCCCACAGCTACCTGGGGCCATTTGGGCATTAGTGTCTTAAGCTTCTTAGATTTTGTTTTAAGCAGTGTTCACCATGCTGGATCTCTTCAGGAAATTACCTCTTCCTCATTTCGTACACAAACATTCAAATTTAAACGTTTTTACCTTCAATTGCTCAGGAAAAGTAGAACATGATAAAAGAAACAAATGCATTCCATAAAATAGGAAAAACACTGAATTAAAGCCATAAAAAAGAATATTTGGTTTATTTGCTTCATCTTCTTTAATAAAACAGGAAATCAATACCTATTCATGGTCACCAACCCATTTCCATCGAGTGTGTGTGTTGTGGAGGTCCCCACAGTAATTGTAGTCCTTTGTTCTTCGTAGCTTGGCAACTGGCATTTTACACAGATTGTGGTCAACTTTAGGCAGTCAGAATGAGTTAAGACTGCATTTGACACCAGCAACATTTTGAAATAACCCTTGAAATCTCTCAGGTAATACTTGCAAGCTGCAGAAATGCACCTTTCACGTCTTCAGAGTTGCTTCCATGAGCGTGAAATGCAAACATCTGCACTGGTTCTGGGTTTTAGACTGGGTTCTGGTTTTTTATCATCCGAATGTTCAGTTTTACCCTGCGGATGTCTCGAGAAGCAATAAAGGAATCAGACATCGAGATCAATGAGTTGCAATGAAATATCTCTTACTCAGCATCACAAGAAATGTTATTGTTGCATGTTCCAGGCTGTTGGGCCACTACAGTGTGTACCAGGGCCTGTTTGGTTCTCCACAGCTCCTCTAGTGATACGATCAGCTGGCTCTGTGACCAAAAGTTGTGTAATTCTCTCTTGTATTGTGTCGTTTCAATCGCAGCCTTGTTTATGTGCCTCTGTCTGGGATTCTTTGCTGCCTGATTTGGGCCTGAAGCCAAACTCTTCATGACTCGTCTTCATTCAAATCAGCTGGATCTGGTTCTGTTGCAAGTAGAAACATTCTTTAAAAATGCCCTTTAGGGTTACTTCCACTTGAGGATGATAAATCTGCACCTACGCTGTAAGTTTTGCTTTTCTGTTCTATTTTATTTCAATTTCAGACACAAACTTTGCTTCTTTTCTGAGTTACTTAATGTTTTAAGTTTTTATTTTTGTCTACAACAATAATCAAATCTTTTTTTGTTCTTGTTTCAATAAAAAATAAGTTATTACAACCAGTGGTGTTGTGTGTCTAATGTTTAAAATATTTGCGTAAAATAATTTTTTCAAATAAGCGTTCACAAATCTTCATTCTGGATTTTTTTCCACTTAAAGGTTAAGTATGTAACAGTTTAATAAAGATCTATATTTAAAAAATATATAATACCTCCATGAGGCATTTAGATGTGAGTGAAGATACAGTATTTCCTTTAAAAGCTATTTTTTAACTACAAAATAATCAAATATTTATTTTGACGGCACAACCAGCTAATAGAGGGCACCGTTACAGATGACCAAACAGTCCGCTTTGCAAAGTGAGGCCGACAATGTGGAAAATGGCGGACTCAGAAGATGCCGTTACCCTTCTCAGAAGAGGAGCTGAGTTGATAAAAGATCTAAAACCAGAGTCAGTTTGGGCAAAGCCTACAACAGATGGACCCAAATAAAAAATTTCACAAATAAGGAGCCTAATTAGTCTCCTCCCTTTCTGGTCGGCTCATGGGTCTCCAGGTGAATGAAAAAATTAATGCAAGTCAACGAGGCTAAAAACGCAATTTTCTAATCTGCTTTGCCTTACGCCCTGGATCGCACTTATATTCTACTGCAATTTAAATGAAAAGCAATGAGGGTGTTTCCACCATGCCAGTCACGTACTTTGAGATTTATCAGCTTGTAAAAGTTCGTAATTATCATGACTGCACACCAGAAATCAGCACGTCGCATATGTGACATCACCACATAATCCCCTCTCCCCTAACGTAGCTGCTACTTACCAAATGACCAGATTTATGGTAGTTCTTTCCTCCTGTGGGAAGGATTTGAAGTTTGTTGCACTTGCAGCCCTTTTCCCTCAGTTTTCACTGTGTCTGGTTCGATGACATCACTTTCCTGAAGCGCATTTGTAGTCCTGGAGTTGTTTTCACACAAAACCTAAAATAGCATTTCCCCCTGTTGGAAAATAAGCGCGTTCTTGGTATCAAATTTCGTCTTTAAAATTCACGGACATCATATGTGAAATGGCACAAAACAAGCAGAATTAAAAGATAGCGTTTTTAGCCCCGTTGACTTGCGTTCATTTTTTCGTTATTCTGGGGACCCGTGGTCTGGAAGTAGATGGGTGTGACTTAGGCTCCCTATCGGCAGCAAACCTGGTATCCCGATGGCTGGAAACCTCGTTCTACTGTTGCAACTACAACCTCCACACACTAGATGTCGCTTTGATGTATGTGTTCCATATTCCACCTTTAAACAATAATATAAACAAAATAAATCAGTACGAATAGAGCTTTTATTTGGTCAATGACATAATATAAATAATCTACATCCTGTTACAAAACAGAATATTCAAATAATACAGTTTAGTTTACAGTTAACTTGCACAGATGATTGTGATGCGGATTTATTTATTTACTGAGAACGCGTATCACTCTGCTTCCAACAGAATCCACAAAATTATGCATAAAAAGGGCTGCATGGTGGCGCAGTTGTTAGCACTGTTGCCTCGCAGCACGAAGGTTGCAGGTTCGAAACTCGGCTGTGGCCTTTCTGCGTGGAGTTGTGTGTTCTCCCCATGCATGCGTAATGGTGTGAATATTAATTTAAGATTTAAATTAATATCAAAGTTTATTTATTAAACAGAAGATTCAGTAAGATTCTTTTCATTCGATAAGCTGGAAATGCAACCCTTTTCTGTGTCTCGTTTCAATAATGAGGCCAGTTTAAAAATGAAGAAATTTATTTACTAACAATTTTAAACTGAAAGATTTGAAACGACAATTCATAAATGGCAATTTTGATGACAATCTTAACAGCTTTGATATTACTTGTTTAAAAGCAAACCTGTGTTGGATGGAGCTAAAATTGAGAATGATGAGTTGTGAATGCGTTCTCAGAAGGTTTCTTTCAGAGGGAATGGAAGGTGTTATGGATGAAATGATGTTTTGCGAATAACTGAGTTATTTGTAGCGAAAACAGCATCAAACGTCATCTGTCGTGTTCTACCTCACCTAAAACAGGACCCCCTTTGTGGATCCGGACATCAGGAGGATGGGTTCATCCAAGGTGGCACTTTGGCTGGCAGAGTAGACGCAAGTGTCCCATCATCCGGTCCAGAGATGTCCTGGGTACACGGCTGTATGAAGCGTTTGGCAGATGCACGTTTTCGTCTTAACTTAACTTCAGAAATCAAATGACTCTGGGAGAGTCTTGCGTTAGCTCGTTAGTTTCGTTTGTTCTTTAGCCATTCTTGTCGGCATGACAGAACAGCTTGCAGAGGGTTAAGGAGACGGCCGTTCTCCTTTCCTCGTGGTGTTGGTTGAAGAACTGGATGTGAAATCTGTGATGGTTAGTTTTTACCAAACCCTCTCAGAACACTCCCCCTCTCTCTCCGGAAGAAAGCTTGGTCATGCGTCAAAAAACATGTGATGCAGTTATTGTTTATCTGAACTCTGTGTTGGCTGAACAAGGGTGAAGGTCCTCTTTGCTGAATATAACCATTATAATAATTATCATTATAATACCAAAAGCATAATAATCCATTTCATGTAATTAAAATACCTTTATATCTGAACCAAGTGATCATGTATTAATGATTATTTAAACAGTAATAAAATCATAAGTTTATTAATTATTGTTTAATTATTATCATCGTGGCTTGAAGTGTCCTTCTTCTGACGGAACAGCAGATACTGGTGTTATGATCTTGGCAGACATCGTGGCTCCTTGGGCTTTAATCCGTGGATTCAAAGTACTGTTTGACCCAGCTTGACCCAGCTGGGCAAATGTGACCTTTGGCACAAATCAGAGAGCCTTCATCACGCTACACATGTGTGGGTTTCCTCCGGGTACTCCGGTTTCCCCCACAGATCACAACATGCCCTATAGGTTATAAATTGTAAGTCGCTTTGGATAAAAGCATCTGCCAAATAAATAAACATAAACTTTAGTATAGCACCTTTCAGAGTCCGAGGACTCCGAAGTGCTTTACACTACAGTGTATCCTTCACCCATTCACACACACACACATTCATACCCTGATGGTGCAATGTAGCCACAGCTGCCCTGGGGCTCACTGACAGATGGGGCTGCTGAGCAAAGATGCCACCGGTCCCTCAGACCACCGCCAGCAGGCAAGGTACCTGCAACCTTCCAATTGCTGGACAACCCGCTTTACCTCCTGAACTACAGCTGCCCCCCAAATATGAGGCTTTTCGGGTTTGGCATCTTGCCAAGAGATGCCCGGTCCCTGCAGGGGCTGGACTTGAACTGCAGACCTATGAATCCGCAGATGAGCACACTACCCGTTCAGCTTTAGCCGCCCCAACATCATTTGATGCACGCAATTTCAGAAGCTGAATCAGTTTTTGAACGCTGAATTTACCCAGCTGTTAAATCTTAATTTTGTGCGCTGCTCAGTGTTAAAACATGACATCTTAATAAAGTTAATCAAACAAATCTGTAAACTGACCAAGTATTAAATATTCAAAACTGGTAAATAAAAATTCATTTTAGTTCATTTTTAGAGTGCTTATTATTGTAGATGTAATCCAGGCACATAAAAATACACCTAAATTATATTCTGCAGCAGCACCGGGCTGCCCACGGATGTGCCTGACCTTAAACTTCCTAAGGAGGCATAGGGAGCCTAAGTCACTTCCAGACTACGGGTCCCCGGAAGAACTGAAAAATGAATGCAAGTCAATGGGGCTAAAAAGGCTATTTTCTAATTCTGCTTGTTTTGTGCCATAGATTTCACATATGATGTCCCTGAATTTTAAAGACGCATTTTGATACCAAAAACACGCAAATTTTCGAACGGGGGAATGCTATTTTAGGTTTTGTGTGAAAATAAGTCCAGGACTACAAATGCGCTTCACGAAAGTGACGTCATGGAACCAGACACGGAGAAAACTGAGAAAAAAAGGTTGTAAGTTCAGCAAACTTCCCACAGGAGGAAAGAACCACCTTAAATCTGTTCAATTGGTAAGTAGCAGCTACGCTAGAGGAGAGGAGATTATGTGGTTACGTCATATATGCGACGTGCTGATTTCTAGTTTGTAGTCATGCTATAATTATGAACATTTACAAGCTGATAAATCTCAAAGTACATGACAGGTGTGGTCGAAACACCCATCATTACTTTTCATTTAAATTGCAGTACAACATATGTGCGATCCAGGCCGTAAGGCAAAGCAGTTTAGAAAATAACGTTTTTAGCCCCGTTGACTTGCATTCGTTTTTTTGATCTTCCGGTGACCCATGGTGCGGAAGTGACTTAAGCTCCCTATATCAGCCGATACGATGTATAAAAAATGTCAAAAATAGGTACTAGTAATCGAGTAAAGCAAATTTATAAATAAAAATCCTTAAAATGACATCAAATCTGATGGAGGACTACCTTGGGTCAGACCCAAATGCAGAAGTGCTGAAGCTGGCTGGTAAAGATGCAGTATAGTTACTCTGAGCGACCATGATATCTGAGACTAACTTCCATCATCAACACTGTTGTGTTAAACACCATCACCTTCTGTTGTTAACTTTTACTTTAAAGTACTTTTACTATTCCATTTTATTCCATTTATAAAGCACATTTCTACACGGCCGAGGCCAACCAAAGTGGTGCACAGTAAAAGAGCATAAAAATCAACACACGGGAAGAAAGTAATAAAAGTAGTACAGTAACTACTATAAAACCAACAATAAAAATAAAACAGAGACATAGTAAAATGGTAACTAGGCTGAAGTAAAAGCCAAGGAATAAAAATGAGCCTTCAAGCGTGATTTAAAATCAGAGAGAGGGGGCCATTCTCACTGATAGAGGGAGTTGGTTCCAGAGACGAGGTGCACAGATTGAGAAAGTTTGTTCTCCTCGTGTCCTCACTCGAACACTTGGGACCTGTAACAGGTGGTGGTCTGCTGACTGAAGAATTCGACCAGGTACATAGAGCTGAACCAACTGAGTCAAGTACAGAGGCGCATAAAGATAGAGTGACTTAAAAACAAGAAGTAAAATTTTAAA